CGGCTCGGCTGCTCCTGGGCGGTTCGGCTGCTGCTGGGCGGCTCGGCTGCTGCTGGGCGGCTCGGCTGCTGCTGGGCGGCTCGGCTGCTGCTGGGCGGCTCGGCTGCTGCTGGGCGGCTTGGCGGCTCGTCTTCTGCTGGGCGGCTCGGCTGCCGCTGGGCCGCGTAGGTAGGGCGGCCGGGCCGCGAAGGTAGGGCGGCGGGTGGGCCGCAGGTAGGGCGGCGGGTGGGCCGCAGGTAAGGCGGCGGGTGGGCCGCAGGTAGGGCGGCGGGACGGCCGCAGGTAGGGCGGCAGACGGCCGCAGGTAGGGCGGCGGGTAGGCCGCAGGTAGGGCGGCGGGACGGCCGCAGGTAGGGCGGCGGGACGGCCGCAGGTAGGGCGGCGGGTAGGTCGCAGGTAGGGCGACGGGACGGCCGCAGGTAGGGCGGCGGACGGCCGCAGGTAGGGCGGCGGGTAGGCCGCAGGTAGGGCGGCGGGTAGGCCGCAGGTAGGGCGGCGAGTGGGCCGCAGGTAGGGCGGCGGGACGGCCGCAGGCAGGGCGGCGTGACGGCCGCAGGTAGGGAAGCAGCGGGGCCGCGTCGAGGAGGCGGCGGGGCCGCGTCGAGGAGGCGGCGGGGCCGCGTCGAGAAGGCGGCAGGGCCGCGTCGAGGAGGCGGCGGGGCCGCGTCGAGGAGGCGGCGGGGCCGCGTCGAGGAGGCGGCGGGGCCGCGTCGAGGAGGCGGCGGGGCCGTGAGGGGAAGGGCGACACGGAGGGTCGCGAGAAAAAAAAGAACGCGCGCCTCGGGGCGCGCTTCGGTGGGCCCTAGAGAACAGTCCCTAGGATGGGACCTGCTCTGATTCCATGTGAAAATAGAAACGTGAATGAATTGATTACGAACGAGGTGAGTACAAATAGGAAACCCTAATTGGGTTGTACCCCCTATGGGATACCCCACTATAGCCTGCACAAACAAGTAAGCTATAATGTTCTGACAAATTGGTGTGCCAGGTGCTGGGGATTGTGCTCGTGTGAGGTCGTTTTGCAGGGACGAGCGTTCTACCGTCAGCGTCGCGATTTCCTCGGCGCTCTCGCGGATTTGTCGCAGCAGATCGTTTAAGTGTTCGTGCGTGAGAGTCGTGACGTCGATATGTTCAGCCATTTCGAAGGGCGTCGGCTCGTCTTAGTCTAGGCGCAGTCGTGGCTGCACGCGTTTACGAGAGAACGCGAGGACAGCGGCTCCTAGGTGCTAAGGTGTGTGAGTCCGTTCGAGTGAAAAATCAAAAGTTGATTTCCTGGGGTGCAGAGATGCGCGGTCCGAAAAGGAAAGAGGCTCTGAATACCAAGTGTTACGGGTGCAATGAATCGAAGTAGCGAGAATTGCACTAAGGTGTCAAACGAGTACAAAATGTGAGCGAAGGCATGAGCGAACATTTATACGCGAAACATGCAAACGGTAACGCGGTGCGTGCGAGCTAGCTAGTGCTACGCTGGAAGCGAGGCTCGGGCTAGTCCCGAAGCGTAGGCCGACACGGCCAGGCCAGCAGTGCGAGGTTTGGTGAAACAGTGTGCACTAAATCGGCGAAGCCCTGTTAGCAATAACGGGCGAACAACGGCTGGTGCTGTACGCGATGTTGCAGGGTGAGCTAAGGAATATAGAGAAAATTCCTTACACCCTCAAAACGTGTGCAGCCAGCGTGGAATGCTTTCTTGCGTTGCGCAACGATCCGCGCAGACTTTTGCTGACGCATCTTAAATTCACCAATAAAGCCTCGAGCGGCTGTACAGCATTGCAAGGATTTTTTGATAACAAGCCGACTTCGGTCTCAAATGTTGCCTGGTGGAAATGGTATCCAGAAATGAAGAAGAACTAAACGTCACTGGAGGTCGTTGCGGGTCTTTCTTGACAGTCAATTTTAGCAACCCAGCAAGACAGTGTACACTCAGTGAAGGGCCTTGCTAGTCAGTGTATTTCCGTGCATTCTGATCTTGTTTCGGGCAGCTCCGGGAGCAATTGCGGTGTGGCGTTCTACATTTTTATGTGGTAGATTGGATGGCAGCGCAGCTACAGTGTCTACAACGTGTGTCGATTCATTGCGACCAAGCGAGATCGAATCGCCTTTCTCATCTTGCATGTGTTGCGCTGAGCCCTGCGGGACAGGTCGCGCGCGCGCTCCGCGCACTTGCCCCTCCCTACCACCCGCTCGCGTACCTCCACAACCTCCGTGATCGTGTTGTGTGGTGTGGTGGAGTGGATCTGTTGACGTTCAGTTGCGCGCTCAGGCACGCGTGACTCCGCGTCACGTGCCAGTGCCACCTCCTCCTCCTAATATCCCCCGCTTTGCACCCCCACCCCACCGAAACCACCACTACCACCACACCTGATCCACATCACGAATCGCTCGCCTACTATCCCCCTTTCTCCTCTCACGCCAGTGTGGCACTGCTACCAATTGCTCCCCTCCCTTCTCGCCCGTGTATTCTGATTCCGCGCATCCAGCCATCGATTCCTCGTCCCGCGAAATTCCTGGTCTCGTCATAGGACACTGACACGACAGCAACGCGTTAATACACGTACTACGCCAGATTTGATTTTCCTCCAGGACTAATTCCCATCAGCTCTCGTTTCGTCTCGTGTCGTCTCACCATATCTGCCGTCTCCTACCTTAGTATACCGTCCTCGCTCGGCCTGGTTCGCTCTGGTAACCCGCCTCGAAACGAAAGCCGTTGTCCGACCACCTTATTATTCGGCAGTCTACCCGTATCTCCACTCCTGCTCGCATCGCTATATTCTGGCCTCCGCGCACAAGCCGCCCCGCCGTTAGAACCACCCGCCCCGCATATTCATCCTCAACTGCACCATGTGCAAGCGACCGGATTTCCCGGCGGACATCACGGGCGACGACTCCATCGGCCTCGAATTTCCCGCGCAACCACAGTCCGGCTGGACCCCGGGCGCGCATGGCGCTGCCGCCGCCGCGCACCTCACCTCATCGCAACTCGCTATGCCGCCCTTCACCCTGCATTATCCCACTGCCTCCCCAGCCGCCGCCTCTCACGCTGCAGCGTCGCAGCAACTAGACTGGCTGGCGTGCGGCCCGGCGTTCCTGTCGCCTGTCAGCCTCCTCCCCGCGTTCCCCTCGCCTGGGTAAGCACGCCAATTAACAGGGAATGGCGGTAGTACCGCGCGCGCCAATGCACGGGTGCACGCGCCACTGATAATACTAGTAGACGCTGCGCGCTTCGGCCACATGCTTTTCTCCTCTTTCCCCCTCGCATCTCCCGGCCTCACTTCTCCTCACTTCCTCGCCAATCCACCCTGTCCCCTTCCCCCTTTCCCCCTCCCCCTTCCCCCTTCTCGTCTCTCCCCACACCACCATCCCGCCAGCCCGCTGCTCGCCCCACCGCCTCTCCTCGACGCTTCCAACCCTGCTAGCGACATGACTGCGCGTCTCTCCGCTTCTCACGGCCTCACCAGCCCGCGCGGCGCCTGGACTTCCGCCGCTAACCCCGCCGCCATGCGCGGGTCGCCGCCTTCCCCTGCCGCCGCCACGGCAACCAGCGCGCTGGCCGCCGCGCAGACGGCAGCTGCGGCGGCGACGGCGACGGCCGGCGCAGCAGCAAGGGGAGGAGCAGGAGCGGGAGTAGGAGCAGGAATGGGGGCAGGAATGGGAACAGGAGCGGCACCGTGGATGTCGTTTATGGGTCCGTCCCTAGCAATGGGCTCCATGCCGCAAGGGTTTCTAGTGCAATCGGGTGCGGCGCAAGCGGTAGGGCACGACGCGGGAAGGATCCCCGTCATGAGCGAGAAGAAGCATAAACGGTGAGACCGCGCCTCTGCACCCGCACCCGCACCTACACCCGCACCTGCACCCGCACCTGCACCCGCACCTGGACCCGCACCTGCACTGCACCTGCACCTGCACCCGCACCCGCACGCAGGAGGTTGGGGTTGGGCGTAACACTGCATGGACCTACTTCTCCCATTTCCACTACCGTCACCTCTCACTCGGCCTCCCCAACCTCTCGCTCCTCCCCCTCTCTTTCCCATCCCCCACGCAGCATCGTGTCCAACCGGGCATCAGCCAAGCGGTAGCGTCAATTTTGAGACGCCTTAAAAAATCCTCCCTCCGCCTCCATCCCCCCCCCCCCCCCCCCCACTCTCCCCCTCTACCCCAGCATTGTGTCCAACCGGGCGTCAGCCAAGCGGTCGCGGCAGCGGCGGCAGCAGCGGCTGGAGGAGCTCGAAGTGATGGCGGCGCACCTGCAGGTGGACGGGGCGGACGCACGCAAGGGCCTGGCGGACGCCACTGCCAGGCTGGCAGTGCTGCAGCACGAGAACAAAAACCTGCTGGAGCAGGTGGCGGAGCTGCAGAGGCTGGTGCAGCTGGCCAACCAGCGGTGAAGAGCGGTGGAGAGGGATGGAGGGAAGTTCAGAGGGGTGGAGAGGGATAAAGGGGATATGGTACAGATGTTGAAGGGAGGGGAAAAAGGGCAACAGCAATTGAGTTGGCCTGAGGGGTGTGTTGCTTGCTTCTCCATTGTTTGAAAACAGGAGGTGCATCTTCCTAGTATAGTATCTTGATTTGCTGTATTGCTGATTGATACTGTACCGTATCTTGACATGTGTCATTAGAAGGACATTGCCTACATTTAGAAACTGCTGTGGTATAGTGTGTTTTACTATGTTGAAAGACACCCTTGAGAATGATCTTTGCTTTTTTATTTACTGGTATGGGTCTGCAAGAATCTCAGAATGAACAAACAAACATTTGAATTTAAAAAAAAAAGGATGATCGACACAACAGCTGCACATACCCACCAGCAGTTGGTGCAGCACAACTGCAAGCCATGCAGAAGGGCCAACAACAATCACCGCATACACATCCACCTTCACTCCTCACCTCATGGATCACGTCAAGGCCCACGCCCTAACAGGACAGGACACCCTTAAGGTCAAAATCAAGAGGTTACGATATGAGTCCTGTAATTGAGACCATGAGCGAGCAAGCACCCTCACAGGTTACGAGTCCATGTATTCGCACTCGTGCAACCTCTCCAGAATCTCCTCATAATCAGGCCTCTGGTCAGGGTCTTCCTTCCAGCAATCTGGCCGTGCACAGGGTTTGAGAAGAGGCGCCAAAGGCTTCTAAGTGTGATGGATGGGGGGGCAAGAGAACAGTGTGTGGTGTGCATGTTTGGCAGACGCCTGAAAGACAGAGCAAACACGTGCTGCCGCGTGGCAGGGTGCAGTAAGGAGAGAAGGGCGACAGAAAGGGTGAGGATAAAAGTGAGAGGGTGTGTGTGTGTGTGTGTGTGAGTGTGAGTGTGTGTGAGTGTGTGTGTGTGTGTGTGTGTGTGTGTGTATAAGAGAGAGGTACAGAGGTGCATACCTGAGATGAGGCGGCCTAGGCTGGTACTGGGGACAGGGAGGCGCGAGTTGTGATGCGCAACAGCATATGCCACCTGTGGAATCGGGGCCGGAGGGGGTATGGGGAACAAAGGGGGCCACGCAATGGGGGGCAAGTGGGGGCAGAGGGAAGGGGGCAAGCCGGGAAGTGGGTAATGGGGCAACACAACGAGTGAAGGGAGGGGAGGAAACAGAGTGGTGGATTCAGGTGACTCAGCTTAGCGTGTGCTATGGGGCAAATTCACCCATCCCTTCCCATCCGTCCTCGACCCTCCTCCACCTTCACCAACCCTTCTCAGCCGTCCTCATCCCTCACACTACTCTTATCACCGCACTGCACGCACCTCCAGCGGCCCATTACAATCCTCCCAGGGGTGGCGCAGCGTGGCAAGCTCCCACATGATGACGCCCAGGCTGAACACGTCGCACTTGAAGGAGCACCGCTCGTTGCGCAGCAGCTCCGGTGCCATCCACTCGGGCGCATTGAGACAGACTCAAGCTGGAAAATTCTGCAAGCTATCCAATCCCTTCCCATTCGATCCTCCCACTCTTCCGCCCCTCCCACCCTATGAACTAACCTCCAGCGGCCCGTTGCAGTCCTCCCAGGGGCGGCGCAGTGTAGCAAGCTCCCACATGATCACTCCCAAGCTGAACACATCGCACTTGAAGGAGCACCGCTCGTTGCGCAGCAGCTCCGGCGCCATCCACTCGGGCGTGCCGGCAGCGGTGCGGCCCACCACGTGGCCGTTGGTGGCGATGCGCGACAGCCCAAAGTCGCACACCTTCACACACCAGTGCCGGTCCACCAAACAGTTGGCTGATTTCAAGTCGCGGTGAATGATGCTCATGCGCTGCAGACACAGCATGCCCCTAGGGAAGAGAGGAGGGATGGGGGTAGGGAGGGTGAAAGGGGACAGGGAGAGTCAGCAGCATGCCAGTCAAGTGCGTCTGGCAGGTGACGGAGGGGTATGTTGGCGGACTTGAGGTTGAGGTGAATGATGCTCATGCGCTGCACTGCACTGCACACACAGCATGCCCCTGGGAGGGAGGGAGGGTGGTGTGGTATGGGGGGGGTGCGGGGGAACGGGAAAAGGGAAAAGGGAAAGAGAGAGTGAGCATGTCAGGCACGTGCGTTTTGGCAGGTGAAGGTGGGGTATGTGAAGGTGGGGTATGTGGGCGAACTTGACTTGCGACTTGCGGACTCAGTGGATGTATGATGCTCATGCGCTGCTGAGCTGAGCAGGCACAGCATGCATGCCCCTGGGATGGTGGTGGGGGGGAAGGAGTGGGTAGAGGGTGGGGAAACAGGTGGCAGGAGTTAGGAGCGCATGTGAGTTGTCTCTGGAAAAGCACAGACCCGGAATGTCAAACAAAGGGCGGAGTACAGTTGAGAGCTGCAGTGCAGACACAGCGTGCCCCTGGAGGCCAGTAGAGGGAGAGGGAAGATGTGGAGAGAGCCATCCCATAACACACACGCCATTCCGTTCCACTCCACTCCACTTCACTTCACCCCACTTCACTCCACTTCACTCCACTTCACTCCACTCCACCCCACTCCCCTCCATCCCACTCCCCTCCACCCCTCTGTACCTGCAGATATCCCTGAGCATCTTGTAGCGGCGCTTCCAGCTGAGGGACTCGCCGCCCTGGCCGGGCTCGCGCGAGTGGATGATGCGGTAGAGCGACCCCATGTGCATGTACTCTGTCACCATGGAGAGGTGCGGGGGCACCGTGCACGCCCCCATGAACAGAATCACTGCAAAACAAGTTGGGTGGGTGGGGAGCGTGGGGGAGGGGGAAGCAGGATGGGGGCAGGGGAGCCAGGGGAAAGGGGAACAGGGAGTGAGGTGGGTCGCGGGCAGGAAATTACTGAAGGAAGAGAGAGTGAGGGGAGTTGGAGGGGGGAAGCAGGTGTGCTCTGTCCCGGGCTGGGGTTGGGCCTCGCATAGCGAGTGGAGTGGATGATGCGGTAGAGCGACCCCATGTGCATGTACTCTGTCACCATGGAGAGGTGCGGGGGCACCGTGCACGCCCCCATGAACAGAATCACTGCCGCATCATGGGGTTGGGGGGACGTGGGTGGTTGAAATTGGTTGGGGGGTGGAGTAGGGGGAGAGAGGAGGAGGGGGAATTGGGAACTGACGCGGGTTGCAAGGGGTGTTATTTTCTGAAGCAGGCACAGGCACTGGAAAAGAGAATGAGGGGAAACGAGAGTGAGGGAAAAAGAGAGTGAGGGAAAAAGAGAGTGAGGCACCACAGAAGCAGGCACGGACCATTGGGGTGTCTGAGGCGGCTGAGCAGTGCAATCTCGTTGTAAAAATCCTCCGTGTCCTCGGGCTTGGCGTGGTGCTCATTTTCTCTAGTCGACTCACAAAGTGGAGCGCAGGCAGGCACAGACACGTACCGTTGGGGTGGCGCAGGCGGCTGAGCAGAGCAATCTCGTTGTAAAAGTCCTCTGTGTCCTCGGGCTAGCTTGAGTCGACTCACACAGTGGGCACTGCGCAGCAGACACTCACTTGGCCTTGGAGCACCTGAGGTGGGTGATCCTATATCGGAGCCTATACCTCAGAAGCAGGCAGGCACAGGCACGTACCGTTGGGGTGGCGCAGGCGACTGAGCAGAGCAATTTCGTTGTAAAAGTCCTCCGTGTCCTCGGGCTTGGCGTCCTGCTCCCACAGCATCTTCACCGCCACCTCTGTGCCGCGCCACACCGCTCTGAACACCTCCCCGAACGACCCTGCAGGGGTGGACAGGAAGTGGCGGAATGGGGAAAGGGGGAGGAAAAGGGAGGGTCGGTGGGTTGGAACGAGCGATATTTCTAGTGAACGAATTAAAAAATAACCTCTAGGTAGTGTGAGACGTTACAAAATTTGGCTGTGCTGACGCAGCAAGCAGCACAGCAAGCAGCGCAGCAAGCAGCGCAGCAAGCAGCGCCGCAAGCAGTGCACCAAGCAGTGCAGCAAGCAGTGCAGCAAGCAGCGCAGCAAGCAGCCCTTACCAACGCCGACGCAAATCCCTAGCCTGAGCTCCGAGAACTCAATGGTCCACTCCTGCGCTCTATCCCCAGTCTATCGCTCAAACAAGGACCACAAACCAGCACCACAAACAAGCACCACAATGAATCACCAAAAGCAAGCAGGTCTTACCAACGCCCACGCGAATCCCCAGCCTGAGCTCCGAGAACTCAATGGTCCACTCCTGCTGCGGCAGCAACGACAGCTGCTGCACCGCACCCGCCGCTGCCCCCGGCCCCACCCACCCTGACCCTGCTCCTGCCCCAACCCTCACTCCCCCCACCACTGCCCCCCCCACGTGACTAGCTGATCCCAATAAGGGGGCTGCACCATGTTGCGAGACCAGGGGGTTGCCAGAGGGAGGAGGGTGGGGGGAGAGAGAGGAGGAGGAGGGGTGGTGAGAGGAGATGGCGAGGGAGGAAGGGGGTTGCGGTGAGAGGCCAGTGGTGGGTGTGTGGGGGTTGGTGGAGTGTGCTTTGGGCGGGGAGGACAAGGGGGTGGTTTCTGCAGAGTCTGTCTGCTGCCGAATCAGCAGCTGCTGTATCCGCGGCTGCTGTGGCGGCTGCGGCTGTTGTTGTTGTTGTTGTTGTTGTTGTTGTTGTTGTTGTTGTTGTTGTTGTTGTTGTTGCTGCTGCTGCTGCTGCTGCTGCTGCTGCTGCTGCTGCTGCTGCTGCTGCTGCTGCTCCTTCTCCTCCTTCTGCTCCAGCTGCTTCTGTTCCTGCTGCAGCGACAGTGCTGGGGGAGCCGGCACTTGTTGTTGAATAGCTTCCTTTGAACTCTCATCTCCTCTGCTAGCCACATCCCCTTCATCCCCATCATCTGCGCTCTTAGAAACGTCACCCTTGCCTCCTTCCCTGTCCTCGCCCCCACCGCTCTCACGCTCCCCTTCCCTTGTATCAACCTTTTCTCTCCCTCCCGCCTCCACCGCACCCGCTTCTCTTCCCTCACGCCCATCCAGCCCTCTGTCATGCCTTCTGCCCCCTGCATCCTCTGTCATTCCTCTCTCTGCTTCGCTCTCTGCACCTCCCTCTGCTCCACCTCCTCCTCTTCGTCCCTCTCCCTCACTAGCTCCCCCACCCCCACCTTCTCGCCCTTCATTACCTTGTATAGACTCTCTTTCTCCCCCGACTGTCCCCATACCCCCATGTCCATCACCCCTCTCCCCTTGCCCCCCATCCATGCCCCTCCTCGCACTGCTGCTTCCCTCGCCCTGCCTCTCCCCTGCCCCTGATCCCCCATCCTCACGCGTTGTCTCACCCTCCTCTTCCACCACTCTCTCAAGGCTATTCAACACTGCACCACTCCCCGTCTCCCTCACTCTCTCAAGCACCGCACTCCTCCCCAACCCCTCCACTCCCTCACCACCTGTTTGATCACTCGCTCCTGCTTCATCCCCCTCCCTTCTCTCCGCCTGCCCCACCCCATCTGCTCCTGCTGCTGTCATCTGCTCTCCCGCCCCTTCACCACGCCCTCCAAACCCTTCTAGCCCTGCAACCCCTTCTCCTCCTCCTCCTCCTACTCCTCCTGATAGTCCTGCCGCTGCCGCCGCTGCTTGTCCCGCCCCTGCCGCTGCTGCTGCTCCCCCCGCAGCAGTAGCAACAGTCCGTTGCTCCAAAGAATCCCTGAACCCACCAGAGGCACCCAGGCTGGGTGCATCTGGGGCGGCGGCAGCAGCAGCAGCGGCAGCAGCAGAGCTGGGCGTGAGGGCAAATGGGTCAGGCCCGAGAGCGGAGGTCGGGGCGGGAGTGGCCGGGGTGGTGGCTAATGAAGAGCCTCGAGGCAATGGCTGGTGACACATGGGGCACACCCGCTGGCGGAGGGAGGAAGAGGGGAGAGGGATGGGGGAGGGACGGGGGCGGGAGAAGGCAGGGAGGGGGGAGAGAGGAGGGAGGTGAGGAGAGAGGAAGAGGGTGAGAACGGGGCCCGAAGGCAGAAGCAGATGCAGAAGCAAGCACACACAGACAACTTCTGAGGCGCCTCAGGACCGCACGGGCACAGGCACAGGCACAGGCACAGGCACAGGCACAGACAAAGCCAGAAACGTTCACCCCAACCCACCATGGCAGAGGCAGCAGCGGCAGCAGCAGCAGCGGGCAGCACGAGCGGAAGGGGGGATGGTAGCACAGAGGGGTCTGATCCATCCCCTGGCGCTGCTGCATCGGGTGGTGCTGGGGGCTCCACCCTCAACGCCCTCCTGTCCCTCCGGATTAGCTCGTTGTACTCACGCACCTTCCTGGAAGGTGGAGGGTGGAAGGTGGAAGGTGGGTCGCAGAGGGGTTATGGAAAGGCACCAGGAGGAAAGAGGGTGATGGTTGAATATACTGGATGAGAAAAGTGTGGAGGCAGCGTGTGGGGATATGATATGATATGATATGATATGATATGACAGTGTCTCTTGGGTTGACGCAAAAGTAAGATGCGCATGGAATGTGCGAGGAGGATACGAAGGGATGGGATGAGGGGAAGGGAGTTTGAGACGTCTTGAAGCAAGAAGGGTTAAGGCGGTAGGAGGGGAGGGGAGGGCGCATGCGTGGGGTGGGGAGTACGCTTAGGGGAAGCAGGAGGGCATGGGGGGTAAGGGAGGGGGCAGAATGGGGCTGGCAGTGAGAGAGCGGGAGTGAGGGAGTAAGGGAGTGAGGGAGGAAGGGAGAGAGGGAGGGAGGGATGGCGGGAGGGAGGGAGTTGTGAGAGGGCGTGTGAACAACGTGACTCACTTGGCCACTTGGTCACTGACTTCCAGCGAGGAAAGGAAGGGAGATGGGAAGGGAGGGAGATGTGCGGGCGTGTGAGGTTTTGAGAAACATCAAAAGCGATTTCAGCAACATGTGACTCACTTGGCCACCTCGTCACTGACTTCCAGTGTGGCGCGCCGACGACCACTTTAGGAGGAAAGGGAGAAGGCACACACAGTAAGGGGAGAAGGGAAGAAAGGAGAAGAGGGAGGAGTGGGGGATGGAGGGGACAGGAAGAGTAGGTTAGTGTGTGACATGAAATGCGCCTGAAACAGGACCAGAGAAAGGGGCAATGCGGGCGGTGAGAGCAGCGATTGGCATTGGAATGAATGAGGCATAAAGGTCGGTTGAGATAAGGGGACAGACACTGGGGCGCAATGAGGGGCGCACTGAACAGCATGGCTGGTGCTGATTCGCTAGCAGCACAAAGAAAGCAGCAAGGGTGGGTGGGAGGATGGATGGGAATGAGCAACGACAGACAGCGGCAAGGATAGGAACAGCGTTGGGTGCGGGAGGCGGCGAGGACAGGCTTTTGAGGCGCCTCAAAAGAAGCAGCGAGAACAGGCTTGAATCAACACAGCAAGGAACAGGGATGGAGAGAAGGGTTGAGGCAGAAAAGGTTTGCGGAGAGCGGTTGACGTGGGAAGCAATGAAGGGATGGGGTTCGGTTGTTAAATTGCTGGTGTATTGGGTTATTGGGCTATTGGGTCATTGTGTTACCGGGGGGCTGATGGCTCGCCCATGTTGCGCCGCGGAGGAGGGGTGGGCTTGAACGTGGTGCTCCTGGTGGTGGGCACATGGGTGGGGAGGGAGGTGAGGTGAGGTGTGGTGTGGTGTGGTGAGGTGAGGTGAGGTGAGGTGAGGTGTGGTGTGGTGAGGTGAGGTGAGGTGAGGTGAGGTGAGGTGAGGTGAGGTGCAGTGAGGTGAGGTGAGGTGAGGTGAGGTGGAAGAGGAGTGAGAATATGACAAAGTCAAACAGGCTCGTGGCTTAGGGTGGGGTAGGGTGGAGGAGAGGAGGGAAGCGATGGTGCATGCATGGAGTGGAGAGGACGGAACGGCAACATCGAGGGGACGAGCACGAAAACTTGGAGGAGCAGAAGCAGAGCATAGGAGTCACAGCGAGAAAAGAAAAGGGAGGAGGAGGATCGTAACTGGTGCTCGCTTCCGCTCCCAGAGCCGCTACCCGTGCCACTGAGAGAAGGTGCAGCAGTAGCAGGTGCCGCCCCTCCCTGCTCACCCCCTCCCCCCTCCCCTGCACTGTCCCCCTGCCCCTGGCCCTGTCCCAGCCCTTGCCCCTGCCCTAGCCCCGGCCCTTGTGCTAGCGATATTGAGCGTCTGTGTGGCGGTGGCATGGGCTCCAGGCCAGACGAGCCTGGCGCAGACGACAGGTGCCCCTCTGAGTTGATGGAGCTGGGAGGGGGGGGGGGGGGGACGAGAGGGAGAGAGGGTGAGGGGGGAGAGAGGGTGCGAGAGGGGAGAAGGGGGTGAGAGAAAGGCAGTGGCATGGGGTCCAGGCCGGACGAGCCTGGGCCCGACGACAGGTGCCCCTCTGAGTTGATGGAGCTGGGGGGAAAGGACGAGGCGGGGAACGGGGTGCGGAGGAGATAGGGAGAGTGGGGTTGAGGTGAACAAAAAGATCAGACATGGTGGCATGGTGGCACGGGGTTTCAGGTCAGACAAGCCTGGGGCAGAAGGCAGGTGGCCTTCTGAGTTAGTAGTGCTACGTAGTAAAAGGGGAGGGAGGAGAGGGTGAGGAAGGGGTGAGGGGAGGGATAGGGAATGAGGTGGAAAGAGGGTGTGAGGGGGAGGGAGAGAGTCAGCCGTCTTGTGCAAAGCTTTAGTGCACAAAGGGAGAGGCAAGAGCAAACGAGCAGGAGAACAAGTAGCAAGGGTGCGTGCGAAAGAGGACTGCGAGAATTAGGAATGTGGGAGGTGGGGGGAGGCAAAGGGTGCGAGCGAACCTGAGGGGGCCCTTGGGGGTATCAACATCCTCTGACAAGCAGCAGTTCCCGAGGAGCCTTCAAATTTGAGAGAAGGGGGGAGGTAAGGAGTGCTAACCTGAGGGAGCCCTGGGGGGTATCAGCATCGTCTGACAATTTCTGAGGCGCCTCGAAATATGAGAGAAGGGGGGAGGTAAGGAGTGCTCACCTGAGGGAGCCCTGGGGAGTATCAGCATCCTCTGACCCTGCTCCACTCCGCCTGTACGTGGTCAAGTCAACCAAGACATGGGGGTGGAGGAGTGCGATGTGGGTTACGGGAAATGATTGTAAGGGAAAGGGTGTTGTGGGAGGGGGTGGGCGGCAAGGGACAGGCGAAAATGGCAGGAGTAAGCAAGTGTAGCACACGGGCCACATGGGCACTCGGGCACATGGAGTTGCACCTGAAGGCGATGGCAGAGTCGGCTGCCCTGCGGTTCATGAGGCCCAGTGACGCCTTGGCCCTCGCTGATATGAACGGGTGCTCCGGACTGCTGCTGCGGTGGGCAGCGGTGGGGCAGGGTTGGGGTTGGGGTTGGAAGGAGAGGGTAGGGTATGGCTCGCATGAGAGAGGAGGAGGAGAAGTGCAAAGGAGGGGTATGAAGGAACGAGGGGATGGAGTAGAAAGAACGACTGGGAGAACAATCAAGCCATGCAGGAGAACAGAAAGACACAAGGCCAGAAGGGCAGGAGCGAGCAGGGCAGGAGGGAGCAGGGCAGGAGCGAGCCGCACAGGAGGGAGCATGGAAGAAGGCCAAGACAGGACGGAGCAGAACAATACCAAAAGGCGCCAGAGACGGCGGCAACAGTTTCGAATCAACTCTAAACAGGAGTGAGCAGCACAGGAACGAGAAGGACAGGAGGCCAAGACAGGACGGAGCAGAACAATACCAAAAGGCGCCAGAGACGGCGGCAACAGTTTCGAATCAACTCTAAACAGGAGTGAGCAGCACAGGAACGAGAAGGACAGGAGGCCAAGACAGGACGGAGCAGAACAATACCAAAAGGCGCCAGAGACGGCGGCAACAGTTTCGAATCAACTCTAAACAGGAGTGAGCAGCACAGGAACGAGAAGGACAGGAGGCCAAGACAGGACGGAGCAGAACAATACCAAAAGGCGCCAGAGACGGCGGCAACAGTTTCGAATCAACTCTAAACAGGAGTGAGCAGCACAGGAACGAGAAGGACAGGAGGCCAAGACAGGACGGAGCAGAACAATACCAAAAGGCGCCAGAGACGGCGGCAACAGTTTCGAATCAACTCTAAACAGGAGTGAGCAGCACAGGAACGAGAAGGACAGGAGGCCAAGACAGGACGGAGCAGAACAATACCAAAAGGCGCCAGAGACGGCGGCAACAGTTTCGAATCAACTCTAAACAGGAGTGAGCAGCACAGGAACGAGAAGGACAGGAGGCCAAGACAGGACGGAGCAGAGCAGAGCAGAGCAGTACCTAGAGGCGCCAGAGACGGCAGCAACAGCCGCTGCAGCAGCTGCTGCCATGGGACTCGTGATGCCTCCTGCTGGCGATGACACATACCCATCCTCCAACCCACCCATGCCCATACTCATGCCCATGCCCATGCTCATGTGCCCTCCTGATGCCATGCCTCCTGCATGCACGCCCATGCCCCCAACGCCCTCAGGCCCAGAGTCCGTCCTGTTGAGGGGGAGGGGAGGGGAGGGGAGTGGAGGGGAGGGGAGGGGAGGGGAGGCGAGGGGAGGGGAGGCGAGGGGAAGGGAGGCGAGGGGAGGGGAGAGGAGGGGAAAAATGCTTTTGAGACGCCTCAAAGCAAATGCCCATGCTCCCTACGCCCTCATGCCCAGAGTCCGTGCTGTTGAGGGGGAGGGGAGGGGGGAAGCGGTGATGGAGGGGGGATAGGAGGTGGAATAGGAGGTGGAAGGAGGAACAGGCGCACAATGAAACGTACATTCTACCAACCGAATTCAGACTTGATGATACCGCAAGCGCGTGCCTGTTTGTGCAGCATCATCCAGTGCAGGGGCACCCAGGCATGCCCACCCATGCTCCCTCCCCACTTCCACCCCCACCCAGTCAACCATCCTCCCTCCCACCCTCCCATCCTCCCTCCCACCCACCCTCCCATCCTCCCTCCCACCCACCCTCCCATCCTCCCTCCCACCCTCCCATCCTCCCTCCCACCCTCCCATCCTCCCTCCCACCCACCCTCCCATCCTCCCTCCCACCCTCCCATCCTCCCTCCCACCCTCCCATCCTCCCTCCCACCCTCCCATCCTCCCTCCCACACACCAATCCTCCCTCACTCCCACTCACCCGCCATCAATGGAGTTGGAGGAGGGAGTTCGAGCCATGCGGTACGCCCCGCCATGCCCAAGGCCAAGGCCATACCCCGCCATGCGCCCACCACCGCCCCCTCCTCCTCCGCCCATCATCATCATCATGGCGCCCTCGTTCTCACTGACGGCCCCACTCGCCCCGTGCCCCATGCCCATGCCCACTATGCTCCCGCCGCTGCCGCCCTCCCCTGGGGATGCCATGCCTTGCAGGGCGCCTGACCGCGTGTGCAGCATGTGCATCCTGCTGCTGCCGTGGGGAAGGGTGGGGAAGGTTGGGGAAGGTTGGGAAAGGGGAAGGGTGGGGAAGGATTAGGGACGCAAAGATTGCACATGTGACTGACACTTTTGAGTATCGCAAAGGTAATTCAACCACAGCCTTGCAGCGCGCCTGACCGCGTGTGCAGCATGTGCATCCTGCTGCTGCTGTGGGGAAGGGTGGGGGAGTGCGGAAAGAGTGGCGGGTGCGGGATTGCACGCGTGGAGTGGAAGGATTTGAGGGTCGAAAGAAATAAGGGTGCTTGTTGAGTTGAGAGCGGACTTTTGAGTCGACTCAAGAGTCAGCTCAAGGATTTGAGGGTCGAAAGAAATAAGGGTGCTTGTAGAGTTGAGAGAGCGTGAAATGAAGTTGCTTGGACGGCGACCTGTGTAAGGTATGTATATGCAATGCATGCATGCACCATGTGTGCGACGCACCATGCGTGTACAAGGCACAAGCAGCACCAGAGAGCGTTGGTGGTTCCTCCCTCGAACATCAACGCGCGTTGGCGGATCACATCAGATTGGACAAGCGTTGGTGTTTGCAAGTGCAAACTTATGCTGCACGTCCCCATTGCCAAATCAAGGCTCAAGCCCAGTCCATGCACATGCACAAGCTCTGTGCACCCCATGCACCTGTGCGTATCCGCACATGTGCATCCCCACAAGTGCCTGCCCCTTATCCAGCCCGCCTGCAACCCCCCAACCCTCCTCACCTGCCCCCCAGGGCCATGCGGTCCTCCTGAATGGCTCGCCGCCGGCTGCGGTGCCTGCGGAACGTGTTTTCGAGTCGACTCAAAGCACTTGTGCATGTCCCATCCCACATCCAGTCGCCCCACCCCGCCATCCCCCCCACCTTCCTTACTCACCTGCCCCCCAGGGCCATGCGGTCCTCCTGTATGGCTCGTCGCCGGCTGCGGTGCCTGCGGAACGCATTGGCCTCGGGCTCACTCGTGGGACTGCACACCGCACGCATAGGCCGCACAGCGCACAAAGCGGTGTGTGCGGACAAGGCACAAGACGTACGGTAAGTACGGGCCACAAACGACGTGGGAACAGAGGAGACAAGGGGTGGGGTGGGGGAGACGGGAGGGATGAAATGAACGAGGGGGGTGGACAGTGAGGAGTGAGAGTCACATTAGCCAGACGAATCACATGCAAGATGCACGACGCATATCAAAGCCAACTTCGAACCAAAGCCCACCCTACCTACATGGAACAAAAGCCCAAGCTCCATGACTGCCCGCCTTGTGCCAATCATTCAAGCACCACATGGCGCACCTTATATTGGAGCCAGTGAAAGCCCCCAAGGGGATAGGATGGGACAAGAATTATTCCGAGCCATTCCGAGCCATTCTGAGCCCAACAACTCCATAGCCAGCCAGCCAGCCAGTCGAGCCAACAAGGCTTTTATCAAAGCCCGGCCTACACAGAAGCTTACCTTGCTTCCGTCCAAGCCAAGCCCGCCTAGATTACATCAGAAAAAAAGCGAGCATTGAGCCGAGGCGAGGCGAGGCGAGACGAGCACACCTTATATTGGAACCAGCGAATGCCCCTGAGGAGGCGGCGGGGATGAGGAGAGGGTTGGGGTTGGCTGCCAGGTTGGGCCGTCTAGAGGAGCGGCCCGAGAGGTACGACATGTAGCGCTCCACACTGGGGGGGGGGGGGGGGGAAGAGTAAGAGGGATTGTGGGAGGAGGAGGAAGAGGGGGGACCAGGGGGTGAGTAGGATGCAGAGACGAGGGGTGGCAGGAGGGACGAGCGGCCCGAGAGGTACGACATGTAGCGCTCCACACTGGGGGGGGGAGAGAGGGGGGGTGCGGAAATGGGGACGAGTAAGGGGGTTTTGGGAGAGGACGGGGAGGACGGGGAGGGGACGAAGGATGTGAAGAGGATGCAGAGACGAGGGGAGGCGGAAGGAGCGGCCAGAGAGGTATATGCAACGTTTCACGATGAGGGGAGGCGAGGGGGAGGGAAAAGGGGGAGGGGAAAGGGGGGGGTGTTGGAGAAGAATTCAGAGAGAGGGGAGGCAGAACAAACACAGAGAGAGAGGCAAGAGATAGCGAGGGAGGGAGCGAGAGGGAGCAAGATGGAGCGAGAGGGAGCGAGGGTGAGGAAGAGAGATACAGGAGCATGCATAGAATAGACTTTGAAGGTGGGCCATGGCGACAGACATATCAACAGCATTATTTGGCTATAGTCTCTCCTTGCGCCTCAAAAGCAGTACTTGGCTTGGTTGGTCATATCCTCTGAAACAGCTATATCCTTACGATCTGGTTGCGGCTGCCACGCCCGTGCCTCCCAGTGTTGTATTCCCTCCGTCCAGCAGAGAAGGCGGCTGCTGCTGGTACTGCTGCTGCTGCTGCTGTGATGGCGGCACCTGCTGCTGCTGCTGCTGGTGTTGCTGCTGGAAGCGAGAGGTGTAAGCTGCGGCTTGAGAAAAGGCAGAGTCTACTGGATCTAGAGACGAGCCCGTGAGGGAGGAGAGAGATGGCCCCGTCTGTCGTGAGCTGTTGGGGAAATGGGTAGGACGGAGAGCCAAGGAAAGGAATGGCGGGTGTCTTTTGAGTCCAAGTGTAAGCTGTGGCCTGGGAATTTTTCAGAATTCTCAAAAAAAAAATCCCTGCGGCCTGGGGAAACGCAGAGTCTACCAAATCTAGAGATGAACCGGTGAGTGAGGAGCTGCCAAACGGAGACAGCCTCGTTTGACAAGAGCTGCTGGGGAAATGGGTAGGACGGAGAGAAGGGATGGGACGGGGCTGGAGTGGGGAAGGGTGGATGAGAAGAGGGGGGAGGGTCAGAAGGGTGTGACGTGGTGAAGAGTGGTGACACTGCCTGCATGGCAGAGGGAATGGGAACGGAGGCAGGAGGGGAGGCAGAACGGGTGGGGCTACTTATTGGTACCATACCGGGCAGAAGGAGTGTGTGGTGAGATCGAAAGGGTGAGTGGTTTTTTACAGCAGCAGGGTTGGGCATTGGTGCATATGTATCGGCACCTGGGGAGCCTCTACAACAGAACTGCAGACTCAGAGAGGCAGAAGATGAGCAGGGGGTAACCAAAGGCTGGAGGCACAGAGGCTGGAGGCACAGAGGCTGGAGGCACAGAGGCTGGAGGGCGGAGGTGGCGAGAGGAGATGGCAGAGCGCGCATGGATGACCCACTGCGACACACGTCTCCCCTCAGAAATACTGGTCGCTTCTCAGAGTTCTTAAAAGGCGACCTACAACGACCTGGCGCATAGTGCATGCAAGAGTGCATGCATGAGAGCATGCATGAGCATGAGCATGAGCATGAGCATGACCCACCTGCGGTACACGTCTCCCCTCTCCCTCAGCATTGTGGGCCGGCGCGTGTACTCGCTGCCATGCCATGGGACACGGGTTGGTGCGGAAGAGAGGAGAGGGAAGAGAGGGGGGAGAGGAAGGAGAAAGAGAGAAAGAGGAGAGGGGGGCACAGAGGCGAGGGAGGAGGGTGCGTGCAAGGAGGGGTGTGAGCACAATGAGAAAGGATGAGTAGGAAGAGACGTGACGAGAAAGGGCAAGAGGGCAAGTGCAGCATTGCAAGGAAGCAGGAACAAGGGTGTGGGGGAAAGCGAGGAGGGGCAGGGATAGGGGGAGATGGAAGAGGGGAGATGGGAGAGGGGAGATGGGAGAGGGGAGACGGGAGAGGGAAGGCGTGTGGCGAGAGGAGAGGCGCGAGGGGAGAGGGGAGGTGGGAGAGGCGAAAGGGGAGAGGGGAGAGGGAGTGAGTGAGAGAGAGCACACCTATCGCTGAGCATAGATCTTCTGCCGTAGTCACCAGCACTGCACAGGAGGGGTACGTGCGAGGATTGTGAGGGGAATCGGGACCGGGGGAGCAGAGGGGCGGACAGAGGGTGTGGAGAGAGCAAGGGACGGCCAAAAGGAATGCGTTCGGATGAACAGGAGGGCGGAATGGAATTTACGGGGAGAACAATGGGATGGGGGGAAGGATGGGATGGGGGGGAGGATGGGATGGGGGGAGGATGGGATGGGGGGAGGATGGGACGGGGGGAGGATGGGACGGGGGAGGATGGGATGGGGGGAGGATGGGATGGGGGGAGGATGGGATGGGGGGAGGATGGGATGGGGGGAGGATGGGATGGGGGGAGGATGGGATGGGGGGAGGATGGGATAGGGGGAAAGGATGGGTCGTACCTGCGGTAGCCGTCCATGCCAGGGTCGCCTGTGGGGTACGGCCTCCGACCCTGAGTATCGCTGTGGTGCGCGTGGGGAGGGGGGATGGGGTGTCGCCCACACACGCCATGCCATGCCATGCCATGCCATACCATGCCATAGACATGCCGTAGCCATGCCATACCATAGACATGCCGTAGCCATGCCATACCATAGACATGCCGTAGCCATACCATACCATAGACATGCCGTAGCCATACCATGGCCATACCATGCCAAACCCATTACATTCCATTTCAAGTCATGCCACGCCATGTCACATCCCATCACCAGGCCGCACGCAGACGGCAAGGAGGGGAGGAGGGCATGAGCAGGATAGGAAATGGAGAGAGGGAGAGGAGGGGGAGAAAACCGGGGGGAAAAGGTGGTGTGGCGGGTGGGTATACACACTGGGATAGAAGAGAGAAACATAAGCAGGGAGAACAACACATATTTTCTCATTCAGCGTGTTTCTTCCGCCTATCTAACCGCTTCACAACCCCACCTGGAGCCCACCGTAATCAACAGCTCGGTTGCAGGTACACAACGGTACAGGTAGAGGCAAACAACTGACAGCCAGACCAGCACACGCCAGACGTCACCAGGCTGTAAATTACAGACACAGTCCACACGCCATCGGTTACTAGACTAGGTTAATCCAGAACCACCGAGCCGCTTACCTGAGTTCGCCCGGCGTCGGGTCGCCTTCCGTGGCGCGTCTGTGCGACACGGATAGCGACGAGCGGCCGCGCGGCCGAAGGAACGACGCGTCCATTATCCCGCTGCCGCTGCCGCCGCTGCCGCTGCTGCCGCCGCTGCCCGGGCCACCCATAGCGGCAACGGCGGCGGCGGCGGCGGCGGCGGCGCTAACCCGCTCCATGCTGTTAGGCCGCATGGCGATCCTCTGACCCTCTTCGTCATGCCTCTCCATCTATCTCCTGACCGTTGAATGCTTTCCCGTCTCGCCTTGGTCGGCCGAACACTCACACTCCTCCGCTCGCCTCCGTCGGCCTTCCTAACCTAATTTCGTTCTTCCCGCTTCCAAATGTTTTCCTTCTACGTATGCACCGAACGAGGCCGTTAGTTCCCTGCTAGTTCCTCCCTACTTCCGCTCTAGTCTCTCCCGAGCTCCTGTCAAGCTGTTCCCTAGCTGGTAGATAGTTCCTCCTTAGTTCCTACCCTATCGTCATACAGTCCCTAAGTCTAGTTTTCTTCCAGTCTTCCTCCTCCTTTCCGCTTTCTCTCGTTCTCCTCCGGTCCGCACACTGACGCAAAAACTCCAGTCTCGTCCTATCACCACCCCTCGTCTTCACCTGCAGGCCCTCTCGGGCACGTTATTTCGTTTCCCATGCAGGCATCTCCCATCGTTTCATCACATGCTTCTTGGCACGCTTTTCCGTCGACGAATCCGCGCCGTAGGTTCGGTACGGCAGATAATCGCTTGAGTGCACGGGTAGCAATCGGAATTGGTAGAGTGGAGAAAATAGCCAGCAATCCACACCCGACGCAAAAGAAAACACCGAGCGAGCGGCCGAAGAGCCTTGACGAACAAAAATGGTGACCAAAAAATACCAACTTATTCCCGATGCTCCCGCGAAAACAAAAAAAGCGTTTTCCGGTTTCCACGCAGGGAACAAAATCGTCGTCGATATTCAAGGTAAGAGGTGTGGACGTAGAAACGGGCAAGCCAATGGGAAAAAAATGGGGGAAACGATGTTGGCTGCTACGACGAAATAATCCTACTCCACATGAACCCTACAACATACGCGATGTTAATAAATGAACTCCATGGCATGTGTAGGTAACCAGGGAACTGATAAGGACAGCCCTAATCTCCACATTCCGTGCTTGCGGAGCGAACAAAATTGGACTGGCGCGAGAGAGCTGAGGGAGAGGGGAGAAGGTGGCGGGGGGGAGTGGGGAAGGGGGGAGGGGGGGAGCGGAGGCGAGTTGGCCCTTGAACAGCTCGAGAGCAGGCCTGTCGATTCACGGACATTTGTCCGTTTTCCCTGAGAATTCAGAGATAGTTTCAGCTCAGCTCTGAGATTTTCAGGGTTGGTTTTTCCCCCAGCCCGGATTCCTAACGGACAGGTTTTGGGGCTCCCCGGATTCCCGTAAGAGCCAACCCCCCTTCCCCTCCCCCCCTTTATTCCAGACCTTAGACCGCAAACTTGTCCCTCTCCCACCCCCAACAACACCAGTCCCCCACGTTCCCCAAGCGTACTCTGCTCTTTAGTGTATGTCTAGCTTGAATAACTTAGCTATATTTCGCATGTATTCTCAGAGCGGGAAATATGAATGCCCTGAAATTACGTCCGCTTCCCGGATAGCTCAGGGCTGTTTTCGACAACAGATCGGGCGCGCGCAGAACAGCGCTCTCCCCACTGGTAGTCCTTGTTGAGAAGGGGAATTTTTGGGGCGAAGGCGGAAGGGGGAGTGGTTTGGTTTGGATGGGTCAGGCAGTAAAAGCTGTGTGAGAAGGAGGCTAGGGGGATAGGTGCGGGGAGTGGGTAGGTTGGGGGGGGTACGCTTGGGGGGGATGGGGAAGTTACAGTAACAGTACCAGGCGGACTGTGGCTCTTTCCGACACGACAGCAGTGCTGAGGAGGTGATGACGGCGATTGCATCGGCGGACGGTCGTTGACCAGGGAGCGGGCGCGGACAGCGGGGCTGCGGTGGTGCTGACGACGAGTCAAAAAGCGGTTCAGCTGGACAATGGGCAGCTGCGGGTACAGCTTGGGAAAACGGTTTGGCGGGAGAAGGGGAACTGTGCAATACCGCACTGTAGTGCCACTGCGCCTGCTGCTGATTGTGGCAGTGTTGTGTGCCATATGAATCTCAATATACGTACACTTGCGAGCTTTGGCAGAGAATGGTGAATACGAAATCCAGGTGACAGTGATATTCAGCTGTCTTAGAATTTCAGCTTCTCTTCTTTCTGGGGATTAGTAGTGATAGTGATGCAACCTGGCATATCATTGCCTCACGGTACTGAATTTCCATTCTGCCCACTACCAACCAACATGGGAGGGATCACTTGATTTCCCTAAAAATAACTCTGCATAGTGTGTATGTCACTTTATGGTAAGTAAGCTTCTCCCTGTCTGAACATGCAATGGCGCATTCAAGTTTGTTGAAAGTTCAGTGTGGCTAGACTCCATTGTGTGAGTCTGCTATTAGACGGGTGAAGAGCTCCGGTGTGAGGGGTTTAGAAGGCACAATGAAATGCCAACAAACTCAGCAAGTTGACCTGGAAACAACTACCAGTAACTTACGGGAACTGCCCACAAGAAGAGGGTTCCACGGATGCCAGACACGACCAGACCTGGTCAAACTCCGCGGTGGGACCCCTTTATGACCATAGAGCAGAGTTACGAGTTCAAAAACGGTTTCACAGCACAAATCCATCCCGCCTAGAGCACACAAGTGTTATCCTACCTACGATTGCCTAGCCATTCGACGTGACTAAACCCATTGCCTAGTTGTGCAGCTAGCCAACGATCAAGGCACAATCTCAGGGTTTCCTGCAGGCACTGTTGGTATTTTACCCGCAGCCGGTGCAGCAGTTTTTCCAGCAGCAACAGGGGTGAGCGTTGCAGGAACTTCCTTGACAGGGGCCACTGCCTTTGCTGCAGGGACAGGAACCTTAGCAGCTGGAACCTTGGTAGCTGGAACCTTAGTTGCTGGAACTGCAGGAACCTTCCCAAGTGGTGCCTCTACAACTGCAGGGATCTTCCCAAGAGGCGCTTCCACAACAGGGGGAAATTTGACAGGCTTCTTGGGAATGGCAGGAGGAGCATGTACCACAGGAAGCTTGCCAGCAGGAGGCAAAACCTTGCGTGAGGGAGCAGTTTTGGGAGGGAGGGCAGGGGGCAGCTTCCACTTCCCCTGGCCCTTGAAGAACAGCGGAGGAGCAGGAGGGGTTCTCTTGACCGGCCGGGGAGGAGGGGGGCTCGGGGGAGGAGGTGAGGGGGGCGGGGGGTTGACATAAGGAGGAGGGGGGCTGGGGCCGTTGCGCTTGGGAGGAAGTCTGGGAGCCTTAGGGGGAGGGGTCCTCCAGGGGGGAGGGGAGACGGGCGGCTTGGGAGGCGAGGGGTAGGGCTTGGGAATGAGCTCCTCGAGGGACTCGGCGTACTTCTTGGCCCAGGGAATCTGCGCCCACATGCGCGTGAGCGAGTTGCCCGGGCTGTTGCCGCTGCGGAAGGCACCCAGGCTGGCCAGGAGGCCGGCAAAGACAGCGTTGAGGTGCAGCAGGGGCTCGCTCTGCTGGGGGATTGTGCGGTCGTCCAGGTATGAGTCGTCCCGGGCTGGACCACCCACGATCGCTCCCACGAGAACGTTAGGATTCGGATACTTGGATCTGAAGCAGGGAGGAAGTGGCCCGGAGGAAGAAGGGACGGGTGGCATGTCAGGGCAGCACAAATAACTTGGCACTGTGTTATTATTGTTACTAGGCGGTTCTTTTTGGTGGGCTTGTGGATGTACGAACTAGTTCAAAAAGTTTTGTGTGATTGTTTTGAATGCTTGAACCTTCACGGAATGTGTCCACTTACACTTTGAAGCGCTGGCCAGTGGCGCAGTCAAAGGGCGTGGGGTCGACGTGCTTGGACGTGATGGAGGCGGCTCTGTGGTGCACGCGCGTGGGGTACTTCTCGCCAAAGCCCACCATGTAGCTCATCTTCTGGGGATTGTCGCCCAGGATGTAGTTCACCTGCCATCACAACCAAGCGCAAACAACGAGTCAAGTATGGAGCGAGTCAGGTACAAAGCCTACTTTGCGCGCTAGGCAAAAGAAGCAGATTCAGTCGCGACGGCGCACAGCCGACACGATCGCGGTATTCATATCGCACCTGCGAGGCGGCGAAGTCGACGATGTCGTCAATGGTGGCGTCGCAGTCGAGGTAGTGCGAGGAGACGTTGGCGTTGATGGCGATGCGCAGGTAGTCGCTCACCAGCACCGACAGGAACCCCGCGTTCACCGCGTACTGGATCGGATGGTCGTCGCTCACGTAGATCAGCCCCCCTGCACGCCCAGGTGGAGAGCGGGAGAGAGAGAGGGTAAGAAAGTGAGAGCAGGGCAAGAGAGTGCTGGTGCATTTTTCTGACGTCAAGGGCTGACAATCGGGCCGCAGAGCGCTTAGCAACGCGAACGAACTTAATGTGAGAGAAGAGGGAGAGGGTCGCGAGGAGAGGCAGATGGGAAGACGGCGCAGAGATAGGTGGGGATGGGTGAGTGTTGAGCAAAAGGGAGAGTGGTGATAATTACACACGGGCCACTTACCACTGTCGGTGAAGTTGGCGCGGAGCCAGTGCGGCGTGTGCTGGCACACGTAGAGCTTCGCGGCGTTGAGATACGTCTGCAGGTACTGCGGGATCTGCCCCTCGTTGCCCGCCCCGTACCCCAGCATCAGCAGCCGCGTCATCAGCACCTGCATGCGTAGTCGAGTGACACAATATAGATAAGATGAGCGCCCATAACATGCTTTCTACCGCGCGAAATAAGAGAGACGACAACAACAGAGACTGCACCGCTTCCAGCCTGTCATCCCAGAACCCAACATGCACTCCAAGTCAGACCAAGCCTCGATACTCCGCTGCTTCCCTCGCCATACCTGTCTACTCTAACTCCCCGATCCAGAACCCACCTGCACGCCGGGCGCCTTGTTGTCCCAGTCGAACGTCTTCGTGCCGGGCCCCCACTGGTTCGTCTCGAAGATGTACGAGTTCGGCCCGATCACGTAGTCCAGATACTTGGTGTCTCCCGACGCGAAGTACAGCCACGTGGCGCCCCACATGAGCTCGTCGCCGTAGCCGGTGGAGTTATACTCCGTCTGCGCCGCCTCCACCCAGTCGCTATACTTCCCGCGGTATTGATCCGCGTACTCGAAGATCTCCTCCGCGCTCTGCAGAAGCTGGTCCGCGTACGCGGGGTTGCCCACGCGGAACGTCAGCGAAGCGGCGGCGAGCGCGGCGGCGTATTCGCCCGCGAGGTCGGAGCACGGGTGCGTGACGTCGCAGGGGAACATGGTGGGGCGCTGCGCGGGCTTCATGTCCTCCGGCCGGATCCAGCACACGTCGTCGATCTCGGGCGTGCCCACCTGCGCGAATATCAGTTCCTGGTATCTTGAAGCGAGGATGTACTGTACACCCCAGTCTATGAGCTCCGCCATTTCGTTGTGCATATTCACGAGTCGATACACGGACTCGTACTCCAGCAGCGACCAGCACAGCATGGTCACGGTGTAGGCCAGCGGGAAGTGGTACTTGATGTTGCTGCCGCCGATGTAGTATCCTCCCCGTAGGTCCCGGTTCTGATCCTGTCCGTCCCGCATCCCCGAGTTATTTCGCCAAGTGATGGGATAACCCGGGGGTAGTTTACCCGCTGAAATTAGCAACAAAGAGTGTGGATGTCAGAGACATCGAGGTTATAAAAGCGCACAACACTCAGATCTGCAACTAGATGCTTCTTGTTCTTTACAGCTTGCGGAGATAATATTACGCTGAGCTGTTTCTTACATGTTTGTAGATGCGTTGCTGGCGCGAGCAGAGGCGCGACTCACATTTTTGGGTTTCGAGGAAAAGCAGGGCCATTTGGATCTTGGATGTGATGGTGACGTTGATAGGCGGGGGCGGAAGCGGAGCGGGAGGTGGAGGGGGTTCCTCTCCTTGCATCGACGCGAGCTTCACACCGAGGAAGACGGACGCAGCGAGGATGGCGACACTGCCGGCCATGGCGAAGGCGAGGATGATGGCCGACGACTTCCCACTGCGAGGCAACAACGGGGAAAATGGTCGAGCACAAAGAGGAAGTTCAGGGAGAGCCATGAGCTGCGAGCGCGGAAGCGGAGCGCTGACAAAGGAGAGGAAGCTTCATCTCAGCCCGTAATAACAAAACCCAAGGGATCAGGATGTACAAAGATTGGCGAAAAAGAACCGCGAGGACAGGAGAGGGAAACATGGATGAACGAGTCACTACGAAATGCATCAGCGAGCGAAGGGAGCCGGTTAAGATGTTAGAAGAGAGGTTTAAAAGCGAAGTTAGGCATGACGTATGTTCCGCTCGACCTGTATACAACATTTTCTTTGATATATCCAGTCTTTCCATGACCGAGGCCATGAAGCTACAGTAATACGGATCTGGTGATTCATGTGTTTCGTTTACTTGGAACTTGAAAGACTGTATTGACAACATTCTAAAACGACCGAACAGATAGGTAACATAGGGAAGAAGCGAGTCCGGAAAAGCGTCTTACCCTCTTGTGGGGTCGAGAGGGACATATTGCCGATTCATCCCCATGTTGAAGGCCGAGTGACAAAAGTGTTCAGGAGTTTAGAGACTTTGTGCATAGAAGAAGCAGCTGAGCTGAAACGCACTGGCGGGAACCTTGTGTGAAGCTAATGGCGAAAATGACTTCGCCTGAAGCACCCCATTGATACTATAAGCTCGCTGAAGTTTGAACGGTCATCATATTTTGTTATTTCTCTTCGCACTAGAGAGGAAGAGATTCGACGCAGGGACCGAGTAGGCTGGTCGGTAAGCAGCTATTCTTTCCTGTCGGCTCCCATAAGAAGCTGATTAGCTGATATGATGAGCTAAGCAATCAGCAGCGTCAGAATCCGAGGACGAAAAAGGAGCAGGTGACTGATTTCAACAGACGTCCACGCGATGATCTCTAGGCAAGGAAGTCACACACATCCTGTGCCCCCATTCAATCGGGCTGGGTGTCCTTACAAAATGGCGCGAAACCAAAATTGTGACCCGTGTGACCAGTGAGAGAGGTTCGGGAAGATCTCAGAGCCACGCAGACCGCGTCTGGTATGGCAAAAAAGCAGTCACGAGCCGGTGGAACGCTTCCCCGGAGTCGGAAGCCACCCTCACCCGCCGACTCCCCGCTACGCAATCAAAGAGCCCGAAGCCCCGCATGACGGGTATCTTTTGCTGTGTGGTTTGGTAGGGGTCAAGTGAGCTTTGGAGACAACGACGATAAGTGATTGGCTTTGAAAGGGGCAGAAATCTGTCTCACCGTTCCCAAGCCTGATCTCAGCTAAGGTTAGTGGTTCGGGCTAGGTTTGAGCGGAAGTGCCAATGTGGTATCCTTACTTTCTGACAATCTGACAGAATGCCAGCTTGACGTGCCACTGACAAATAGAAAAGCGAAACTCGACAGGAGCAGAAGTCAGCGCCCTTGACAGGACAAATGATGCTACACTCGTGAGAATCACGTCGATCTATAGTTTTCATGCATGAGAAAAGCATGGGCAACGCACCATAACAAGCACAACTCGACCTACGTGCATGCACAAGCTAACATTTCTGCAAAGTTATCCCAACTAAATTACCACAAAGTCTCTAACCCTTTTATTCCTTTGACTAAAGCCCTCTTCTTCCCAGCCACCGAAATCCCTTGAGAGGGTTTCCATTCTTTCCTCCCACCAACTCCTGCACCGACAGCCCTCCCCCACTACTAGACCTCAGAAGCCTCCTTGTTGGGGTAGCAGGCGCAAATCCACCACCAGCTGACGAGCCGCCGCCAGCAGGAGTATTCCTCCGCCGAGCCTTCCTCTGCCTCTCAACATCCGTCATTTCCCCAACCACCTCCCTAATCAACTGCATCGTTACAGCTTCCTCAACCTCCCTCACCACCCCCACAATCTCCTCAATCACATCCACCCATCGGTCCACACCCCTCCCCATATCCCGCCGCGCCGCATCATCCAGAATATCGTAAACCTCCTCCGAGGCCGCCACAGGCCAGTCGTGAATCTCCCCCCACACCTCCTGCAGCAGCGCCAGCCCCACCGGCCGCGGCCGCACCAGCAGCTCCCGTAACCCTTCAGCCCAGACTGGCAGCTCCACATAAGGCCCCAGCCGTCTGCCCAGTGCTTCATTCACCGCATCAAACAGTAGCCGGCGCTGCCGCCGCTCCTCCGCTCTCTTCGCATGCTCCGCTTCTGCCTGTGTGCTTCCAGGGGGGAACGCCGAGGAAGGGAGCGGTCGAGGGGATGCGGCAGCGACGATGCTGGATTCCAAGCGAGGGAAGATGTGGGGCGGGATGGGGCGGTCTTGGGAGTGGAGCGGGGGGAGGCGCGGACCGGCAAAGCCAGCTGCTATGAGGATGTGGCGCACATAGTCCAGGTCCTGCTCCATGCCCTCTGCATCCATGCCCCCCATGGCCCCCATGCCCCCCATTCCTCCCATGCCCCCCATCATGCCGTTTGCATGCATGGGCACGCCCGACTGCATGCATGCGCCTGCACTCGCATCTGTGCCGGGTGTTCTGTGCCCCGGTTGGTCTGTGCAGCTGGCTGCACTACCAGGGCTGGTGCTGCTTCGAGGTAGCACAGCTGATGATGCCTCACGTTGACACTGCTGGTCTTGCTGGTGCTGCTGCTGGTGCCGCTGCTGCTGATGCAGCTGCTGATGCAGCTGGTGATGGTGTTGGTGATGCTTGCTGTGAGATGGTGACAGCGGCTGATGCTGCCGATGCTGCTGATGGTGCGGGTGAAAAGGGTTGCTGTGGGCGGCATCGGAGGAGGCGGGATCATCGGCGAGTGCATGCGGCGGTGAAGACAGCACCCGCGGCATCACGTCTCCTGGCAGCACCACAGCATTGGATGGCCGCACGGAGGACACAGAGGCGGACACAGGCGGTATAGTCGGCACTGCACAGGGTGTGGCACACACAAACGGGAGAGTAGGAGAAAGTGAGACAGGGCCAGCAGCACATGGGGGCAAGCAACAGCCCGCATAGGCAGCAGGGAGGCCAACAGCTGAGCTGCAGCAACAACAACAAAAGCAGAAACAGCAGCAGCAGCAGCAGTGCAAGGAAACTCCAACCCGGCTGACTTACCCCGGTTTCCTTCTCGTCCCTCAGCCTCTGTCTCTGCAACCGGTCGAGCAGCCTGGCTGAAGTCCAGTGTCGACACCGGGCTGTGCTCCTGCCCGTCCTCGCGCACAAGCTGCCAAATGCCGCCACCCACCGCGCCATCGGCAGCTCCCGCTCCGCCATTCTTCCCCCCTCCCGTCCCCGCGTCCCCCAAACCACCTGCGGTTTCCGCCCCTCCTTGCCCTGACTGCACTGTCTGCGCTGATTGCATCAGCTGTTGCGCAGCCTGGCTATGGCTGTGGCTGTTGCTGTTGCTACTCCAGCCACTACCACTCTCATGATTGCTCCCCTTGCCGTTGCCTCTCCCATTGACATTCTTGTTCTCTGCCAAGCTCCTGCTCCCTGCCGCCGCAGCTACCACTCCCCTTTCCTCTCGTTCCCTCTCCTTCTCTCTCCCTCCTCTTCCCTCGTCTCCCTTTTCCTCTCGCACTCGTTCCCTCACTCGCTCTTTACCCCTCTCCCTATCTTTTCCCTTCTCTTTCGCCCGTGATCCGTACTCGGTCCCCCCTGCCCTCTCTCTCGCTTTTTCACTCCCTCGCCCTTGCCGTTCTTTCCCCCCATCCCTGCTCCCCTCCCCCGCCTCCCGCGCATCCAGCTTCCGCCACTCCGCTTCCCGGCTCCCGGCCATGGCGGCTGCAGCGGCGGCGGCGGCGGCTTCCGCTTCCGCGGGGGTGGCGGGGGAGGCGGACTGAAGCCACTCCTCCACCTCCTGCAGCAGCCGCGACTGCTTCTGCTGCCGCGACGACGAACCGCGCTTAACATCGCCGCCGGGGAGCCTCGCAAGCGCACTCGCCGTCAGTGGACTAGAGCAGCCGCTCCCTCCGCCACTTCCGCCACCATCCCCGCCACCATCCCCGCCGCTATCCCCGGTGATGTGGCCACTGGAGGAGACGTGTCCGTGTCCCTTGGCGGCTCGACTCCTGCTCTCGCCTCCCCGGAGAGACGGGTTGCTCGTCGAGGCACCTGATGACGTGGCACAGATCCCTTTCTTGTCGTGGCTGCGCCTCACTCGCGCGGAGTTCCCGCCGCTGATCGTAGAGGCGGCGCTGCTGCTCTTCCGCGCGGTCCCCGCAGGAACCGCTGCTGTGCCCATTCCGCCTGCAGCCGCTTCCTCGGGAGGGAAGTTCGCGCTCTCTTGCGCGGCGCTGTTACCTCCCACGCTCTGCCCGGCCGCGGAAAAGCCCAACGCCGCGCCCGCCGCCTCCCCCGTTTCTGCTCCCGATTCCGCCCCAAGCCCGTTCCCTAGGGCTATCGGTCTTGCGCCATCCCCGCCCCCGTCCATGGTTTCCGCGGTCGTGGTTCCGCCAGCAGTAGTGCCTCCTGCCGCGCGCGGCCGACACTCTCCGCCTAATCCTTCCGCCGCTTGTGCTCCGCCGCCTGATCGCCCGCCCACGATTTCTGCCGCGCAGGCGGAGCCGTTATGCGCGTCCGGCGGGTCGCTCGTATTCAGCGACGCGTTAACCGGTACCACGCGGCTTCTGTTACCGCCGTGAGAGTTCACGCGGAGGTGCTCGTTCGCGCTCTGCGCTCGCAGCGGGTCTCCCCGCTCCCTGCCGCCGTGCCTTGCGGTGGAGTTTCCGCCGGCGCCGCCAGTGCTGCCGGTCGTCACGGCCGCCAGGGCGGCGTGCGCAAGCGCCTTGGGGTCGTGCTGGCGCGCTTTCGCACGGGAAGCATCGGCGGAGGTGGAGAGGCGGGAAGCCGCGGGGATCGGGGAGACGCTGCGCTCTTTCCGTGAACGGCCCATTACTCCGCCTAGCACGGGAACTCCTCCCGCTCCCGCTCCCCCTCGCGATCCGGTTCCTGCTGCTGCAGCCAATGACTGCGCCGACGGGGGGCCGCTCCGCCCATCGAAGTCGTGGAAGAGTGCGCGGGGGGAGGACTCCGCGGAACTGTTATTGGCGGAGACGCTGGTGCTCCGCGGCGCCCCCGCGAGTCCCAGGAGACGGCGGAGGTACGCGGATGTGCGGCCGGAAGTAGAGGGACCCGCGCCGTCGGGGGGCTGGAGTGAAGAGAAGCGGGGATTAGGGAGGAGGGGGAAACGGTGAGTGGCTTATATTGCACCGCTGATTCGTTTCCAGCTCCTAAGAATCCATGGATCGTAAATGAACTGCACAACCGCCATGAGCTTTTCGATGCCATCCCGCCATTACCGCTCAAGGAGCTAAGGAGAAATAACCCGAGGCAACTCATGTCGACTCGGCCCGACTCGACCCCACTCGGCTTGAGCGGCCGCTCTTGACTTTGTTCGAGTTGGCTCGATACGGCTCGAGTCGGCTCGATACGGCTCGATTCGGCTCAATTCTGTCTACTCGGCTTGCCCCGTCTCGGCCCGACTCGGCTCTTCTCGTCTTAACTTCGACCCGAACTGGACTCGCCGCGACCTAGCTCGACTCGACTCGTTCCAGGGCGTGCGACATACCTCCGGCGCAGAGCCGCCAGCAGCGAGCGCGGAAACGTGCGCGTGGAACTGGTCATTGCGCGCCAATGCCTCCAACACCGTTTGACTCAGCGCCGGCGCTGCTGGGGGATTGGGGAAGGGAGGGGGAGGGGGAGGGGGACAGTCGGCAGTGGGGGCAGCGTGGGGAAAACGGGGGGAACGAAGCAGGGACACGCGGGTCGTAGGAGGTGAATGTAGGGGCGGATACTAATGATGCTAATGAATGGAACAACGCAATCGCGTACGGAATCCATCCCATGGAGTGGAGCGTCGTACAGTAAAGGAAATCGCAGTGGATTTTGAAGAGGGAGGGGAATCGGCGTCGCACAGGAACAATGAGAGCGTATGCTGAGTTCTGAGACGAAATAGATTTAAGTGGGAAGAAATATATGAGGTACTCTCCAGAGAAGACTATGTAGCAGGATGGGAGGGAAAGATGGAAGGGCAGCCTAGCTATCTCAGGGCCGCTGGATGTGGGCAACGTACGAGTCATATGTGGCGTTAGCAGCGACGGGGGATCAGCGTGGGCTGCCATGGCGACAAGTCCAGCAGCGGGTGATCGAAGTCTAGGCAGATTGAGTCTCGGAAACCAGGATTCTTGGCTCGTAAGAACGTGTGCGTGGATTCTGAGTCACCGTTTTTCCCACATATAGTTTCACAAGGACTCGCTTTTAATTTGTTACACTGGATTCAAACGCCTACGTGACGAAGGAACTACCAGCATATGAATGCTCTTCCTCGCGTGGCTCGTCACTTGTCCTGTACCACCGCGATTCCGGTTGAAAGAAATCAATATGCTACTAGAGCTTACGCTCCGCATCCATCGAAGCGACGATCAGATTCATCTGTGCGTCTGTCTCTCAAGCTACAGAGACACATGCCTGACGAACGGAGCAAGTACAAAATGCTAACGTGAATTTGGCAACTGCGTAACTGAAGCAGACCCTTGGATCAAACAGGGCACGAAAGGGAATGTGCTGGGGGTTGAGTCAGGTAGCAGGAGGAAAGAAACGCGGGTGGGTGGGACATCGAAGGAAAGGAAAGGAGAGGAAAGATGGGAGGGGTTGCGGGGAAGGGGAAGGTGGGGGGGGGTGTAGACCCTAGAGTTTTTACTCATTGAAGAGCGGAGAAGGGTGGTAAGGAGCGATAGACGGTAGAAAGGAAGAAATTACGGTTCACGAACGAAGCTGGTGTGGGAAGCCTACGGGTGGAAGGAGCGATGAAAGCCTCACAAGCACGGACGAATCAGTGTATCGTCAAGGGCGAATAGAGCAGGCGAATCGAGCCGCAATGCAGAGGGGACCGAATCGCACATTAACGAGCCGCTGCCAGCGGTAAGGCCGTGCGACGGCAAGGTCGTTCACTTTTCATCGTCCGCCCAATCAGGGTCGCGAGTCTGAAGCTGTTTTAGTCGTGGGTGTGCACTCCTCCCGCCCGTTTGGCGACGTAGACCGCGCAAAAATCGCCAAATCAAGTTCCGGTCGTCGCGCGCCTCTCACGGATGCGCAGCCAGTGGCGCGAAGCAATTTTTGAGAAGAAAAGACCGCTTTGGCGGTATGGAGGGCTGTTTCGCTGGGTTTGGCTGGCACTGCACGAAACACCGATGATTGGATACACGTGCGGAGTCAGCTCGGCTGGAAGGCTGGCAAAAGGTCCAGCAAAATGAGTACACCAAAGAAAATCTTAACTTGCTTAGAAAACTAGCTGAAAAGGTCTTGATTCATCCAACAATGATTCACGAACATTACAAAAGCAACCCACCCATTTAAGCCACCATCCATATCATACAGCATCATTGGCTATATTTATATGCGGGCGCGATCACTCTTTCGACATATTTGCCGACAATGTCCACCTCTGAAAGCATTGAATTGAAGGGAAAGACACGAGACAAGGGTTTTACGTCAAGGCACAGAAGGTAAGACAAGAGGTGGGAGGCAGGCAAGATGTGAAGACAAGGATTCCAAGTAAACTGTACACATGGTACTGTTCCATGCTGGACGCATGAGTGAGTGATACACTTACCAAGGTTCACTCGATCCCCAATTTGCTTGCCTGGCACCACAATCTTCTGCTGCGTGTATGCAACTAGCATAAAGGTGAACCAGCTCTCCTGCTCCAACAAGAACACAGCCACAGATATGCACCGAGCATGATAGCCATTAATGAACAGCCATGCAAAGCAAAGGCACGGCAGCAGACAGACGCTCGCGAATGACCAGAGAGCCGGCTGGTGCACGTGCAGCAGAGTGTCAGAACCCAATAACTCGTGAATCGGTAAGACTCATGACTCATGTCTCACGACCCACCTCATCATTGACCTCCACCACTGTAAGGCTGGTTCCGTCCACTGCAATGTAGCCCTGCACGCGTGGAGTAGAGGAGGGGGATTAAGGCACAGAGCGAGGGGTGAGAGTGCGACAGGAGTGAGGCGAGATGACGTGCCGAGCGCAATGGGCATATGGCCATGGGTGATGCCATGTCATAGACACGAGCATGTAATCTGCCTTGCTGATTCAGAACTTTGCTCAAAAAGGTATATGCCCAACATGGGATGTGCAAGGAGCATAAGCACAGACACTGCTGAAGGCGTACATGGCGCACACACCTTGGGGACAATGTATTTGAGCAGTGAGGGGTCGCACTGCACGGTCAGCCAGAGAGAATCGCCCTCTGGCCGCTTGCTCTTGATCACGCCCGTGCCATCCACATGACCCTGCCATGCCATGCCATGCCATGCCACGAGAGTAAGAGGAGGGAGGCTTAACACGGAAGACCCCAGATGAGGCCACCTCCATCTGCCCTGAAGAGTTAAAGTGCCCTCCTCCTCCTACGCCTCCTCCTCCTCCTCCTTCTCCTCCTCCTCCTCCTCCTCCTCCTCCTCCTCCTCCTCCTCCTCCTCCTCCTCCTCCTCCTCCTCCTCCTCCTCCTCCTCCTCCTCCTCCTCCTCCTCCTCCTCCTTCTCCTTTCCCCCCATTTCAGCTGTACCCATCCACTCCCACTTCCCACCTTCCAACAACAGTCAACCAATAATTATCCCGTTGTTCGCCCTGAGGAAACTGCAAGGGAGATTCTTGGTAACTTGACTCATAATGAAAGGAGAGAGTGGATAAAAGAGAACCAAACAAGAAAACAACTTCAGAACCGCCTCAAATGAGACCGTTCTTGAGACACGTCAGAGCAGAAACTGGCAGACACCTCGTTGGATCGGAAACTGGCAGTGACATCACCTGCACAAAGTGTCCACCCAAGCGGCTGTCGGCCCGCAGGGAGCGCTCGAGGTTGACAGGCGAGCCCTCCTTAAGGTCCCCCAGGTTGGTGCGGCGGAGCGTCTCGGGCGCAAGGCCTGGGGCAGGGGAGAGTTGGGGTTTGGGGCAGCAGATGATGATCACGGTGAGGATTCAGGAGTGAGAGGAAGAGACCGGGGATGGGTTGCAATGTGAGTATGCAAGAGGACGGGTGCTGGTGTGGGTGGGGGGGGGTGAAAGAAGGGGGATGTGAAAGGAAGGAGGGACGAATGTGCGTGCACACGTTAGTGGGATGGTTATGAGTTGCTTACCGACTACAAAGGAGGAGTCGTCGAAAGTGGTGACTGTCAGGCATGTGCCGTTGACTGCTATGCTGTCACCCAACTGCACACACAGAACATACACACACAAAAACACACACAAAGTTACACACGCGTATTCACTTCACACACATATGCGCCACACTCTCTCATCCCCCACGCCCCTTACACCATACATGATGATAATACAGACGCAAGCACATCCAGCAATCGTGCCCATTGAATGCACAGGCACAATGCACCAGGATAGGAGAGGACTTGCATTAGAATGCTAGTATCTCTCTCCTGTCCTCCTCTCATCTCCCCGTCTTCCCTACCACAACACTTCTGCTTTTCCTCAACCCCATCCAGCCTTCCCTTCTTCGTGTTCCCCCATTTCCCAGATTCTCAACTCCTTCCACACACCCTCTCTCGACCTCCCTCTTTCCCCCTCTTCCCCCTCTTCCCCCTCATCCCCTCTTCCCCCTCTCCCCCTCTTCCCCCTCTCCCCCTCTTTCCCCTCTCCCTCCCTTACCACTCTCCCCCTCTTCCCCCTCTCCCTCCCTTCCCCCTCTTCCCCCTCTCCCTCCCTTCCCCCTCTTCCCCCTCTCCCTTCCTTCCCCCTCTTCCCCCTCTCCCTCCCTTCCCCCTCTTCCCCCTCGCCCTCTCTTCCCCCTCTTCCCCCTCTCCCTCCCTTCCCCCTCTTCCCCCTCGCCCTCCCTTCCCCCTCTCCCTCCCTTCCCCCTCTTCCCCCTCTCCCTCCCTCCCCCCTCTTCCCCACCCCACCCAGCACGCACATGCACGTCAGTGAGCACGGTGGAGGCCTCAACGGTCATCTTGAGACGCCTCAAACATAGTCCCCCATCCCCCCTACCCCCATTCCCCGTTCCACACCCTTCCCCCCTCTCCCCACCCAGCGCGCACATGCACGTCAGTGAGCACGGTGGAGGCCTCAACGGTCATCTGCCACCCACCGTCCTCGCCCTGCAGCACCTGCCGCACCGCCCCCATCTCCTCCACGATGCCTGCACGCCATTCACGCACACGCACGGCACGCACACGTACGCACACGCACGCGCACGCACGCAGAGGAACGCACACACGGGCACGCACACAGGCACGCACGCAAAGGGCACACGCGCACACACAGCCACGCTCATGGAGGTTGGTGAGTTTTCTTCCATCAGCAAGCAGTTTAGGTCGTGCGTCCTTCTTAACACGGAGATGATGGGAGAACGAGCGACATCCGTACAGCTGAGTGAGAGGTTTCTCCATCTCTAACTTCTGGCTTGGTTTAGGCTTGGCCCTGGAAGACCAAACCTCCCACAGCAGCGCTTGCGCTTGTGCACTGCGGACTGAACCCTGGACCCCCAAACCTGATCACTGCCGAATCTGAGATTTGCGCTTTCTGATCTTAAGCTCCTGCCTTGCCTGTGAAAAGTGCAACCACGTTGTTCGATGCCGGACCGCGCGTTGCGCGCGACGCTCCCGCGCGCTTCCACCGCCGCGCATCGCGCGCGAGGCGGCCTGCGGGAGGCTGACTGCTCAACCAGGACAGGCGGCTGACGCCGCTTGTCGGCGCCGAGATCGCGGCTGTCGCCCTGTTGGAATCGCGCAAGGGATGGAAAGGACGCGGAAGCGAGAGGAGGCGTTTTCAAGGAATCGAAAGGACAACTGCGATGAGGATCACTGGGGTTGCGAAATGGTGGGGGTGCGGTGCGGATCAGTGGAGTTAGGCACAAGAGGAGCATGACAAAAGGCGATCGGCGCAGAACAATTAACACCCGCAACTGCTACTTCGGCGAGTCAATCGCACAATAAGGGAAAGAGAGATGCGCATGTTCCGCACAACAACCTTACGCCAGCCTTCACGGTTGTCGGAGCATAGCTAGAGCAGGAGGGTGCACTGGGTGATCCAGCGAGGCTGCGAAGCGCAATGCAGCTTTTGGAAGCTGTGGCAGCGATCGCCATGGCTGGCTGACAGCGATAGGGAAGGAAAGGAAAATCGCGATTCGGAACGAGGATTCCAAGGTGTTGTTGCCTCAAGGAGCTAGCTTTGAGTCTTGTACACATCATACGCGGTATTGGGGATGCTGACACAGACTTGCATCATGGGTTACATGGTCGTACCCCCCCGGGGAATACGGTCCGGTATTTTGATTACTGTACATTTTAATTTGCACAAGCCAGCCTATAGTACATACTTGAGGCCTGTTACGAGTGCAATCGAGTGAATGAACGAGAATTGCACTATCGAAGCAAGAGTACAATGAGCGAAGGCATGAGCGAAGAATATATAGCGAAACTACAGTGGTAACGGTAATGGTCTCGCGACGAGCCTGGGACTGAGGTTGGGAAAGTGTCGAAGCGTAGGCCCGGAGCGCGGGTTACCAGCCGAGCCGTGAGGTCGGGATGCGATGTGCGAAAATGGCGGGATGATGAATGATGCGATGGTCGCGAGTGGTAACGGTGCTGACTGAGGTGCTACAGTGATGTACGCGTTGAGCAGGGATGCGAAGTAAGGAAAAAGGAATTTCCTTACACTACCCCCCCCCCTCCTAAGGAGGTCCTCCTTACGAGAGTGCGTGGACGTCTTTGAAGTTTCGGCTGCGCAGATAGTCGGTGACGACAGGGTGGTTTTCAATTCTGTCCAGGGGAACCCAGTTGTCCTCGGTGGGTGTACGATCTTTCCAGCGGATCAGAAACTCAACATTTCGGGCTCCTCGAGGGTCGCGAACTCTGTGGCTCAAGATTTTGTCGGGGGTGATGATGGGTTTGGTTGGCGGTCGTGCCATGCTGGATGGTCGATGTTGTGAGAGTTGGCTGGTGGATGGTACATAAGGGCGAAGCAGGCTGACGTGCAACGAGGGGCTGACGTACCAGTCAGCAGGGAGGTTGAGGTGCGCGGTGACGGGTGTGATCATGTGGCTTATTCGAAATGGCCCACAGTATCGAGGGCGGAGTTTGGGAGTGAGGGGCAGGCGGAGGTTCTGAGTGTCGAGTAAAACGAGGTCGTCGGGCTGGTAAGTGACGGGCCTGCGGTGGCGATCGGCGTTGCGTTTAGCGATGATATTTGATTTTTTAATTGCTTCTGCTGCCCTGGTCCGTGCTGCTTGCAAAATCTCGGCGAACTGTTGTGCGCGTGGAACGGGATTGTCGGGGTTTGGGATCATGGGTACTGTTGGGTCCTGTCCGTAGTTTAAGTAGAATGGTGACTGTTGGGTCGTGGCAGATGGCGCGTTGTTGTATGCGAACTCGATGAGTGGCAGCTGCTGCTCCCACGTGTTTGGATCGTCACACGTGGCTCGAATCAGCTGCTCCATGGGCTGGTTTGTCCGTTCTGTCTGTCCGTCGGTTTCGGGGTGATACGAAGAACTGAATTGAAGTCGCGTGCCGAACTGCTGCCACAGGTTCCGCCAGAAATTACTGGTAAACTTCGTGTCCCTGTCGCTGATGATCGACGCTGGTATCCCGTGCAGTCGAACGACGGTGGCGATGAAGAGTCGGGCTGTTTCCTCGGCTGTGATTGATTTCCTGCATGCTGCGAAATGTGCCATTTTCGCTAGTCGATCGACGACGACCAGGATCGCGTCATTCCCATTCGCCCCGGCCGGTAACCCCGTGACGAAGTCCATCGTCACCTGCTGCCAAGCACGCTCAAGAGGTGGGATTGGTTGTAATTGTCCCGCCGGCCGCTTCCTGGTTGACTTCATGAGTTGGCAAGTGGGAAAGGATGCCACGTGTCGTTGCACGTCGGTCAACATTTCCGGCCAGTAATAGTACCGCTGCAGCTGCTGCCGTGTTTTCTCTACTCCGAAATGTCCCGAGGTAACTCCGTCGTGTGCCTCCTGTAACAGTAGTTCCCGTAGTAGCGTGTACCCTGGTACCCAGAAGCGGTCGGATCCAGCTTTTACGTAATAGACTCCCTTGGCTGCTGCGAATTGCTGTGAATTTCCTCCTGTGAAGAATGGGTCTGTTTGATATCCGTGGGTAAATAGTCCTGTCAGTAACGGGCTGGTCTGGGCGAGTAGTATCGCATGGATTTGGGCAGTGGGGCGGGTCAGTGCGTCGGCGATATTCGAGGCTCCTTTATTATATGTGACCGTATAGTGGAAATTCGACTCGAGGAAGTCGAGCCACCGAATCTGTCGTGGGTTGAGGTGGGGCTGTGCGCGAAGGTACTGTAGGGATCGATGGTATGTCCGTACTGTCACGTTTGCGCCGGTCAAGTAGCAGCGCCACACTTTGAATGCGTGCACGATCGCGAGCATTTCGCGGTCGTGTATCGGGTAATTCGCTCAGGTGGATGTAGCTTGCGTGATTCGTAGGCGATGGGTTGGAGGCCGCTGCCGAAGTCTTGTAACAGTACGGCTCCGATGGCGATGTCACTCGCGTCTGTAACAACTTCGAAGGGGCGGTGTGGGTCAGCGATGCGTAGGACGGGTGGTGAACAGAGAACATTTTTCAGGGCAGAGAAGGCAGCATGCTCTTTCTCCCCCCACGTAAAAGGGACCCCCTTACGCAGTAAATCAGTGAGTGGGGCTGTTAAGCGTGCCATGTCGGGGACGAACCGACGAACGTAATTAACAAACCCTAAAAAACTCTGCAGTTCCGTGATGTTCGTCGGGGGATGCCACGCTTTTACGGTATCCAACTTCTTAGGGTCTATCTCAACCCCAGCCTCCGAAATGACGTGACCTAAAAACTCTAGCCTGTCCTGAAAAAACTCGCACTTGGAGCCCTTGGTGAGTAACCGATGTGCCTCTAAAATTTTAAAAACTGCTTCGAGATCTACTAAGTGCTGCTGCTGGTCCCGACTGTAAACGAGGATGTCGTCGAGGTAAACTATGACGCAATTATCTAAAAGTGGTCTAAACGCCTCGTTCATGGTCATCTGAAATGTTGCAGGCGCGTTGGTCAGCCCGAAAGGCATCACCGTGTACTCGAATGACCCGTACCTAGTCCTAAATGCTGTCTTGGCGCAGTCCGATGGTTCGACCCGAATTTGATGGTAACCTCCCCGTAAGTCTATTTTCGAAAATACTCGTGCGGTTCGCAGCTGGTCGATCAGTTCGTCGGCGCGGGGGATGGGGTATCGTGATTTTACTGTTACCCTGTTAAGCGCTCGGTAGTCGATACACATGCGAAACCCTCCGTCTTTTTTCGGTGTGAACAGTATTGGTGCGGCGAACGGTGACGAGCTCGGTCGGATAAACTGCTTCTCTAACAGGTAATCTAACTGCTTCCTTAGCTCGTCGAGTTCGGGCTGTGTCAGCCGAAATTGGCGTTGTACAGTTGGCTGTGCCCCCGGTTCTAACTCGATCCTATGGTCATGCGCCCGCTGAGGTGGCAGCCCTTGCGGTAAGTCATCCGGAAAGATACCCGGGAACCGTTTCAGTAGTGCCTGTAGTTCGGGCGGTACGGCTGCCAACAGTTTCTGCAAATCACTCGGCTGCTCCTCTTTTTCAACTAATGCGATATCCACTGCGTACACGTCAGCTCCAGCAGCGACAGCCCGTTTCATCGTGATGGCGTTGACCTGGACCGTCGAAGACTCGGGTGGCTGCCAGCGAGGTAGGACGACCCAGTTACCACTACTTCGCACTGTGCAGCTACCCGTCGTCCAGTCAATTCGTGGGTTATACCGTCGCAGCCAATCACGTCCCAATAAAATGTCGTGCCCATCCAGTGTCGTTGTGAGCATTGCCTGTGTAAAACCGAAGTTCCCTCCGCAGCGGACTTTTACTCTCTCCACCTTTTCCCGTATAGCAAGTGGCGTGCCGTCGACTAAGCGTGCATCTATCTCAGGTAAGCATCGGTTAAGTGTTAACTGTAATTTCCGTGCGGTTGTGGTATTAACTAAGCTGTGACTTGCTCCTCCGTAAAAAAAAATCTTCACTGCTGCTCCCTGTATTTTCCCGTAGACTAGTACCGGGCAATCCGTCGCTGTACCCTCCTTATTCATCCGAGCCCGATCGATGGCATGAATCGGTACTGTGACTCGGTGAGGGTCGGTGTGGTTGGGCGAGCAGGCAGTCTCGTCAGTAGTTGGCCCAACTTCTACTGACTGCTGGCGTTTCCCTGCCTCTGAGACTCCCTCCCCTACTCTGCTCCTCGGCGCCTCAGCTCCTCTGGGCATTCGCTCTTGCGATGGCCCGGCCTGTTGCAAGCAAAGCAGCGCCCCTTAAACGGTGCGGCAGCTGCATTCGTTGCGACGGCGTGTACAGTGGCGTGCTCGGTCGGTCCCCGAGGACGATGTCCGTAATAGGACCCCGGTCTCGGTCGGCGTAGAATATCGATCTTCTCGGCGAGCGCGAGAATCTCTTTGAAATTAAAGAGTCCGCGCAGCATTATCTCGTGCGAGATGTCCGGCTTCAGCCGTCCGACGTAGCGGTCCACCCGCTCCGTTTTGTGCATGTAGCCGACCTGCTTGCAAAGTGCGAGAAAACCGCTGGTATAGTCTTGAACTGACCTGAGCTGGCGCCAAGTGCGCAGTTTCTGACGCGCCGAAATTGAAGCCGCGATCGGCTCAAAGCGCGCCCGAAGCCCTGCGCACCACGCATCCCACGTGCTGTATTGGGCGGTCTCGCAGAACGAACTCCAGGTGATAGCTGGACCCGAGGGCCCTTCCTTGTGCGACGGTGGATCGTAGGCGCGTGGCGACGTCACGATGACTCGCCACCAGTCCATGGCGGGGCCCCTTAGCAGTGAAACCGCATATCGGATCTTTGCGGCGTCCGACTCGACGTAATTGGCGTCGAAGAAAACGTTCATCGTGAAGACCCACGATTGAACTGTCGGACCGCCGCGTTGACTTGGGTCGAAGCAGGGCGGGCGTTGCGGCTTGAGCGGCATTGGTGCCATGTTGGATTGTTCGCCACTTGTCGCCGCAAATTCCACGTGCCGACGGACTTCTCGAGTCTCCCGTGGGCTTGGTGCGATCCTGTTTCCTCCCATGCCAGGCATCGGCTGGGCGGCGCCCTCACTGGCTGCGCCTGAGCGTTGTCCCGTGCTGTCGTGTTGTGTTGGTGTCCCGGACGAGATGATGATCGGCTCATCCGAATGTGCGGATGCGTTTGTTGGTGCGTGGGATGTCGTCGGTATGTTCATCGTGGATTGTTGACGGGCGGAGTCACGTTCCGCCGTGAGGGTCGCGATTTCAAGCGCCGAATCCTCCAGTTAACGCACGAGACGATCAAGTTGCTCCTGCGTCAATGTGGCGAGCGTGAAGTCGGCCATGGCGGGGGTGTCGGGCAAGCTCAGCGAGAGCCTCGGTCGTGGCCGTGCGTGCTTGCGAGAGAGCACTACGAGCGGCGGTGCTGTATCGCTGAGAGACGTCTACCCCCCCCAAAATTGAGATAGTGGGGAAGCGAAGGTGTGGATGGGGTCCGAGATGGGATCGTAGGCTCTGAATACCAAGTGTTACGAGTGCAATCGAGTGAATGAACGAGAATTGCACTATCGAAGCAAGAGTACAATGAGCGAAGGCATGAGCGAAGAATATATAGCGAAACTACAGTGGTAACGGTAATGGTCGCGCGACGAGCCTGGGACTGAGGTTGGGAAAGTGTCGAAGCGTAGGCCCGGAGCGCGGGTTACCAGCCGAGCCGTGAGGTCGGGATGCGATGTGCGAAAATGGCGGGATGATGAATGATGCGATGGTCGCGAGTGGTAACGGTGCTGACTGAGGTGCTTCAGTGATGTAGGCGTTGAGTAGGGATGCGAAGTAAGGAAAAAGGAATTTCCTTACAAGGCCACATTTCAAACAAGCACGATACATATCTAGTACAACCTGTCTGCAGCACACAGACATGAACGGCCGTGCTATATTACCGTATCAGTCGCTACTTGCGCAGCTCTAGGGTGAGGTGTGGGAAGCCGTGAATCGCCTTGTGGCGGTCAAAGAGAGCCTTGACCTCCGCATAATAATAATCCCGGATCATGCACAGGTCTTCGTACGACGGGTCTTCAGAGTTGATAGTGGGGATGAGAGAGCGCGGATCGAAAGGGCGGCCCATGACCAGAGCCATGGGGCGGTCACGTGGGAGAGGAAGGCAGCCGAACAAGCCGACGGGCCAAAAGGGGATCGGGAAGCCGAATCTCCGGTAGGTGAACCGCTGCAGATGGGAGCACACAGTGGTTGGAACAGAGAGGAGAGCAGGGAGGGGGGTGTGGTGAGTTGGAAGCTGGGGAGGACAGAAATGGAGAGGGTGGAGGAACAAGACCATGTGGGTTGAAGGCTGCTGAGACGAGAGGATGAAGGAGAGGGAGAATTGGCTACGTGGTAGTATGAGCTGAGCTGGTGGAGCTATGACAGTGGATGGGTGTGGGTGGGTGTGGGTGGGTGGGCAGAGAGAGCAGGCAGGTACCTGGAGGGAGGGCCAGTGGAAGAGGTTGTCAAAGGAGTGGGGCTCGCCGAAGCTGAGCGTGGGCACGAGCAGAGCGTTGCTCTGCACGGCGATGCGCACGAAGCCAATCTTGCGCGCACACAGCGCGATGCACGATGACTGGTTGGTGGCGTGGTATGTGAGCTCCGACTGGTGGTAGAGGGGAGGCGAGGCAGAGAGAGTGAGCGGACGGTTGGGGCGCATGGGGAAGCGAGGAAGAAAGGGGCCAGGAATGGGGAAGTTAGGAGGGGAGGATACGAGAGCTGATTACGATGAAAAATGACAACGGAAAGAATACTAAGTGCAACCGTCTCGGGTGGGCAGAGGACGGGTGGACGGGCGTGGTGGAAATGCGGTGACAGGCAAAGGTCATGAAAGCAGTGGAAAAGGTGGGGACCATAGGGGTTGGGGAGGAAGGGAGGCTGGAAGGGGAGGGGGGGTTGGAGCGGTGGGAAAGGGGGAACGGGGGCAGCGGAGTTGTTCTCCCCACCTGTCCGCCAGGGCAAAGCACAGCAGCGCCGGTGTCCTTGAGCGCCGTGAGGAAGCCTTGCCGCGACACCTCGCGCACGCCGCCCCACAGGCAGTAGGTGCGCGCGAGGGGGATGCGGAAGCACACTGAGGCGACGAGCGGCACGGGGCGTGTGGCGGGGAAGAGAGCGCGGAAGGCCGAGGAGAGCGGGAACCATGCCATCACTGCTGGCATCAGCCCATGCGGCTGGTGGGAGGGGAAATGGCGGGAGGGGAAATGGCGGGATGGGGTGCGTTGAAGTGAGTGAGGGGTGGGGTGGGGAGTGAAGAAAGGGGAGGAGAGGGGATAAAGGTGGGAAGGGGCCGAGACGGTACACAGCAGGGTTGAGGACGGAGCTTGCATGCTTGGGTCACCTTTGAGAACTCCCAAAAGTGACACAGGGAAAGCAGGGTGGCAACAACGAGAGCGGAAAGCATGCCATCACTGTTGGCATCAACCCATGCTGGTGGAAGGAGAGAGGGCAAGAAAGAGTGGGCTGAGGGTGGGAAGTGAAGGGAGGGAGTGGGTGGGTGGTGTATTCATGGGGTGGGTGGGTGGCATGGCATGGCATGGAATAGCATGGCAGTGCAGGCTTACGTGGTAGGTAAATATGAGTGGGCGCGGAGGGGATGCAGCAGTGACATCACTGCCCTTGCCCTCCACACACCCCTCTCCACTCTCCAATCGGTGCCCCTTCTCCTTGCAACCCTCCTCTTCTTCTTGCTTATCGTGCTCCTGGTGCTTCCATCTATTCTCCCATGTGCCGTGTGCTGCCCTCCATGCGCCCTCCTTCACAATGCTGATTCCGTGGAAATATGCCGCTGCTGCCTCTTCTAAAAGTGGCATCACTCTGCGCGAGGGAGGGAGAATCGGGAAGACGGAGGGAGAAGGGGAGTGGAGGGGGAAGGAGAAGGGAGGGGAGAGAGGGAGAAGGGGTGGAGGGAGGGAGAGGGGGGGAGGGAGGGAGAGAAGGGGAGGGAGGGAAAGGGGGGGAGGGAGGGAGAGGGGGGATGGAGGGAGAAGGGGGCAGAAGGCGCGAGACGAAGGAAGAGGGAGAGAGAGCGGGGGAGAGGGAGAAAGAGGTTCAATACTTGAGGAAAAGGCAACCAAAGAGAAAGAAACCCTTCAAAGGTCATGAAAGAGAAAGAGTGTACTCCCCACAGATCTCCTCTCCCAAGCTCACATAGCAGTTGCACCACAGCAATTCACTCACGCAAAAGGCGCGCCGAAGGCAAGCCTAAGAACCAGCTTCAAAGGAGAACTAATTTCCCAAAAGACAAGCCAGTTTCACGCAACCCCAATCCCCACCGGAGCTGCATCATAGCATGACTCACATTCTCTGCACCCACTTGCGCTCTCCTCTCCCCGACCGCTCGTATCCCCCGGGGCAGATCACGCAGTATGCAAACGCCCACGCCATGGCTGTGAGCAGCGCTGCACTGGCCATGCGCAGCCCACACACCACGGCACTGCTGCTCATCCCACCGAACCCATAGCTGTACCCGTTGCTGTAACTGTCACTGTAACTGTAACTGTGGTTGTAACTGCAGCTGCTGTGATCCTGTGGCTGCTGCTGCTGCTGAGTGTTGCTGCTGCTGTTGGTGGTGCAGGGGTGGGCGGGTAGCAGGGTGAGGAGCAGGATAGGAGCGAGTAGGGCAGCAACAACGCAGTATTGCCAGCAGTAGAGGCCTGCCACTATGGTCGTGCTGCGAGCCTTCACTCCCACCCACCACAGCACCTCGCACACACTCAGTGAAAACTCGTCGCATGTGCTGCTCGTTGCTGAATCACACGCCCCCAGTAACACCAGCCCTTCCCTCCTATCACCCCCCTCTACACGCCCCACTGCACAGCCTGTAACAGCCTCCGAAACATCCTCCACTATCTCCATCGCCGCCTCGTTCGTTTTTCTCACTACTCCTCCCTCCAATCCTCCCATCATCCCTCGCATCACGCATTGCACCACCCCTCGCACGGCGGCCCCTGCGACCTCCCTCGCGCTCCTAGTCGCCACGAACAGCTCTCTCTCCGTCCACTGCGCCGGCCGTACCGCCACTGCGCGCCAAGCCTCGCCCCCCACGCTCCCCTGCACGCTGCCGCCGCCCCTGCACGCCCTCTCCGTCACGGACAGCGCAACGCCTGCTGATTCCGCCCCTGCTTCTGCTTCTGTTTCTGCTGCCACCGCCGCCGCTGCTGCTGCCGCACGAGCAGGAAGAGGAGGAGGAGAAGGTGACAGGAGAAGAGGTGGAAGATTAGAGGCTTTGCTGCTGCTGCTTACGGCACTCCTACTGTTGCGCCCATTCACAGCAGCGGCGGTAGCATCAGCGTCCGTAATAACGGCAGCGGCAGCGGTAGCGACAGCAGAAGCGGCAGCAGTACCAGCAGTAGCGGTAGCGCGCGGAGAGGCAGCAGCAGGGGAGGCGTGGCGGCTGGGGCATTCGAAGGTGAGGAGCGAGGCCATGAGCAGGAACTCGGACGCGAGCCCCGTTGCGCCCGCGGACGCCAGCAGCCCGTACCCCAGCGTCGTGTGCCCCACGAACGCCGCCACCACCGCCACCGACGAGAAGATGAGCAGAGAGAAGGAGAAGAGCGTCCACGCCATGGCCTGGGGGGGGGGCGCGAGGGGGGGGATGCGACGGGGGGGTAGGGAGGGGGAGGGGGGGCGCGGGGTTTGAGATGGCGCAGGCGAGAAGATGAGCAGCGAGCGTCCACGCCATGGCCTGCGAGCGCGGCGCGGGAGAGGGGCGTGGGAGGGGCGCGGTGGAGAGGAGAATGAAGATGGAAGCGGAGTTTGAAATTGCGCGGAGCGAGGAGATGAGCAGCCATGTCATGGCCTGCGGCGACGGGGGCGCAGGGAGAGGGGGGGAAGGGAGGTACGGAGGGGAGGAGGGTGGCGCAACGGAGGGGGGAAAGACGATGGGAGCGGAGTTTGGAGTGGTGCAGGCCTGAACCACATCCAGGGCACTAGGAGCATTAATAGGGCGCCATCGACGCGTTACGTATGAGCATCGCACGCACAATGACAGCCGTTGTCGACCGGACTCACGTGCACGAGCACTCGCACCGGCGTACCCAGCGCGCGTACAGCCCTCGCACCGAATTTCGTACAGCCTTCGCACAATTTCGTAGAGCCTTTGTACAGCTTCTTACAAGAGTCTCAGCGAGCAACCACGCACCTGCATGAGCACGAAGCGCAGTCCGCCCACGAACGGCTGCCAGAACATCCACGCCAGATGGCGGTACCTCATTCGCCCGCCCAGCCCGTGCGTAAGCAGCGCGGCGCAGCACAGCCCCGAGGCGCTGAGCAGCGCCGCCATGGCCACGACGAAGTTGAAATTCACGACGCCGTGGAGACTCACCGCGGCGCCTCCTAACCCCATGACGCCCGACGGAAACCCGTCGCTAGCGGAAAACCCGTCGTCGACGGGTCTATCAAGTTCGCCATTGGAAAACAGCTTGACGAGCGACACGGGAGCGGAAACCGCCCGCGACGACGCGGAGGTAGTAGCGGGATTCACGGAAGGGTCGTTTAGGGAGTTAAGGCCGAGATAGCCGCCTCCTAAGGCGAAAAGGAATAGGCCGGGGCGCAGGGAGGTGGAGGAGAGAGATGCGAGCCACGCGGAGAGATATGGACCCCATTGAGGCATTGTATCGAGGGCGGTGGCGAGGGCGGAGGAGCCGGCAGCGATAACGAGATTCGTCGCCATAAGCGCGGCGAAGCGGCACTCTCCCGAGGCGCGCTGGCGCGCGCTGCGGCGTTTCGATTGGGCGGCATCCGCGAGGGAGTCTTTGCAGCGGCGAGGAGCGGAGAAAAGTGCGAGGCTTGTGAGGCCTGGGGGGAAGGAAGGCGTGCTTGCGGGGCTGCTTGCGGGGGAGGAGGGTGTGGGCGTCGCGGTGTTGTTGATTCGACGGGCCGCTTGGCGGCTTCTCCGCTGTTTCATCGTGCTCGTTGGGTATGACTGAACTGCTTGAAAGGGCTCGGCAGGGAGTTGGCTGGGATGAACTGTGAATTTGAGACGCTCACGCGATGAAAGGCATCGAATCGTGCCCGCTCGTGACAGCGTGTCGGCTGCTTGAGCTAAGAAGAGTCGTCTCTTTAGCTCAAGGTTTGCCCGCGGCTGAGTGAGGAGGAAGTGAGGACCGAACGAGTCGACTTCGAAACGGTTGAGAAGAAAAAGTCAGCTCGATATCTATCCTTCCCGGTCCTTCAAAATCACGGCTCGAATAACAAGCAGATTCGGAAGCCCATGAGACGGGGGTCAGTACTTTCTGTGACTGATGCAGGATCTCAATTCTCGACTGGAGTTGGCGCCAGATGAAAGAGAATCGCGTGGTGGTGGGTGTCGGGTGGTGGTGCGGAAACGGAGGAATTTACGGAAGGGAGGAACAAAGGAATACACCCTCTTTCGCGCTACACTGTCATTGGCTATATGGGCCCTGTGGCTCAACGCCCCAGAGGACGCGTTATAGTGGACTTTTGCACCAGTACGGTTTGACGTGGTTAGTTACTTTCGAAGACGGTCGTTTGAACGTTTGATATGGCTCGGTAGGGTACCCAGGATAACGAAATTGCGAATCACTCACCCCCTAGAGACGGTTATTGTAACAATTCTGAATACGTCCAAGGAACACTTTCACTGTAGCCAGTGAATCCCGTTGCCAGTGTAGCGCGAAAGAGGGTGTAATGACAAGGGGGACGAAGAGGGTGACTGGTTGGGTGGCGGCGGGCAGTCTGCCCAGGGTATGCCCATTTGCAGCGCACAAACTCGTTTCCCGTTTTTCGTATTTCCGTCGGGATGCCCGGGTTCTGGGAAACTTTTTGCTGCCACTTGTAACAACCTTCTTGCGTGCTTTGCCAGGCTCGCTGCCAAGTCCCCGCATCGCAGTGACGTGGACGAAAGGGTGACTTTCGGAAACTAATTAACAACCCCCGAGTCTGCCAATGGACGCCTTGCGACGCGGTCAATTGGAGATTCCAATGCGAGAAGCAGCTGCTCTTTCGCAATAATACAGAAAATGGAAAAACGAGGAAAGACGAGAAATGGACCCGACACAACCCTATCACGAGGGGAATCGGCGGGCAAAGATGGAATCAGGTACAGGATGGATGAAACCCCTGCTTTTGAAGGGCATCCCGCACGAAGAACTTCCTGACGTCAGTGTCACCCTCGAAGAACATAACGAAGGCGTCGCAGGCGAGAAGGACGAACATCCACGGTGGTGAAGGCGTTACTTGGACTGCATTTCGCAGATTCTCTCCGCAAACTACAGTACCTCGTGTGACGTCACCTACGCTCACCAACCAGATCAGCAGTGGCGAACAGAAACGCCATCTCGCCATGCACAACCGCATCCAACTCAGTACATCGCAGTACTGAATAAATCACGAATATCCACAACCATGTAGATTAATCCATTTTCAGAACATCAAAGAAAAAACACCTACTGCTGTGCAATCACTTCACGATCATGATCCTAAGAGCACTAGCATTCCCAATCTTCTGCACCACCACTGCCGTATCTCCAACGTTGCACAGCCCCCCACTTATGCCAGTGGCAATGGCTGCAGCCACAATAGCATCTGTGGCGTCACTATCAGTCGCATGGGCCCCACCCTCGGCCATAACAGGGTGCAGCCCCCTGACCAGCAATGCATGCCTGGCAGCAGCTTCAGCACCGGAGCAGCACACAAGGCGCAGAGGATCGTGCGGGTGGGGGATGAGCTCCGGGACTATGACTGAGAGCACGGGCATGGGTGGCCGGTACTTGGCAATCAGTCTCGAAGTGGCACCGGTGCGAGTAAGCACAACAATCACAGCGGCTCGAATCTGATGTGCACGGGGGTTGAGCAAGCAGGATAGAAAGGGGCACCGTGGAGTTAAGCAAGTGGTCAAGATACAAGTCTTGAAAGATGAAAGAAGGTAAGCGGAGAGTGAGGGAAAAGCAATCCCTTTGAAAGGGCATAACATGAGAGCCAGACAAAACAATATACATATAATATCCGAGTGGATGGCTCACCATGTCAGCCGTCTTGACAGCGGACGAAGCGAGGCTCTCAATGGGGCTCATGGGCATGGCAGTGGCGGCCATCATGTCCTTATACGACGCAGCAGGGTCCACACTCGCCTCCGCCTCCCGGCACAGCCGCACCATCACACACGCCGCCTCCACGGGATACTGCCCCGCCGCTGTCTCCCCCGACAGCATCACCGCATCAGTCCCATCCAGCACAGCATTCGCCACATCGGTGCATTCAGCGCGAGTGGGGCGCGGGAACTTGGTCATGGACTCGAGCATCTGGGTGGCGGTGACGACGGGTTTGCCGGCCTTGTTGCACTTGTGGATCATCATCTTCTGCGCCAGGAAGATCTTCTCGATGGGGATCTCCATGCCCAGGTCGCCTCGTGCTACCATGATGCCGTCTGACTCGCGCAGAATGTCGTCAAAGTTCACCAGCCCCTCCTGGTTCTCCACCTTTTAGGGGGGAACAAGGGGAATCAAGGACGCATCACACAGGGTGGCAAAGGACAGAGTATTACATAATGAATTCACCATGATGCCGTCTGACTCGCGCAGAATGTCGTCCAAGTTCACCAGCCCCTCCTGGTTCTCCACCTTGTAGGGGGGAACAAGGGGAATGAAGGACGCAACACACAGGGTGGCAAAGGAAAGAATATTACATAATGAATTCACCATGATGCCGTCTGACTCGCGCAGAATGTCGTCTAAGTTCACCAGCCCCCCCTGATTCTCCACCTGTTGGGGGATTGGGGGAGGGAGGGAGGGACGCAGGTCCACAAGAGGGTAACAGATTTGGAAATGTAGTTTTGGGGTAACTGTTGCATGTCACTGGAATCCTGGGAGAAGCAACTGCTACTGGTGGCAGTGGCGGATGCGAGTGATTTGAGTACACCAAAGGGAGGTTGAAGGGATCAGAAAAGAACTCACAATGTCAGCCCTCCTCACAACCCCAAACAGCCACGTCCAGACACAGCCTTCAAACCCACCTTCAACCCCCCTCCTCCCTCCCTCCCAACCCCACCTCCTCCCTCCCTCCCAACCCTGCCTCCTTCCACCCTCCCTACATCGCCCATCTCCCATCACCCGTATCCCACCTTGGAGATGATATGGATGCGCTTGCTGTTCTCCGTCCCCAGCAGCTTGCGGATCGCGACAACATCCGAGCCCTTGCGCACGAACGAAGCAGCGATGAAGTCAACGCCGTGCGGCACGGCCCAGTGCAGGATGTCCTCTGCGTCCTTAGTGGTGACAGTCGGCAGGTCCACTATCACGCCCGGCAGGTTCACGTTCTTGCGCTCGCCCAGCACTGCCGTGTTCTCACACCGGCACCGCACCGTGCTGGGAAAGGAAATGGGTGGGGGGAGGGAGGAGGGAGGAGGGAGGAGGGAGGAGGGAGGAGGGAGGAGGGAGGAGGGAGGAGGGAGGAGGGAGGAGGGAGGAGGAGGAGGAGGAGGGAGGAGGGAGGAGGGAGGAGGGAGGAGGGAGGAGGGAGGAGGGAGGAGGGAGGAGGGAGGAGGGAGGAGGGAGGAGGGAGGAGGGAGGAGGGAGGAGGGAGGAGGGAGGAGGGAGGAGGGAGGAGGGAGGAGGGAGGAGGGAGGAGGGAGGAGGGAGGAGGGAGGAGGGAGGAGGGAGGGAGAGGTGGGAAGGATGTCGGACAGAAAGATGCATGAGGACGACATTTGTAGGCCCGGGTTGGCTGAGCCAGTTAATTGCGCAGTCAGCCAGCCCGATCAAGCATGCATGCAGAAACCAAACCCCCTTCTCAAAACCCAACCCAGAACCCCAACCTCCAAAACCCCGAATCCCGAACCTCAAAACCCCATGTACAAATAGGTCTGTCTCCCCTCCCATTCCCTCCCACAGCTCACCCTTTCGCCACGTCGCATGCGAGCACGGTGAGCGAGATGCTGCCGTCGGCGCACAGGATCTGCCCGCCGGGGCGCACGTCCTTGGCCAGGCTCTGGTAGCTCATGGCGATGGTTGAGGCGTCCCCGAGGGTGGCGTAGTCCGTCGTTAGCGTCACCTCGCTGCCCTGCTGCAGCTGCACCGCCTTTCCGCCCTTCAGCTGCCCCGTGCGGATCTCGGGGCCCTGGCGGAGGGGGAGACGCGCGGGGAGCGGGGGAAGAGGGGGAGCGGGGGAGGATGCGGTGGAGGAGAGTGGGATTGGGAGGGAGGGAGAGAGGGTGGGGAAGGGTGGGCGCGGGGATTTGAAACGCTGAGATTATGATTGACGGCCAGTATAGGGCATCCCCACTCCTGCACTAAAACGCTGTCTAGACATTCCGCGAATTGGAGACTGAAATAGATCCTGCAAATCTCAAGTTCTGACGTGGCAATTACAGTCTTGAGAGGAATTCCCAACGCCGCATTCGAGTCGAATCAAGGCTCGCGAGCCAACACTCACCTTGGTATCCAGCAGCGTGGCGCACAGAATCCCCGTGTTCGCCATGGCGGCGCGCAGGTTGTTGAGCGTCTCCAGATGATACTCGTGCGAGCCGTGGGAGAAATTGAACCGCGCCACGTTCATCCCCGCTAAGAGCAGCTTCTCCAGAACCGGCACGCTGCGCGACGCGGGCCCCAGCGTGCAGATCATCTTGGTCTTGCAGTCGTTGCGCGGCCCGTAGTGGTGGTGCTCCTCCGCGCAGTAGCTCTGAATCACGCCATCATCCACCATAAAACTATCCTCCAAACTGTTATCGAGGTCGCCGTGAACGGATCGGATCCGCGGGAGCATCCCGCCGCCGCCGACGCCGCCGCTGCCGCTGCCGCTGCCGTGATCCACGTCCATCAAGTGCGACACGACGGCCCTCTCGCGTCCCATGCCCTTCCACACGTCCACCACCTTCGACAGTCCCTCTCTCACGCGCCGCGACCACTTCTGCGCGTGAGCGCGCCGCCCCGCCTCCATCTCCACGGCCGCGTCGCACATCTCCGCCCACTCCACCGCGGCCGCCGCGGCGGATTCTACGCGGTCATCGTAATCGTCCAGATCGGTGCGGTCCGGCCAGAGATCAGGGTCCGACTTAACGGTCCGATTCAGAGGGACCAAGGTGTGATACTCGACGACGCTCGCGCCGTCCATCCGCCGGCGCTTCGCTAGGGAAGCTAACTCGCATGGGGCCGGATGCTGGCCGCAGCCGTTCGTCGCATTGTTACCGCCGGTAGTCACAAGGGGGCTCGTTGAATTGCCGTTCGTCGCATGGCCGTTTGTCGCGTGGCCGTTCGTTGATTGGTTCACGAAAGAGTTCGTGATCCCCGTCATGGTGAAAAAGCAGCGAGAGTGCGGATCGAAGGCGGGATAGGGGACCTCCTCGGAGTAGGACGAACGAGACACCAGACCAGACCACGAACGATCTTCCACACCCCTCGCACAGCACAAAGGTGGAGCGAAATTGCGGGGTGCGAGAACGCCGCGCACAGGGACAAGATAAATCCGGATCAAGCGAAGGTTAGAGAATTGGAGGGTAAGGCTGTTGCTGTTAGGGATCACACAGGTTTGAGAAGTAGGCCACAAGATGACCAGACAGAATGGTGATGAGATTATCAGGTGGGTGTGAAAACGGGATGCAAACGGCCGAGGGAGCGACGCAGGGGAAATTGGTTGGAATTTGGTAAGGAACGCATCTGAAACCTCATGACAGGTGTTTGATCGCTGCGCGATCCTGATCGGACTTGAAAATGCGTGCAGTGGTATGTAGTCGGGTGGAATGGGATTAAAATATATTTTGAGCTTGTTGGGAGGTGCGGGTTTGGGATGGGATGGGGGACGAATAGGAATCTACAGCTTTTAGACGATTTTGATGTGCGGGAGCCGACGCGGCGCTGCCATGCATACCGAAAACACGGAGAGCCAACCAAACCGAGCAATGATGTTCTCACCATTCGTTTTTTTGCGGGATACCCTGTGCCCAAGGGGGAGTTTCTGTGCTCGTGTTGGTACAATGCGGGTCAATAAAGCCAAGCTTTGCATGTGTGGCACTTCGTGGCCGGGGGTGAGAGAACAGCGCGACGGTGGTACACCTGATGCGCGTTAGATTCTCCCGTCCTCTCCTTGTGCTCAGGGCTTATAAACGCACATGTCATTTCGGGCACTTCGTGGCTTTTGCCACGGCCCAGAGGTGCTCCTAAAAGGCAAGGGTTGTTACCCGCTTGTCTTTTCTCTAAACAGTGTGGGGTGGCTTAGTTTGGTATGCGTTCAATGGACCTGTTACCACAATTTTCGCCCATTTCATTAACACCCCATTACATTTCACGTCCCGCACTGTCACAAACAACACATTCATCCCTCCACCCAATAAAGCTGCTCCACCTGTACCCAACCCAAATACCCTATCGTACTGGCCCATTCTTGCAAATGTGTACAAGGCGTACACCTGATGCATTAGTGAGGAATCAAATTCCTCCAAGTGGGAAAGAATCCCCTCTCACGATGCACGCACAGCCGGGAGGAGGAGGAGATGTGCACTCCTCCTAAATGGAAATGACGGGGCTTCACAGCCGCATCCACTCAGCGGCAGCCAAGTAGCCGCTCATCACGGCGGGAGCCTCGGCATCGATAAGCTCTTGCCGGCGAGCAGACTGGGCCACCCAGTCAGGGGTCGACACCGTCATCCACGCCGGCAGCACGCGACCACGGCGACGTGGAGTCTCTGCCGTTGGGTTGTCCTCGTGCGACATGGCGGGTGGCGAAGACGCGTTAAGGTTGAGAGCAGGGCTTGCGCGCTCCATCCGCGCGATGATGATCGGGTTACGAATGTCAAACAGTGCGCACAGGTCCCGCGGCGTGATGCATGTCGCGCGCGCGTAGTTAATGAGCATTTCGCACGCGGCCTGAGCGGTGCGACGTGCTTCGCGCTTCGCAGGGTTGCTGTCGTCGTAGACCAGCTGCATCGACGCAGTCGCCTCCCACATCTCCGTCGTCGGCTCCGATCGCGGCTCGATCGCCAACGGATCCTCACCGGGCTCGGCGCACGTCGGCTGGTTATCATCGATGCCGACAAACTCCTGAGCGGGCATCGCGCTGGGCCCGAGTCCGAGCCGGGCAATCAGGCTACCCACGTCGTTGACGTCATCGTCCAGGCCGATGTCACCTCCGGCAGTGGGGCCACCGCCAACTCCTGGCTCCACGTGCGGGAGTTCCATCGCCCATGCGCGCGAGAGACAACCGGTGCGCCACCAGCAACGCTAGATGGTGCTACGCGGGATATTCATCCACGCGTCATGGAGCCACTCCAGCACGAGACGGAGGTTCGGCTTGAACCTAGCTGCCGCGGAGGTGGCGCCTTCGGCAGTCCATATGCCCGTGAAGGCGCGGAGCCAATGCTGGCGGTACCACGCTTTTGCCATGGCGATGAGCCCCTGGTCAAGGGGCTGAATGAAGCAGGTGGTGTTAGGAGGCATGAACACCAGGCGCACGTTCTTGAGCGCACGCGTACGGAACCCGAAGAGATCTTCGGTCACGCCGCCCTCGGTTGTCAGATTGTGGCTGCTGGCGTTGTAGAGCAGGACAACAATGTTGCGGCCCTCTGCGTTCATGGCAGCGTCGAGTTGTTCGATGTAGTGCGTGAATAGCTGCCAAGCAAGCAGACGGATTGATACAAAAGACAAGGGTGAGAGGTGTGAGTTAGAGGGCCGGTAATGTGGTATGTTTGGCGGCAGTAGTGAAAGCCACTTCTGCCGTCCTTATGACAGCAACGCAAGCTGAACGTATCATGGCGGTACAAAAATAGTGGCAACACAACGGATGCACTCATACTCACCGAGGAAGTCATCCAACCTTTGGCGGTGTTGCGCCAGTAGCACAACTCCTCTGGATTATAGTCCGGCCGGAAATCGTGGGGCCGTTTCGCCTTGGAGATGACGAGCGGGCGGAAGGCGTGCGAGCCCTCCGCGTTCACCAGGAATCTGACGGTAAGTCGTTCCTTCGGCGCCTTCCGCCCCGCCGACCTGCCAGTGCCGTATGTTTTGCGCGGCAGAACGGAGATGAAAAGCGCCGTCTCGTCGAAGTTGAACATATCACGCGGGCGTACGCCGAGTTGCATGAGAAGCTGCGGGAGCTTCTCCCGAGCGTTGCGGACGGCGTTCATGTCCTGGTCTGCCGCTTCGCCGACAGCGCTCATGCACCTTACTCCTTGGCGGCGCAAAGCACGCCGCACCCATCCAATAGAGCAGCGAAATGTCGCTGGCACACCATTCGCACGTGCCATGGTAGCAACATGGTCGCGGATTGTGGCCAATGTCAGCGGAACGCCAGCGGGACCCGCATTGGCAATCCAACGTGCCATTGCGCGCTCCAGGTCCGGGTACGCGCCGCCACGCACACGAATAGCGTCAACAGCGTCGTCCGGGATGCGCCATCGTTTGGCGCCCTTCAACACGCGGCCGATGGTGGATCGGTCGGGGCGTACCCCAAAGCGCGTGAAACACCAACGCGCGAGATCCACATGGCGGAGCAGCGGGTGAGCAACATGGTGGGCGCAGATGACCCTTTTGATGTGCAGCGCAAGCTGATAGCGGTGGTAGAGACGAGGCATTGTGTGCCTCTGAGGGTGGAAGTGAAATTGAGTTAGTGAAGAGTGACGGGAGGATTTATGTCAATTCGAATTAGTATGCATGGCTTGGAAGGAGTGCAAGATGGTGCTCCTCGTGAGTGCATTTGGATTGATGTTTAGAGGTTGTGCTACCATGTAACCACAACCATAAAGGGTGACGTGTGCTGCTCCCAGAGTGAACGGCTCACAGAGGGCGTGTACCGAGCAAGGGCAAGGTACAGGTGGCGTTTTGCAGGAATCCACAGACTGTTATATGCACGCGGTAACGTCCAGCGTGGCATGACGTAACATGCCTTAACCCCGGCGACGTTTTCGGAGTTTCGTCCAGACATTTCGTGGACTCTGTTTCTGGCCTAAAAAACAAGGAATGTCCAGGTCGGCGGCTATTGTCTTTACCGACGTACGCAGTTTTGGGCGTATTCACCAGGTGGGGTCAAGTGGTTTCAGGTGCTTATAAACAGGGTGCAACGTCAGTGCAAAAAACCCACAGGTGTAAGGTTTCCATCATGGGCGGGGCAATTTCGCGTGCAGTGGTTGGGCATCTTGTGTATGGGGGTGGAAAATCTTTGGGGAAACCAACGGAAGTTCAGAAACAGGGGTTTTGCCAAGGTTTTTCAAACCGCTGCGACTCGGGAGCATTCATTGTCATGGGGGGCTCTGCAGCCGACCAGCCTAGGGGGGTTGAAGTCCGCTTCCGCATTTTGAAATCCCATTTCGGCGCAGCTTCATTTCCTGTTTTTTGGGGAACGTGGGCCTGCGGATCACATGACTCACGCATCACTGTACTTCCCGCCAGGTTTCGTTGGGACTAGGGGCGCGTCCCCCGCTATTGTCACAACTTCGGTGGACCATAGGCATCATGAGCACTGAACTTAAAGAAAGGTGCACATTCCTAGGGGTGGTTTTCGGGTGTATTGGTCTGGTACACCCTCTAGGGTGCTATGAATGGTTGGCGAAGAGTCCAACCATACGAAACACTCGAGCTAGGGGTGGAGAATGTGCTGGCGAACACCAAGCAAATTCGTCGGCGAGTTGGGTTGGGGAAACAGACGGGGGAAGGGGAGGCGGTGATAAACCTTTGAGACAACCACCCCAAAAGTGCACCCTTGCTTTAACCGAGAAAAACAAAGCTTCGATAAGCGCAGAACACATATACAGTCCCAATCATACATGAAACATAGTGGTCTTACAATCACTACTTTGATGTGGACAACATGTAGTTCATCCTCATAATAAGGTCTTGTGCCGACAATGCTCCCTCCTGCAGGAAAATACTACCACACCATGAGTTGCATGCTTGATTGCTGACGAGACAACTTATGCGAATCAGCTGTAATCTTACCACACGATCAATAACTTGTCCTTTCCGGAAAAGTATCAAAGTAGGCAGGCCCTGGATTCCATACCGCGATGCCAGCTTAGGGTACTTCTCCGTGTCAATCTTCACCTGCGGTGTACAAGTCAGGCAAACACCATGCCATCAGAGCAGCTAGCAACTCCGTGTGACCTCCATGTCACGAAGGACGGAACACGACGTACACACTGCCAGGGTTACGACTAGGCTGACACATACGATTTTGACGGAATCGCCAACTTGAGCAGACACTTGTTCCAAAGTCTTCGCCACAATTTGGCAGGGGCCACACCTAAGATACGGAGAAATATAAACGGGGAGGGGGAGCTTCGTTGTGTAAGTGTGATTAATGTGCGCTGTTCTTTAATGTCATGTATTCGCTCAATTGCCGTGTGAAGTTCCTGACAGTGTAAGTTGAGCTCAAACCCCATCCGCCAGTTTATACCATCTCTTAGATCTCACAAGAGAAGGGAGTGACATACCATGTGGCATAGAAGTCAACAAGAACCACGTCCGCCGTTTGAATCATGTCATCGAACGAAGAGAACGTCTGCTTTCCCGCTGCCGATACGACAAAGCGTCGCGACTGCTCAAAGTACAAGGACATAAAAGGCAAATCAACGAATTGACCAAAAAAAAAAAAAAAAACTTAAGGTTTGCCCGAACATTGGAGGACCAATTCGCAATTACGAACGGCTCATGAAGCTGATGACGCATGGAGCAAGCCTACCGTCGTGGAATTATTCGGCTGAGGTCGTAGAGGAATTGACGATTGAAGAAAAGAACAGCGCAGCGGTGAGGTGGCGACGGAATTACGATGAGACGGAACCCGCCTGATGCCCGACATGGAAACTGAAGGGACCGAAACGGAGCCCTTTGGAACTAAATGACAGCTTGGTGGGGCATAGACGGCTGGCGGTGAAACTGCTGCCGATCCACAGATATGCGCCATAGTGATAGTAGCACAGATTTACGCTGCAGAGGAATCTGTCAGCTTCGGTCTGCTTGGAATGTCGTGAGGAAGAGCAGCCTTCGGAAAGAAAAATGCTGAGATGGGTGAACGAAAATAGCAGACGTCGACGGAAAAGCCGAGTATTTGAAGATAGAAACCATCACTCTCTCACCCTGCAGCTCTCCAGTTGCCCTCCGAGCGACATGGCATGAGGCATCTGGTCAGCTATGACATGACGATTGAGAGCAAAGGCGTCCAGTCAGCAGGCATACCTGGCTGAATGTCATTGGTGTCCGTATGCTTTCTTGGGAAGAAAAGTGCTTGCCAGCGCGGCACATCACGCCGAGTTGGAGCCTTCCTGAACCCAGATTCCAGAGACACAATTTCGGTGGATGTAACACCCTTTGACGAGAAGTACCTGATTAACGAAACGTGCAAAATCTTGACGATTGATTGCGATAGTTCTTGTGTGGGTCGTCACGCGATTGTCGCTATCGTCGCGCATGCAGTCATTGGTCTTTTTGTCCAAACGAGGATGCTACCCATCAGTCCAGAGATTCAAATCCCTCGCAAGCAACTGGTTGTGTGATCAAATCCCGCTTTTCCCCGACACATCCGTCCACCAGCTCTTGGACCCCTCACGCCTCTCTCCGCCCCCTGCGCCCTCCCTTCTTCCCTTCCCAACACTCCACATGCCCCCATCTTGTACACCCTCTTTTGCGCTACACTGACAATGAGATTCACAGGCTACAGTGTGTACTGTTGCTTGGAACGTAGCGGTCTCGTGCTTACAGCCGAACTGCAGGTAGTGACGGGCAAATGGACTCCTGGTGAACGGTACACAACGGTTTTCAGAAAACAAATTGTTTTTGGGTACGGTTGAGTGCGAGCAAACGAGCTTATATCGCATGTGTATGGACCATCCTGGACGCATAGATGTGTGTACATCCGATCAGTTAGTATAGCCATTAACAGTGTAGCGCGAAACAAGGTGTACTGTATACAGACTAGCGTTCCGCCGCATCCCGCCAAGCCCTCCCAACGGCCTCGTTGTAACGCACGTGACCAAGCTCCGTCGCTATGAACGCAATTCCTTCGCCGCATGGCATCCCTTAGCTTTCGCGAACGTCGCCTTATCTCGCGTCTCGCCGACAAGCACTGGTGTGCGTTAGACCAGCCTGCGCCGGTGCTGCACTAGTTGTTCTTCCTGTCGTGGTCACCTGCTGTACTGTAGTCCGTCAAATTCGCCTCATCTGCTGCTCACTCGCTCGTTTCTTCCTGCTTTCTACTTAACGAAACGCCTGTGCGTGGTTGACTCGCCTCGCTAACCACCCACCGTGAAATCCTAGCCATTCGTTCACATCTCACTTAGCACTTTTCACCGTGAAGTAAGTCCCTGGTTGTGAATGTGTACAGGGTAATCCGCTCTCAATAACGAATCTTAGCTCGCGCTCCGGGTTGCTGGCATCGCTCGCGTTGCGACGCTCCTTTCTCGCATCGCAGTGCATCGTCTGCGGTCATCAGGCCGTCAAATATCAAACTCGTCGCTCACCATCCTCTCTTACTGTCCCAGTCCCACATCGACAAACCTCCCGTGGGGCCTCCCCATATTCGTTCCGTCGTCCGTCATCGGCCGTTTCCTCCCCCCATGCCGCGTTTCTCGCAGTCCACTCTCGTCTCAGCGCGTGGTACGTAGCGGTTATCGTCGCGTCGCGAGCAGCAAATCCCACTCGAATCCCGCAGACCGGCCTCGATATGGAAACCGCCACAGTCACCGCCACCGCCGCCACCGCCGCCACGATCGCCGTTGCCAATCCCCATTGCGCGTCGCGGAGCGGAGCCGGTGCGTGCGCTGCGAGCGCGGAGCGGAGCCCGTCGGAGGGCCCCGCGCGAGAGGACTCCGGGAACTCGGAAGAGCCGGGGCGGGGAAACGAGGGCGGAGCAGGGGCAGGGGCGGTGGGGGCGGCAGCGGCCGCAGGAGAGGTAGCGGGAGTAGGAGGGGGAGGGGGAGAAGGAGCGGCAGCGGAAGCGGAAGCGGCGGAGAATGATCCGATGCGTTCATTCGCGCACGCGAGCCACTCGGGAGTGGCGTCTCCCCCGTTCGACCCGTCGGACCTGCACATCTCGCCCACGCGCTTCCTCGGCGCCGTGAGTTGCGCGCGCACTTCCTCTCCCTCTCCCTACCCCTTCCCCTCTACCCCACGACAGCAGCGCCGTCAATCGCGCTCTGCCTTTCGCACGATGTGTCAGTGCCGCGCGCTGCGCACGCGATGCCTTTTACACAACTCCAGCGCTGCTACGCGCGCGTGCTGAGCCCCTTCTGTTCTGGCCCGAAGCGACGCGGCGCGCTTATAAGCTCTCCACCTGCCTCTGCATCACACGCTGCTGCCTAAATGCGCCTACCCTGTTACTCTTCCCAACCCCCACGCCCCCGCTTCGGCCTGTCCCGTCTTCCCCCGACTTCCCCCATCTTCCCCCGTCTTCCCCCATCTTCCCCCGTCTTCCCCCATCTTCCCCCGTCTTCCCCCATCTTCCCCCGTCTGCCCCCGTTCCCTCGCGGGACTCGCGCCTGGCAACCCCTGCATTCCGCCGCAGGCCCATTTGTCTCCCCTGCGCCCACTCTCCTGCATGCTTTCCACTCCCCCCCTTCTCACGCCTGTTCCTTGCTTGCATGGCATGGCATGGTGCCGTATGGGATAACACGGCATGGCATGTCATGGCATTATATCGTCTTCTGTTCCATGACATGACACGGCATGATGACACGGCATGATCATGGCATGGCACGGCATGGCATGACACGGCATGGCATGGCGTATGGCAGGGCACGTATGGCGAGGTGCGCATGGGGTCATGGCACGGGCAGGCCGTGGCCGTGAAGATCCTCAAGAACGCCGCTGACTCGCTCCTCTGGTCCGTTCACCGATTCATTCACCTGCTTGCTGCCACTTGCTCTCCGCACTCTTGCGTCGCCTGCTCTGTTCTGCAAGTCCTGGCAGCAGCACGAGTGCTGTGTTGCGTGGTGGCAGGCAGGCAGCATGGCGCTGTGCACAGCGCTGTCTCTTGAGTCGACTCAATTACAAAGCCCGCTGTGCACAGTTTTGAGGCGCCTCAAAACTGAAGTCTGCTGTGCAGAGCGCTGTGCTGTGCGGTGCTGTGCTGTGCTGTGCTGTGCTGTGCTGTGCTTTCCTGTGCTGTGCTGTGCTGTGCTGTTCTGCTGCTGCTGCTGCTGCTAATGTGTTCCATGCAACACCGTCAGAGTGCAGCCCACAATGTCTCTCCGCCCCCGCCGCCCCCTCTCTTCCCCTCCTCCTCCCCATCCGTCCCCTCCCCTCTCCCCCCCCTCCCACAGCACCTTCTTCCTGCGCGAGGTGGCGTTGACGCGGCGCGTGCATCACCCCAACATAGTGCGCTTCCTGGGCGCCAAGACGGACGCCATGCCCTTCATGCTCGTCACTGAGATGCTGCCCATGGTGCGCGCAGGGGGGAGAGGGGGAGAGTGGGGGGAGAGAGGGGGGAGAGCGGGGAGAGAGTGGGGAGAGAGTGGGGGGAGAGTGGGGGGTGATGGTGGCCATTATGAGGGGGGAACGGTAGGGGGTTGGCAACGCAGCTGTTGGGGCTCTGATTGACGCCATGCCGCTCACCATGCTCCTCACTGAGATGAGACGCTGTTGCCCGTGGTGGTGGGGGCTAAGGGGGGAGGAAGGGGGAAGCAGGAGGGGGAAGGGGGCGGGGAGAGAGGGGGGAAGACTGAGGGAACGGGAGATGGGGGTGATGCTGCTGCCTATTGTGCTTGCGCCTCCATGCTCGTCACTGAGATGCTGCTTATGGTTCATGGGGGAGGGGAGGGGAAGGGGGGAGGAAGAAAGGCCTCTGTTGTCTCATGCCTGCCTGTCTCTCCCTCACTGCATCACATGGCATGGCGTGGCATGGCATGGCATGACATGTCATGACACTGCATGGGTGTGGGTGCGTGCACCATGACTGCACTCACAGGGCGATCTGCATGATTACATCCAGTCCAAGTCGCCTCTGGGCGCGCGCCAGGTCCTGCTCTTCGCCCTTGACATTGCACGGTGAGAGCCGTGCTCATGCTGATGATGATGATGATGATGATGATGATGATGATGATGATGATGATGATGATGATGATGATGATGATGATGATGATGATGATGATGATGATGATGATGATGATGATGATGATGATGATGATGATGATGATGATGATGCAGATGTGCCAAGGAGTTGGGCCATGCGGGGCATGAGGGGAAGGAGCGTGCGGGGCGTGAGGGGGGTGTTGACTTGTGTTCTGTGGCGAAGGCCATAGCTGCTCACTTGAACACACACCGACGCGGACGCAGGGGGCTGCAGGGGAATCCAGGAGGATGCCCGCCAGGGGTGCATCCAGGAGGTGCAGGGGGGTCTGTACAGCCTCTCGTTCCACCCTTCCCACCATACCCGTTAGTCTCTACTACAATCCATCCTCTCTACATCCTGCTGCTCCATCACTAAATCCGCGCTCATCTCTCACATCTCACATCCCCTTGACCCTCCTTGCCGCACCATCTCTTGCCCCAACTCACCCACCTCATCTTTCCCCCCACCCACTCATCCACCCCCCTGCGCGCGTGTGGTGGTTATGCTTTCGCTTATGCTCCGCTTCCCATGCCCCTCCTCCCCATGGATTGTCTGGCAGTGCAATGGAGTATCTGCACAGGCCGTCTCCGTGTATGTTTTTTGAGAATTCTTAAAAGACATACACCGCTTATGCTTTTGCTTATGCTCCCCTTCCCATGCCCATCCCATGGATTGTCTGGCAGTGCAATGGAGTATCTGCACGGGCTGTCTCCGCCCATCGTGCACCGAGACCTCAAACCACAGTACGCCCCTACCATGCCCTGCCTTGCGATGCCATGCTCTGCTCTGCTGTGCCCATTCCCATGCTCAAGCCCATGCCATATTCCCGTGCCAGTTCGGTCATTCAAACCTCTGTCTATTCACATGAGCAAACGCGCCTCCTTCTTTCCCCTCTTTCGTCTTCTCCCTTTTCCCCACCCCCTGTTTCCTCCCCCTCTGTCTGCTCTTCCTGTTTTCCCCTGGCTGTCTTCACCCCTCGCACCTGTGTGCGTGCACGACAGCAACCTACTGCTAGACATCCGAGGGCATTTGAAGCTCATAGACTTTGGCCTCGCCACCACTCTCCCTCCTCCGCCCACACCCCCACTCCCACATCCGCACCCACACACACACCGTTCCACCTCCCAGCAACAGCAGCAGCAACATCAGCAGCAGCAACACTCCCTCCGGGTTGAAGACAGCACGGCTCGAATACAAGGGGGGGCGGGATGTGTGGCAGCAGCAGGGGGAGCAGCAGCGGGAGTGGGAGGGGGGTCGGTGTCACCATGCTCGTCAGTGCCTCCCACGGTCAACTCCTCACTCTCCTCTGACTGCTCGGATGCCTCTGCTGCTGCTGCTCCTAGCGACAAGCCCTTGGAGAGTCAAGCTGGCACTTGTACGTGTGTGCACTTACATACTGCCAGAGGTATTTTTCCACGAGCCCTAGCATTGTGTTACCACATCGCTCCTCCATCACCCCCACCTCATTTTCCCCATCCCCCGTCCCTCTCCCTCAGACCGCTACATGGCGCCAGAGGTGTTTCGCCACGAGCCCTACGGCACGCCCGTTGACGTCTTCTCCTTCGCCATCCTGCTGCACGAGGTGCAAGGGAGGGTCGGGGTGTGCGTAATGGGCAGGTCGGAATGGGGAGGGGGCGGGGCAGGCAGAGTAGTTTGAAACTTCTCCTTCACTATCCTGCTGCACGAGGTGCAAGGGCGGGGTGCAACGCAGTGGTTTGGTTTGGAGGGGTGGGCGGGGTGGGTTTTCAGTCGACTCAAATGTCACCTTGCTGCACGAGGTGCAACGTATTAGTTTGGAGGGATGGGCGGGGTGTGGGGGAGGGCAGCGCGGGGCAGACGAGTGTGGAACTTAGTTGAATTCCGAGGCGCTTCAGAATTCAACTCACTACATGCGGGAGGGCAGCGCGGGGCAGACTAGTGCGGAACTTCTCCTTTGCCGTCCTGCTCCGTGCGGTGCAAGGGAGGGGGGAGGGTGGGGAGTGTGGGGAGGGTGGGGAGTGTGGGGAGTGTGGGGAAGGGTGGAAAGGTGGGGAGGGTGGGTATGGTGGTGCGCAGAGGGGGGGGGGAATGGGGGGGGACCGGGCAGTGGGCAGTGGATGGATCGTGGTGAAGCAACTTTGTGCATGTTTGTGAAGTGAAGGGCGAGATCACATACACAGGAGCAGCAGTGGGGGGGTGGAGAACGGAGTTATCTTGAGTTGACTCAAAAGAGAAGAGAGTGAGTCAACTCACGAGCGAGCTTCTGCATGTGTGTGAAGGGTGAGGTGAGCGCAGCACACACATAAGAGCAGCAGAGGGATGGTGGTGAGACATGAGTGCTTTTGAGACGTTTCAAGAGCAGCAGAGGGATGGTGGTGAGACATGAGTGCTTTTACCTTCTTGCTCCTCGGCTGCCCGTGCTCCTCCGTATCCTCCCATCAGTTTCCTCCCCTCAGTTCCCTCCCCTCAGTTTCCTCCCCTCAGTTTCCTCCCCTCAGTTTCCTCCCCTCAGTTTCCTCCCCTCAGTTTCCTCCCCTCAGTTTCCTCCCCTCAGTTTCCTCCCCTCAGTTTCCTCCCCTCAGTTTCCTCCCCTCAGTTTCCTCCCCTCAGTTTCCTCCCCTCAGTTTCCTCCCCTCAGTTTCCTCCCCTCTGGTACCGGATGCTCATTAGCACTCTTATGATCATGTTTGAACCCACCACCTGTTCACACATCCCCACTCTTCCCTCCCAACCACCGCTTTCTCCTCCTTACCTGTCCTTCCGTGCACCCCCCTCTTCTCGTTCCTCACTCTCTCCCCCCTTCCTCCCCTTCCTCCCCTCTCTCCCCTCTTCCTCTCAATCCTGCTCTCCCCGTCCCACCCTCCTCAGATGTTTGAGGGAGGGCAGCAGATGAAGCTGCTGACGCCACAGGAGGTGGCGAGGAAGTATGCTCTCAACGTGCGCCCGGTCTTCAAAGCCCGCACATACCCACCGCATGTCAAGGAGTGAGTGTTGCCTCTGGCACCTCTTGCAGCTGTTGTCGTCTCTTGCATTGATCTGCATGCGCTTCCAGCACTCTCATTGCTGCCTTGCCAGCCTTCCCGTTACCCTCCTTCCAGTTTACTCCAAGCTTTTAACACCATCAAGCCCCCCTCGCTGCCCTCCATCTGCCATGCACACCCCCTTTTCCTCCCCTCGGCCCCTGTCCCCCTTCTCCCCTGCTCCATTCTCCCCTTCCCCCACCAGCTCCATAGCCACCTGCTGGCACCAGGATCCGTTGCAGCACCCACCCACCCTTCTCCAGGATCCCGCCTTTTAGTGGCGCCTCGAGATCTAAGTACTCTTCCCCCTCCCCCTCTGCATCCCTCCCCTCCCCCCTCATCACCAGCTTCATAGCCACGTGCTGGCACCAGGATCCATTGCAGCGCCCACCCTTTTCCAAAATCCGGCCCTTCCTGGAACAAACTTTGGAAGATCTAGGCCCCTCGCCTCTCTCCTCCCTCCGCAATGCCGCCGCGCACACCGCCTCACCTGCTCGTGATTTCTCAGGGAACGGTGCTGGTGGTGGCGGCGGCGGTAGCAGTGGGTTTGGTGGCTGTGCAGGTGGGAATGGTGGGGGGAGACATAGCCATTTGACTCGGGCTTTAAATGCCATGTGGGATGCCGGAGCAAGTCCGGTGGGTACGAGTGGGTTGGGTGGGGTAAATGATGGAGCCCAGAGGGTGGGTGATGGCATGTGCAGGCAGGTGCCTTGTAATGTCATGTGATGCATGGCACACTCACTGTCGTGTGCGTAAAATATTTATTAGTTCATTTGTAAGTAGTAAGCAATATGCATGTAAATTAGTTCACTCCGTTGATGTTTTCTTGAACAGGTGGAAAGGAAAACATTCTGCTAAACCCTACACAGATGGTCACTGTACAGAGCTGTGGATCAGCACTCAAGGCCTGTGTATACCTACAGTAACTGGCAAAGCACTACACTTACCCTGCCTGGTTGCAATCCAATCGAATCCAAGGTTTTATTTAGAGCTCAGACACACAACACAATCCACAGCATAGGACAAGCCACCAAACACCCACTTTGCAGCCTTGCTCATTGAATACAATGAAGCAATAGCTGGACCAGACAAAGCACACGAAGCCATAGAAGTGGAATTTAAAATCTCTCGAAAAAATTGGTACTGTACTCGATATAAATCTACACCCCTACAAGAATGATGCAAGAGGAACAAAAATGGCGCTCGTCGACAACTGAGCCTCAGAAATTACCCAGCTGAGGAGTTGCTTGCAGCTTGAGTGCACAGGGTAGACAAGGATCGGAGTGGGGGGGAGTGGCGACAAGAAACGAGGAGTGGAGAGGAGCACCAGCAGAGGGTCCGCCATGACGCCCAGACCACAGACACAGCCTTGAAAGGCCTCGAACCGCACCGCATGCAAGGGCATGGCAGGGCCATAGGGCATCAGATGGAGGCCAGTGAGGAGTCTCCTCCCCTCTCCACGTGGACCAACTTGCAGCAGTAGAAGCAGGAGCAGGCGCGGAAGACCAAGGGTACCGCAGGGGGTGAGTGGAGAGGGGATACAGAGGGAGAGGGAAAATGTCCCCCTGTCCACACGGTCGTTGCGGCTGGGAAAAATGCCTCAAACCAACCCAGCCACACAAGGGACAAAATTTGGGGCTGGGAGGGAGTGAGAACCCGCAGAAAAATGACCGGGCGGATTGGGGAACAGAGGGTGGTGCGCAGCTGATGCTCTCACTCAGCAGTCCATGAGAGGAAGGCACTCAGGTCAGAGTGACGTAGAGCAGAAGAAGAGTGGCTGTACGTAAGACCGGGAGGAAAAGTAAGGATATAATAGTGACCGGGCGAGGAGGTAGAAGAGATAATCATGTGCAGGGAACAAAAGAGGGGGGGGGGGGAAGAAGAGGGAAGAGGGGGGAACGGAGGGCCTAAGAACAAAATTGAGTGGCTGGCCAGCAGATGCTTGCCCACACACACAGAGACACAGATGCACATGGCAGCGAGTGCGCTGTGTGGTGTGCGTGTGGGGTTGCATGCGTGGTGGCAGCACACTGGGTGATGATGCAGGCTCGCACAACCAGGACGGAACGGTCCTGCTGTGCAGCGCAGCGTGGCGAGTGCTGGTAACGGCACGACGCCGTCCACACGCCAATGTTACACGGGGTGGAGAGTTTACGGACGCGGCTTCATGGCAATCGGCCGGAACACCATCTGCCACGAGAGCACACACACACGGAAGCACCACAAGACAAGCAAGGAGGGAAAGACGCGGGAAGAAGAAGAGCAAAGGGGGAAAGGGTGGGAGGGGAGGAGGGAGGAATGGAAGAGGGTAAGGAGAAGGACGAAGAAGATTCACTGAAGAAGAACTAGCTATCAGACGCCTGTCCTGTGCTTACAACAATCACACAGCCACCTCTCAACACACACTCCCCCTGGCGTTTCCACCGCATAGCGTCTCTCACCTGTGAGGTGGTGCGAGTTGCTGGTTCTGCTGTGCTGCTAGCAGAGCGGCGGCGGCGCTTGCCAGGAGGGAGCGCAGAAGCAGGCTTGGCTGGAGGTGCAGGGCACGTTGCAGTGAGGCCCCCCATGCGGCCAGGGAATGACGTGGGCAGCTTCGCCTGCTGCGGGCGCAGTGCGTGCGGCGCTGGTGCTATGGGAACCATGGCTTTGGCGCCACCACCGCCCCCTCCCTCCCCGTGATGCTTCTTCTGCTGCTGCTGCTGCTGGTGCGCCTGGTGGTTCTGCTGCTGCTGCTGGACAGCCATGGTAGAAGCTTTTGCCTCGTCCTGCTGATGCTGCTGCTGCTGCTGTTGCTGCTGCTGCTGCTGTTGCTGGGCTGCGGAGGCTGCAGCAGCGGAGGCCATAGCGTGTGCCTGTTGCGCCTGCACAGCAGCCTGCGCCACTGCCGCCATCACCCCCCACTGCTGCGCAGCTGCTGCTGCATCCGCGGCCGCCACTGCAGCAGCCGTCATGGGGCCGCCATGCAGGTGAGACGGAGGCGGCAACATGGCAACAGGCACGGGCACAGGCACGGGGACGGCAGGCGGGAGCGGTAGCTTCATCTGGAGATTCTGTAGCGGCTTCATGGGGGCGTAGGAGCGCGGGCGGGCGTGGGAGGGCGGCGCTGGCTGGATTTCACGGGGCTTCCTGGGAAGGGGCAAGCCGGGCGAGAGAAGGGAGACGACATTGAGGTGCCTGGATGACTTGGCTGGATGAGACGAGGTCTTGTTATAGGGAGGAGAGGGGAGAGAGACAGGAGAGTGAGACGAAGAGCACAGTAGCGTATCGGTGAGTGGGATGACCACATGTCGTTGGATGCAGTAAAAAAGTTTCACTACAACAAGTGTGCACACGAGCAGGGCAGGAGAGAAGAGCGTCTCAATGAGCAGGGTAGTGACCAGACAGATACCTGTGTTTTTGGGTTGGGCAGTGCATATCACCTACACCACCAGCAGCCTGCGCCTTCTGCCCGCCACACGGCACTGGCGCATACATGCGCGCGGAGGGCGCAACACTCCCCCCGTCAGCCCTGTCTTTGTTGTTCGGCGCAATGGGGCGGGGCTTGGCAAGCGCGGCGGAAAGCGCAGCACTGGACATCCCCGCCAGCGCGGGCGGCGCAGGCGCAAGGCGTCGCGGGGCGGGAAGGAGCGTAGACAGGATGGGCGGAGAGTGGTGACTCGGCGGGGGGAGAGCGCTGCAGGCACCAGAGACTGCGACGGCGGCAGCCGCAGCGGCGGCGGCTGCAGCGGCGGCAGTGGCGGGGGTGGCGGAAGGTGCGGGCGGGACGGTGAAAGGAAGGACACGCGGAACTGGGTGGAGCGGAGACGAAGCCAAATGAGGCGCGGGTACGACAACAGGCGGAGAAAATGCTCCGCTTGTGGCGGGGGAGAAGGCGGAGCGCTGGAAGGACCGGCCAATGGTGACCATGGGTGGCGAGACAGACGGCGACGCTGGCTTCTTCAAATGCTGCTGGTTTGCGCCTAGACCTGACTTCGACGCAGTCTTTGGGGTAAGCGGCTTACGCTCTTCGTTCTTCACACCGCTACTCGCTGTAATCGGCGGCAGCTGCTCCTGCTTTTCCTGCTGATCCTGCTGCTGCTCCTGCTGCTGCTGCTGCTGCGACTGAACCGGAGGAGAATCGTGCGACCGCTGTTCCGCCTGTTTCGCGAACGGTCGGCGAACAACACCCGCCTCATCCGACTCTGCACCAGCAGCAACAGCAGCTGCATCCACACCCTGACTCTCACTACCGCCTCCCGCCGATTCCTGTTTCCCTGACACTGGCCCGTCCGCCGAGGAGGTGGGAGCGGCGGGAGCACCGTGCGCCGCAGCCGCGTTTTCACCACGAAGCGAACGAAGAGTGCTCCGCAGAGGCTGCTTCGACGTAGCTGCTTCCGACGCGCGAGCGTCTCCGCCAGTCTCCTCACCGACCGTCCCATCCACCAAAACGCGTCGGCTTTCTCTTGAGCCCTGCTCCACGTGGCTAGGCGAGCCCGTGACAGCCGCTGCCATCTGCCGACTCTGTCGCTCCCCCTCTGCTTCTCCCCCCTGACGCTCGTCCATATCCTTTTCCCCCCTCTCATTTCCCTCCTCGCTCTCCTCCATCTCTTCCTCCTCCTCCGTCTCTATTTCCCCCTCCTCCTCGTCGTCCTCGCCTTCCTCATCTACATCCTCCTCTACGTCATCAACGCGCCTGTATTCCGCCGAAGACTCCTGTTTCTGCGGGGAGTCCTGCTGCTGCTGCTGCCGCCACTGCTCGAGCGCGTGCGCGTGCGCAGGGTCCGACTTGCTCTGCTCGTCCGACTGTACTTCGCCCTCCTCGTCGCTGCGGCAATCGCGGGACCGCTTCAACCCGCAGCGGCTCCAAGCCACCTCCTCCGCGCCGCTGCTCACGCCGCGGGAGGACGTATTCCCGGTCTCGCACTTGGCGCCGCTGGCTACTTTACGCGCCGAGGCGTCCGAACCTGCCTGGACTTGCAGAATCGCTACGCGCGCAGAGAACTTGCTAGGCGTCTGTTCCTGTTCCTGTTCCTGTTCCGTATGAGTCGTATTGGCCGTGTTGACGGTATTGGCTATGTCTGACGGGGAGCGCGAACGAGGCTTCGAAACGACAGCGGGAGCGGCGGCGGCACACACGGAGGGCATGGAGCACCGCCGGGTTTCGCGGTCGCCCTCTTTAGATTCGGTAGAGGCTGACGCGTTAAGGTCGAGGCAGGGAATGGTGCCGACCGGGTGGTGACAGGTGTCAGTTGGATCATGGGGGTCCGCACGACGTCGCAGCGTGACGATGTAATCGTAAACTTCGTTAAGGAAATCCGCGGTATTAGCACCTTCGACGTGCGGCACGAGCATGCGCAGAGACTTCATCCTGGTTGAGAGGAAAAAACGGGAGACGGAAATTGAGTGAGGACACGCTTTCATAAGGAACATTAAGCTTACAGGCGTTTATTCATCTTCTTCACAAAGAAACAACCACAGGAAGGAGTCACGAACACTAGGGAGGACGACAAGCACTGGAAGAGAAACTCTTCACGTGCTTCTTTCTAGTCTCTATAATAAAAAACTCAAGGTGGCGAGCAACCGAAAGCGCATACTTGTCCTTAATACGCGCCCTTCGCTTCTGCTCCGACGCCATGTGGCGCGTGGCGCACACGCCACTCCGCGATACCAGCGCCGCCGCTCCGCGCAAGCTGCAAGCGCCTGCAGCCGCAGCCGGAGCCGCGACGGGACTGGCTCCATGGTTCGACGCTGCACTCCCAGCGCACGAGCCACCTGCAGGAACTGCTGGACCTGGCTGGCCTACTGCTGCTGCAGCGGCTGCGGCTGCGGCTGCTGCAGCGGCTGCAGCAACGGGATTTGGTGTGTACGTAATGGCTGGAAAGAATCTCGGAACCCCCAAGTTCCCGCACCCGTAGCCGAAGCCGCCAGCGGCAGCAACGCTACAGGGAGCTGCGATGGCGGCTGAGGCATTGCTGGACGGGAGTGTGCCCGGCGCTACATTCTGCTGCGACGACAGCGGTCGTGGTGCTACGGCTATTACTCTCGGAGGTGCGGTGCGATGCATGGCAGGCAGCCTGGTAGCTCCCTGCTGCGACTACGGAAGGCTCGCGGACAAGCCAGAGTGAATGTGATGAATCGCAAGCATAGGGAGATCCGAATCAGAGATGCTATTCGCAAGGAAAGGGGTGCTCGAATGGTGGACTGGTCAGCTACCCCAACATGGACACTGAACGCGACGACAAGGACGCAAGAAACCAAATTTCCGAGTTAAAATAGGCGTTAGTCTCAAAAGGGAGGAGCGAGTGGCGTGAAAAGGCTGGGACGGACACCAGTGCTGGTCCGTGATACTGGCGAGTAAGCGACTCTCCACGCCTGACCTACTAGCAGGGACGACCTATCACCCTAGCTCTACAGCTTCTAGCAGAACGATTGAGGACTACCGTGGCCGTGGCTCGTCGCAGCCATGGCCATTTATTGCAAACGTGGGTGTCCACTATGTTGTGCAAATCAATTCTCAGAATCTCACAAATCGTAGGGGAGGCACCCGTGTCTCTATCTTAAAAGAATCACTTAGAAAGTATGGCGTACCATAACCAGCCAGCACGAATACGTTAACTACAGTAAAATTTCGGTGTATCATCCACGTCTACTTCAAGTTCTGTTACTTCCGTATTTAGGGCTAGAGATTGAAGACGACAGGGCTTTCCAGTCAAACATTGTGACTTCCAAGGCGTGAAAAGGACTTCACGTGCTTTGGACTTGTAGAAATGAAGAATCAGATTTGAGACACCCGTGCCCTACTGTCTGGAGCTGCCCAATGATACACTTCGCCCAATCGATAATCCCCAATCACCTCTGGAGGTTTCGCCTTGTCGCCGAGGTCCACCAGACCCCAAAAGTTAGGGCATGCTGGTTTGGGGAGCAGAAGAGCCGTTAGGTCGGATACACTTGGGGGAAATTGGGGAAGTGGGGGGGAAGAAGAGTGGTTGCGGTGGTTTGGGTTGGTGGGAATTTCGCTCGCAGCCGAGTTATTGAGGCGGGGGATTGGTTTGGAAAGGGGGAGTGTGGGGGTAATGGGTAAGCACAACCCCGCCGAACCAAACCCCTCCCTCTTTCGCCTACACGGAGTCACCGAGTCTTGGTATGCGAGGGACGAACGTCACGGATTGAGCGGCGTCACGCCGCAAAAGCTGATTCCCGCCGAAGCAGAGCATTCCATGCGACACCACCAGCTTAGAAGCTGGTTCAACGAACCAGAATTTTCTTCGCGCCTCGTCTGGGATGCTATTCTGTCTTTATTTCGCCTACGTGGCAAGCAGATATTGGTCGAAGCCTGCTTCGCGCTTGTATTCCAACTTGGACAGCTCCCAAGAAATTGTCCTGCTGACATGTCCTGGTCCACCCAAGGCCACCGCGTTCCTATCTTCATGGCAAGGTTGAAGCTCGATTATCCGGCACTCCCAGTGAGCTTCAACGAACTTCCAGGCACCACGGGGTCACTCAGGGATGACGTGTCCGTGGTGCACTCACCAATCCTATATTTTTTTTCAAAGCAATGTGAGCAAATTCCACGAATATCATTGGGTGGAGCACGGGTCTTCCTCTCCATCACTCAGCCCATCGCATCGAGCCTGAAAAGGTACGAATCCTTTGGCAACTTCGAATCCTTGGCGCGCCATGCTGCAACCCACGTGGCAGTAAGGAGATAGGCAACGAGTCCCTCAAATCCAAGCACAGCCAATCAAGTGTGGAGCCGTGGCAAAGGATGGTGGAGGTGACTGCGCCGTGTCTCGATACTGTTCCAGGTTTCAGGGGGGTGAGGGCCATACATATCCCGCGTCGTCTGCTTTGACCACAAGAGAAATTTTCAGGGTACTGTACTGCGTCCAAATATGGGCCACATGTCCCCTCCGAAATCCCCTGCAACCCCAAAACTCTCTGGCAATTTGCGTGTCTGCTGGGGCTTGCTTGGTTGGCAGAAAAGCACCAGAGCGTAGTAAATCCCTCCTATTGGAGTGGCGTCAAATACACAAATCGTACAAACCGGTACATGCATCCACTTTTCATATTGTATTCAATACAAGTTTTTCAGAATGCTTGTTTGAGTGTTTAGTTTTGTCTTGGTTGGTGTACCTGCTTGGAGAAACAAGTTTTGGTGATCAGATCAGGACGCGGTAAAAGTGCTCGATCGGGGGGAGATCGATCCGGTCACCGCACTGAAACCTTGCGTTTGGCTTACGAAAAGCACACAAACGTTTATAACCGTGCTAAAAAACGACCCTGAGGCGATCGATTCTCCACTTTTACCGCGTCCTCAGCACATGTCTTCTCGGACCAGAGGAGTGAGCGGGTGTCAGAAAAAAATATCATTGGCCAAATCAACAACGAGTAACAGCAGAGGTGCGATAAATGGAGCTTTCGCAATCTTCGCGCATTTTGCCAGCCATTTGCCACAGACAGACTAGGGTCAGAGAGTGGATCTGCTCAACCTCCAGATCTGAACCGCAACTGCTTGCCTAAATTCTTTATGCACGGCTGGGATTCACTTCGCTCCTAGTGGTTGGAACAAGAGCTTTGAATTCAACTCATTAGGCTTGCCGCGTTCCAAACTGACAGGATGATTCTGCGGCTCCAGATGAGAGGACAATCGACGGTTCCTAGTTCACGGAGTCCAACGTTCACCAACGAAATCCCGCAGCTCCCGCCTTTGTCAACGGAATCTCGCTGAAAAAAGGCGGTGTTGTTCGTCTTGCATAGCCCTGAGGTGAAAGGAGGGGACAAGCGAGCAGCGTAAACTTGGCATTTTTCGTTTCCTTTCCCTGACCGGCAGGGGAATCAATTGCCACGCTGACGATTCTCAACCAGCCACCGAAGTGGACTCTCGACTCTCCCTGTCATGGACAAAAATTAAGCCTGACCGGACCAACCATTCGCAGCCACCGTCATTTTCCTCGCGACCCAACACAGCCGTTAGCCTGTAGACCAATGCGGAGCTTGATAGGGTTGCCGTGACGAAACACGCAAAAGGTCCGAACCTACGGCTGAGATCTTGATTACCTCGAGAGTTTCAGATAATCCAGTGATTTTGGACGGTAGATCTGACAAGAGGGATGTTGTGAGAGAAGGAGAGGAGAGGCAGTTGGTGACCCCTCCACCTCATCCCAGCCAACGTCACCGTCGTCTCTCGCCTCATTGTCGCCTTCGCCTCGAATTTCTCAGCGCTTTCGCCTCTTGCTCTCATTTTCTCACGCTCACCATCTTCTGCTCGTTTTCTTAGAGCTGCTGCGACTGCGAAAAGGAGAGCCGCTAGCGATGCTCTTTCTCAACACATGCTGAGGCATTTTGCTTCAGGTCTGGCTTTATCGTAGGAGCTTAGGCATTCGCAATACAAGCTGGAGCCATTCTGCTTCATGTCTGGCTTTTACGGGAGTTTCGTTATAGGAGGAGAAAATCGGGTGTTGGCGTTATGAAGCCGGGAAGCGTGTGCGTGTACATGACCACCAGCTTTGGCGATTTCGATGACCATGGAAGAACATGTAAATTTTATTGCCTGTGCTTATTTTTCTCGTATCCGCGTCTAATTTAATCCCTCCAACAGTCCAAATGTTAAAAATTCTTACGTCAATTAATGGTGTGATGTTCTTTCGTTTTGGCACACGCGATATTGTTCTGTGGCGGGTCTGACGTGACCACTGCATGCTGGTTGCAATTTGCAGGTTCTGTCCGTCCGAGGCGAAATGTCACTCCAACCACCCACGCCATCTGGCAGTCCGTGCTGTTTCGGCGAGTACGTGCGAGTTCAGGTATGTCCCATTCAATTCCGCATATCAATTTAGTATCGCAGTACGTTTCGCGAGCTACTTCCCTGACGCACGCTGTTACCGCGTCTCTCCACCCGCCACTGCAGGCCGCCGTGCGCCACGCCGTTCCCACCCTCCGGACGGGTGCGAAGCTGCTGGGTGCCTCAACCACTCTCGCCACCTGCAATTTCGGCCCCACACGCAGCCCTCTCTGCTCCTCCCACCCCAGACGCAGCGCTCTCTGCTGGGTGCCTCAACCACTCTGCAGCTGCTGCTCCACGCGGGGACATGGAGTGCACAGGCAGCAGCTGCTCTCCCCCCAACTCATCCACAGCTAAGCTAAGTACCCCGCCCTGCCTCTCTCCTCCCAACCCTCGTGCTTGTGTTGCCTTTCATGTCTCGCTTGCATGGTACATCAAACTCCCTTCTTTACTGCCCTCTGTCACACTCAAGAGACCTCCTTCCCCCAAGGTAGCAAGGTAGCAGGTGCGTGCTCAGGTATTTGGTTTAGTGTGGTTCAGCTGGTATGAGGTCTCTTGGGTGTGCCACTGCAGCAGTCCAATCATGCATGCATAATTTCTTCTCTCTCTGCTCTCACTTCGCTCACTTGTCCTCGCTTCTTTCCTCACTGCCCTCCCCACTAATCAATTCCCGTCCTCTCCTCCCTTCTCTCTGTCCTGATCTTCCCCCATTCGTCACAGCAGGTTGCTCACACGGGAGTGGTAGTGGCGGGGGACATGGAGTGCAGAGGCAGCAGCTGCTCTTCCCCCAACCCACCGACAGCTAAGCTAAGTACCCCGCCCTGGCTCTTTCCTCCCAACCCTCGTACTTGTGTTGGCTTTCATGTCTTGCTTGCATGATGCACTCCCTTTCTTTCTGCCGGCTGTCACACTCAAGAGACCTCTTTCCCCCAAGGTAGCAATGTATCAGATACGTGCTCATGTATTTGGTTTAGTGTGGTTCAGCTGGTATGAGGTCTCTTGGGTGTGCCACTGCAGCAGTCCATTCATGCTCGCATCGTTTCTTCTCCCTCTGCTCTCACTTCACTCACTTTTCCTTGCTTCTTTCCTCACTTCCCTCCTCACTCCTCAATTCCCGTCCTCTCCTCCCTTCTCTTTGTCCCGATCATACCCCTCTCGTCCCAGCAGGTTGCTCACACGGGAGTGGCAGTGGCGGGGGACATGGAGTGCACAGGCAGCAGTTGCTCTCCACCCAACCCACCCACGTGCAGCTAAGTACCCGCGCTGCCTCTTGCGTTCATTTTTGGTCCATTTCAGTCCTTGCTGCATCTCCTGCTGCTTGTGCGTTCAAAGACAAGCCTCTGGTTGAGCCAAAGCTTCAAGCCACAGACCCCCCATTTCTCCCACGTACTGCAGGTATTCTCTCAGGTCTGCAGGTAAGCCTCCCTAGGTGTGTACCTCTCTTGGGTCTGTGGCTTGTAGCTGAGGCTGCACCAGTGGCCCCCTTCTCTGCTCCCACATGCCGTCTCAATCACTCCTCTCACATTTTTACCCCTAGCCGCTTAATCACTTCTCTTCAGTTCTCTCCTTGCCGATTAAGGGGAGGGGCGTGGGGGTCAACGCCGGCACTCCCTCACGCTCCTCCCCTGTGGCTGTGCAGGTGCAACGGTGGGAGGGGAATGGGGCAGCACTCCACTCGGCTGCGGCGGGAAGGGAGAGTATCGGGATTGGGTCGTCTGAAACAAGGTGAGCCTCATATCCCCTCCTTTTTTATCAGTCATGCTGTGGCTTGGTCTTCTCCCCATGCCCACTTCTTGTCTCGCTCCTTGCCCTGCAATCCACTCTGTTTTGCATCTTCTCATTGCCCTCTGCACTCCTCTGCCTTCACATCCCCATCCTTTCCCTCCTCCCTTCTCCGTCCTAATCTGCCCCCTCTCGTCCCAGCAGGTCGCTCACACGGGAGCAGCAGTACCTGCTTACACGGGAGCACCAGCAGCACCTGCTCTCCACACAACCCACCTGCAGCTAAGTACCCGCGCTGCCTCTTGCGTCCATTTTGGTCCGATTCAGTCCTTGCTGCATCTCCTACGTGCATTCAAACACAAGCCGCCGGTTGAGTCAAAGCTTCAAGCCACAAACCCCTTTTTCTTGGGTAAATTCTTCCAGGTACTGCAGGTATTCTCTCAGGTCTGCAGGTAAGCCTCCCTAGGTGTGTGCCTCTCTTGGGTCTGTGGCTTGTGGCTGAGGCTGCACCAGTGGCCCCCTTCTCTGCTCCCACATGCCGTCTCAATCACTCCTCTCACATTTCTATCCCTAACCGCTTACTCACTTCTCTTCAGTTCTCTCCTTGCCGGTTGAGGGGAGGGGTGTGGGGGTCAACACCGCCACTTCCCTGCGCTCCTCCCCTGTGGCCATGCAGGTGGCAGTGTTGGGAGGGGAGGGGGAGCAGGCGAGGGGAGGCGAGGGGCAGGCGAGGGGGAGGCGAGCAGGAGGCGAGGGGGGCAGCAGGGCAGCAGCGCCAGCCTCATCAACGGTTGAGGTTGCAAGTATCGCCCCTGCCACCGCACTCCACATGAGCCCGCTCCCCCTCAGGTTCAGGTTCAGGTGCAGGTTCAGGTGCAGGTGCAGGTTGGTAGTGGCTCTTGTGGGGTTGTGGGCGGCGTCACATGCACCGTCGTTTCTGCACTCGCACTGCTGTCACGCGCTCTTCTCACTTGCAAGGGCCGCTCCCTCCTGCCTCTCATCTACTCACTCAAATGGACCTTTCATTGGTTATTACAGGAGTTACAGGCATGCAAGGTGGTGGCTAATGTGTGAGTCTTGTGCACAAAAGGCTCTTACTACTCCCTTATCACTTCCCCCCCCTCCCCTAAGCTAGGTCCAGTGCAGGATCGAGGACCGAGAGGCAGTCCCCTAGGGACGGTGCCTCCCCCACCACCTCCAGCAGTGGGTTTTCTACTGCAGCCGCTATGTTGCACTTCTCCAAGTAACCAATCGACTGCCCCCTTTGAAGCGCCACCGACCACCGCTGCCGATATTGGTGTAGGAGTTTGGCAGCTTGGTAGGAGGTGGGCTCGGCGTTAAAGAACCGCCTTGCAGCCGTCTCCGCGAGCAGCTTCAGGAAATCTTCTGTCTCAGGGCAAGGGCACCCATAAGTCTCGACCGCGAGTGGGAAAAACTTCACCCACTCTGGGCGGTCCCTGTAGAGGCCGTGCTTCTTATCTGCTGCTTCCCGTGCCGCCCACCCCCGCCCCTTAGTTGCATTTTCGTCGCGGGTGCTGATGGGGTCTGTCACCGTCACATCACAGATGTAGACAGCTCCAGTACGGCGGCAGCGGAGGGCCAGGTCCGCCTTCTTCTCCTCCACTGGGCTGAAAGCGGCCGATTCAATGTGCACCATGAAGCCTGCGTCGCGCGCCATCCGCGCGCATTCGTCTCTGAGTTCATTGTGTGTGTTCGTGCGCCCCCCCCCTGTCCCACATCGTAGCAGGTGGTTTGGGAGCCGCTTGTCCGGGATTTCCACCTTCTTCGAGCAATTGCAGACCCCGGGAGCCGCAAAGGGGAGCCCCAGCCGGAACTGGAGCGCGTTGGCGTAGTGCGGAGCCTCGAGGTGTAGCGCGCGGTGCAGTGGCACCGCATTTAACCAATCCCCTGCCCCGTACCCCGACAGGGACATCATCCGCTGCGTGTGACCATTGTCCGGGTTCGGGTTCATCCCCCTCGCCTCCTCCACTTGGACAGCATAGCGCTGGCCTTGGATAGCCGTGGCCAGGCCGTGCTGTAGCTTCCCTGCGGTTGGGGCTGTTCTCTCTGCTTGCAAGGCTTCCTGAGCTGGCAGGGGGAGCTCCTCCTCGCATTTCGCGAGCCATTCGGTCAAGGGGGAGGCCTGGGTGTAGGGACCGCGCATCAGCTCTCGAGTGGCTTCCAGTGGGCCGGTGCATTCGTCCTCAAGGGCGTCCAGTAGGAGATGAGCCTGCGTGTAGCTGGCGAGGAAGCTGTAGCTTCCCTCCACGGACGGGTCTGTCAGTCCGAGCCCCCCAAGTGAAACGGGGAGGGAGGCCTGCGCCCATGTGCGTGAGATTTCCTCCTCCCCCCTTGGGTGGTTTATGCCGCATGCTGTGAGCAGGGTATCCAGCAGTCGCCTCCCCCATTCGGACCACTCCACCTGGGGCAAGTACGGAAGGGGAGTCGTGCGGGCCAAATAGGACACTCGGCGCGAGACGCACCGAGACAGCAGCAGTCCCGCCAGCTGAGGCTCCATACGTTCTATCAAACCCAGCGGCGCTCCCATCCCTTCCAGGCTGGAACGTATGAAAGCGGATGTGGCTGTTGGGGTGCCGATGTAACTGCCCAGCACTTTCAACCCGTCGCTGCTGAGTGGCACCCCCTCGGGCAGGGTGTGGTCCGCCGGCGATCTATTGGACCAGGCCCCACACTTGGCGGGGTTGTGTTTGAGCCCTATGTCCGCCAGGAGGCTGGTGAAATGATCAAAGGCGGCCGCACATGACGACGGGTCCCCTAAGAAGGTAACATCGTCTGCGTAAGCAAGGCAGATGACTTCCGGATGCGCCTCCGCAGCCGCCTTCAGGGCTGGTTGCATGGCCGCGGCAAAAAGAAGGGGGCCGAGGGGGTCCCCTTGGCGGACTCCGGTCTCGCTGAGCAAGGGCGCGTGGTCAAAAGCTGCGTCCAGGTGAAGTGCAGACGGCTGGCCGTAAGAGAAGATCACCAAAGGCAGTAGAGGCTCCAGCTGCGAGCCTTTCAGCGCTGTCGCTATGGCGAGGCGATCGACGCTGTTGAAGGCGTTAGCTAGATCCGCCTGCAGGACTAGCGCCTCCGGATTGGCCGAGGTGAAAGTTCTAACAATGTGAAAGTTCTACTCACTCTCTCTCTCCCTTCTCTGCCTTGCAGGTCCTTCCCTTCAAGCCGTACGCCACTCTGCATCCAGGTCTGCACCACCACGCCTCCAACTTTCAGCTAAGTGACTCGCCTCCTTGAACCGTGCCTCTCATTCTGCTTCATGTATTTATTTTCCATTCCGTCTGCTCTCAAATCTCGCCACTGGTTGGGGCGCGACTCACGAGCCACAGACCTCCCCCTTTCTATTCCAGGTAAACCCCTCAGGTTCAGGTTCAGGTTCAGGCCCCCCTACAGCCCTACAGCCCCTCAGGTCCCCTTGGAAGTCTGTGGCTTGTGCTTGTGCCTCCACCAGTGGCCCCTCCCTCTCATTTGCCTTTCGTGATCTGCTGTAGCACTTTTTCCCCTTGCTGCCTACTCACCAGCTCTCCGTGTGTGCCTTGCAGATGGGGGGGAGGGGCGTGGGGGTCAGCACCGCCATTCCGCACGCCTCTCCCCGGTGGCCGTGTAGGGAGGGACGCACACGGGAAGGCTGGGAGGAGGGCTGCCGGGGAAGGAGTCACCTGCTGCTGCAGCAGCTCTCTCTCGCCTCTTCAGCTAAGTTCCCTCAGCCCTTGCCTGCCTCGCCATGTCTTGTGTACTTTGCTTGCATGCCGTGTTTGCATGCGCTTTCTCACCTCCATCTTCAAACAGCGCCACTGGTTGGGACCGCCTCACATGCTGCAGACCCCCTTACTTCAGGTAACCCTCTCAGGTGCAGGTACCCCCTCAGGTGCAGGTGTGCAGGTACCCCCTCAGGTGCAGGTGTGCAGGTACCCCCTCAGGTGCAGGTGTGCAGGTACCCCCTCAGGTGCAGGTGTGCAGGTACCCCCTCAGGTGCAGGTGTGCAGGTACCCCCTCAGGTGCAGGTGTGCAGGTACCCCCTCAGGTGCAGGTGTGCAGGTACCCCCTCAGGTGCAGGTGTGCAGGTACCCCCTCAGGTGCAGGTGTGCAGGTACCCCCTCAGGTGCAGGTGTGCAGGTACCCCCTCAGGTGCAGGTGTGCAGGTACCCCCTCAGGTGCAGGTGTGCAGGTACCCCCTCAGGTGCAGGTGTGCAGGTACCCCCTCAGGTGCAGGTGTGCAGGTACCCCCTCAGGTGCAGGTGTGCAGGTACCCCCTCAGGTGCAGCCCTTGAGTCTGCAGTTTGTGACTTGGCCTCCACCAGTGGCCCCTCCCCTCTCCTGCCTTGAGAATGCCGTTCCCTTTCTTTCACTTTCACCATTCATCCCCTCGCTGCCCACTGACCAGCTCTGAGTGTGTGCCTTGCAGGTGGAGGGGAGGGGGGGGGTTTACACCGACACTTCCCCACGCCCCTCCCCTGTGGCCGTGCAGGTACCCGTGGGGAGGGGAGGGAGGCAGCACTGCCAAGCGCTGCCACAAGGGAGAGTATCGGGCTGGGCTTGGCCTCTCAAGGTACGTCACCTCCCCTCTTGCCCTCATCGCTCTCCCTTTCTGCTCCTCAATTTCGCCTTCTCGTTTCTTTCGCCGCAGCTGTTGTTGTTCTTCCTGGTCATGCGAAATCGATTGCTGTCACTTCCCCCCCTGTCTGCTGCCCCTACCAGGTCACTTGGCATTCAACAGGAGACGCACACTGGAGGAGGAGGGGAGGGGAGCAGGGACGAGGCAGCAGCTCCCTCAAACGTTCACCATCTGCCAGCTAAGTTCCCTCAACCCCTTGCCTGCGTCGCCATGTCTTATGTACTTTGCTTGCATCTCGTGTTTGCATGCGCTTTCTCACCTCCATCTTCAAACATTGCCACTGGTTGGGACCCCCTCACATGCTGCAGACCCCCTTACTTCAGGTAACCCCCTCAGGTGCAGGTACCCCCTCAGGTGCAGGTGTGCAGGTACCCCCTCAGGTGCAGCCCTTGGGTCTGCAGTTTGTGACTTGGCCTCCACCAGTGGCCCCTCCCCTCTCCCGCCTTGCAAATGCCGTTCCCTCTCTTGCACTTTCACTATTCATCCCCTCGCTGACCACTGACCAGCTCTGTGTGTGTGCCTTGCAGGTGGCAGTGGTGGGAGGGGAGGGGGCAGTACTCCACTCGGCTGGGGCGGGAAGGGAAACAAGGTGAGCCTCCTTCCCCTCCCTGCTACATATGCCTTATTTCCCTCACTTAAATTCAGCATTCTCGTTTTTGTCCACTCTAGTGTTCTTTTGTTTACTTGACCGTTTCAGTTGATGTTAACTTACCTGCCCCTCCTCTCCTATCTCTTCACCCCCTTTTCCCCCCACTGCCAGGTCACTTGGGGAGAGGGGAGGGAGGCAGCACTTGACTCAGCTGGCATGGGATGGGAAAGTATCGGGATGGGTTGTCTGAAACAAGGTGAGCCTCTTTTCCCCTCCCTGCCAGATATGCATTCGTTTGTGTTGTTTCCTTCACTCACGCTGCTGCTTTCCTTCTCCCAATGCTTCACTATCTTTTCTTGCTCCTGTCCTCCCTGTACTTCTCTGCTTGCTCATTGCTCTCCCTTGCTCCCTGCCTCCCTCCCTTCCCAGCAGCCTAAGGCATCATGGCGCTCTGCATGGCTCAGGTAGGTAGAGGTAAGCAGGCATGGGGGTGAAGTGTGTGGTGGGTGAGTGGGTGGGTGGGGAGCGTGGGAGCAAGCGGGAAGTTCACTGCCTTAGGGGCAGCATCTTCTGGGATTGTGCCTTGTGGGTTGGGGTGTGGTGGGTGGAATCTGTACGGCACGGCACTCGGTGCTCAAGTAACCAATCTGGCGTTTAAGGCTTAATGGACACCGTCAGAGCCGACCGGCCGGCGGCTCTGGTTCGCGTCAGCTCTAGCTACGTCAGGGGTGGGATTTAAGTCTTGGGCTGGAAGCAATTTTTCACTACCACACCTCGCACTGCAAGGCACAGGCCCTGAGCATGCTGTTTTCGAAGGGGAGTGAGCTGTCTGCTGCTCCTACCGCTGGCAGGTAAGGTGGGGAGGGGATGGGTGGGCTGGGTGGTGATGGTGGTGAGAGGCAGTGGGGTTGGCAGTGGCATATGATGAGCCATATGGCACTGATGCCACCTGTTGTTGGTGGCACATGATGAGTTGCACTGATGCCACCTGTTGTTGGTGGCACATGATGAGTTGCACTGATGCCACCTGTTGTTGGCACATGATGAGTTGCACTGATGCCACCTGTTGTTGGCACATGATGAGTTGCACTGATGCCACTTTTGCCTGATGCGCATGAGTGGGTGAAGGGGGCTGAGTCCCTTTGGTTGGGTGAGAGCAAGTGAAAGGGGCTGAGTCCCCTTGGTTGGGTGGGATCAAGTGATAGGGGCTGAGTCCCCTTGGTTGGGTGAGAGCAAGTGATACCCCTTGGGTGGCACATGATGAGCCGTATGGCACTGATGCCACTTGCTGCATGAGAGCAATCGGTTTTGGAGTGTGCGGTGAGGGTGAGAGCAGAGAGGGTGGTGAGGTTGAGTGGGCAGAATTTGACGAGTGTGGTGACACTGAGTGGCGGGAGTGAGTGGTTACGGTGAGAGTGGTGATAGTGGGGTGAATGATGAATCAGGTCTGGTTTGTTGTGGTTCCATGTGGTGAGTGGTGTGGCATGCCATGTGCAGTGCTGTGCCATGCCATGCTCGTGCAGGCTGGTGAAGCAAGGTTCTGGAACATCATGCTCCTGTCGAATTGCAGTGGCTGGTGTGTACTGGTCTGGTTACTGTACTTTTCGGCCATAGCAGCCTGCACTGGGAATAGCTATGGAGGCGCCACCATCGTGCTCTGTGCTGTGACCTACGCAGAACCACACCACAGTGCATCAACACAAGACATTGTACATACCGTATAGTCTTTGCTGGCTTTGTGGGATGAATGGGGAATCTTCCAGTCGCTTGGGAGTTGACAGTTCATCCTGAGTTGTCCCAAGGGGCAGGATGTGATACAAGGTAGAGCATCAGCAATGGAGTTGCTTCCATTGCATACTGTTATTGTGGAAGTACTTATTTCTTGTCCCAACCAGCCCTTACATGTGGATAAGTTCTTTCATAGACACAGACATGAATGCGCCAGTAACAGGAATATGTCTCCATACATTAGCACATAAATTTGGAAAAACTCGTCCACTTCACGTTCTTATATGCTAGTACCGCATGTTGTGGCTGTGTGTGTTTGAGCGCGCAATCATGCACATGTGGTACCGTACCGCCTACTTCTTAATGAGAGCAATGCACTCGATCTCAATGCGGGCATTCAGAGGCAGCGCTGCCACCTGGTATGTGGAGCGCGCAGGAGCAGGTGCAGGGAAGTCTGGGGAACAGGGAAAGAGAGGGCAGGATGGGTGTGAGGGAGCGAGGAGGGCCATAGATTAATGGGACAGGTGAAACATGTGGCAAGGAGAAGAAATGGCACAATGTCCAGGCATGGCGTGGCATGGCATGACACCGCATGGCATGGCACGGCCTGGCATGGTGTGAAGGGACTCACATGTGGCATATATCTTATTCACGGTGCCGAAATCTGCAAGGTCCGCAAGCCTGCAGGGCCAGCAAGGGTTGGCGACAAGGGGTGTTAGTGGGGAAGAAGACACGGGAACAGTGCGAGGCGAAGAGGAGTTGCGAAACAGCCAGAGAGCGCTACGGAGGAGGAGGTGGTGTGGGGGGGCCTGGATAAGATAAGACTGAAAGCGCAGATGCACAGGGCCTGACAACACGAGGCACATGAAACGCGACTTGGGGCATGAGAGTGGCATGAAGAGCACGAACGAGAGTGGCTCACATGATGGTGGTCTTGACCACCGAGTCAAAGTCAGCTCCCCCAGCTCGCAGAATGGCTCCCATGTTCTTCATCAGCTGCGGGGACAGGGATGGAGGGAATAAGAAGGGGAGACGAGAGGAGGGCAGGGAGAATGAGGGTCTGTTTGTAAAGTTCCTTATATTCATCCCATACCCATGGGTTTTAGTGGTTGCAGGAAGCGGGATGAAGGAAGGAGGGGGAGTGAGTAGCGGAAGAGTGCAGATGTAACTGGAAGAGGTTTCGGGAAAAGAGTGGGAAACCCAACCAGGGATAAACAGTAACTCAGGCAGCCTTCCCCACTCCCCCATCCCCACCACCTAACCCCATCTTCCATCCCCGTTTCACACCCCATTCCCTCCCATAATATGCGGGCAGCACCAGCACCTGCTCTGTCTGCTCCTCCACGGTCTCCCCTGCGAACTTCATGGTCTGCCATGGGCGTGCCGGGCGAGGGATTGGCGAGAGGGGCAGAGAGGGAGAGGGAGGGAGCACACACGGAGACAGGAAGGAGAGTTTCGAGTCGACTCAAAACACACGTGCTCTGTCTGCTCCTCCACTGCCTCCCCTGTGAATTTCATGGTCTGCCATGGGCGTGCCGGGCGAGGGATAGGCGAGAGGGGCAGAGGGGGAGAGGGATAGGAGAGGGGGAGAGGGGGAGGGAGGGAGGGAGGGAGGGAGAGAGGGAGCACACACGGAGACAGGAAGGGAGGGGAAGGTGAGGCCATGATAGGGCATGACAGCACGTGACTGCACGCACAGCTTTTGACGCGCCTCGAAAGTCATGTGCCAGCACGCGTGTTCACCACAGTTCAGCCCATACAGCACAGTCCATTCAAACTCCTCTCTACCTCCACTCCTCAATCCCTTCCTCCGTACCCTCTCTCACTCCTGCGCTTGTCTCCTCAATGCCCGCTGCCCGCTAACTAGCAACAACCAAGCTCCACGAAAGCGCCACCAAAGCGCTGCCTCAGGGAAGCAGCACAGCACATGAGCGGCAGGCAGGCAGGCAGGCAGGCAGGCAGGCGGGCAGGGAGGCACACACGCACGCACGCACCTCGGGCACGAGTCCCAGCACGCACCTCGGGCACGAGTCCCAGCACGCCCGACACGTAGAGCGTGCCGTTGGCCTGGATCGCCTGGCTGTACGGCCCCAGCGCCGCCGGCGCCTCCGCCGTCGCCACCGCCGCCTTGCCTCCCGCTGCAGGGACGGGGTCGGGGGCGGGGCGGGAGAGGGGGAGAGGGGAGAGTGGGGGGAGGAGGCGACGGGGAGAGGGGGAGAGGGGAGAGTGGGGGGAGGAGGCGAGGGCGAGAGGGTGAGAGTTGGATAGACGGAGACGCGGATGGGGGCGGTGGGAGCCTGGTTACTGATGGATTGAAAGGGGAGACGCGAGAACAGGGAACGGGGAGGCGGCGAGGGGTAAGGGAGTGCGGGACGGCGGTAAACGACGGCGTACCTGGGACAGCAGATGCGCGCGCAGGGGAAGCGCGCGTGGAAACCGCCGCGATCCCGGCTGCGGCGGCGAAGCGGGGAAGCACCGAGGCGACGCGGCCGGCGGAGCGCGACGACGACAAGCAGGCGGATCTGGCGCCGGCTGTCGCGGCGCAGCACGCGGCGGCGACGGCGGAGCGACCGGCAAGCGCGGAAGATGCCATGGCTGGGGGCTGCGGAAATTGCGGAAGCGGAAGGGCAAGGCGCGCGCGAATTGGGATCGCGTGTAGGGGGGCCGGGGGGGGGGAGGGGGAGGGAGGGTGGGGGCGGAGGGGCGAATGGGCGGATGGGCATTATTCGGGCGTAATTTCATTGTGTGGAAATACTTGAAAATACTGTTACACGACGACTAGTTTTAAGGCGTCTCAAGAACGCTCACGGCGTACGAAAGTGGATTAAAGACGTGGAGGGGCGACACTGAGTGTAACGGACGATGTTGAACAGAGAGGCAGGGGGACGATGCGGTGAGGAATACGGCACGCCTACGACATAGAAAGAACGGTGGAAGGAGAGGGAAGGGTGGGCAGGTTGGACGAACGGAAGATTAACGCACCTTGAACGGTCCGGGCACACAAGGGGGCGAGGGGGACGCGAGGGACGGCGGGAGATGCGGGCGGGCAGTGGACGGAATGAAGAAATCAGAAGCAGACCAGATAAATGGGCAGCGCCAAAGGGCACTGGGATTCACGTACGCGCTACAATTCCTGCCCGGGCAAGCGACCCTGTATAGATGCTAATCTTTTCGGGTGGAGTCACATAGGATAAAAGTATCCAAGTTAATTATCTGCACTTGGTCATATGAATTAAGTGATTGTGACATAGTGGAGCGAAGACTTGACAGTACTACATCTAGAGGTCCATTATGCAAGCACGCATGCAAGGCAAAGTCAGCAAGCACAAAGTTAGTGGAAAGATGTAAGACGAAGCAGCAGCATTTGGCGGCAAGAGAGCTCGTTAATGGAGCAAGAGGGGCAGCAGCAGCAGCAGCAGCTTCAAGCCCCTCCTTCTTCCTCCTCCTAGTGGGCTTTAATGGGCTCCGTGGCCCGGTGCAGCCAGTCCAGGTCGGCACCTTCGAGGAAGGGAGAGAGCTCCTTGCGGCAGCGCGCGTGGTAGTGGTTGAGCCAGTCGCGCTCGGGCTTGGTCAGCAGCGAGTTCTCTATCAGCTTCGTTTGAATCGGCACCTGGGAGGTGATGGTGTGTGGGGAGGGGGAAGGGTGGGGGGTGGGGTTCTTTTTAGTCGACTCTAAAGTCACCGGGGCTTGAGCACACATGAGACGACATGAGTGCAGGGAATTCAAACAGATTGACAAGATAATGCTCATGCTCATGCTCATGCTCATGCAAATGCAAATGAAAATGCAATTTCCCCCACCCCTGCCCCCGTCCGCCGCCGCTCCCCTCCCTGTGTGTGTGTGCGCGCACCAGGGTGATGGGTTCGAACTTGAGGTAGCCGCGGTCGGCAAAGTTGTGGGGCAGCTCCGTAGACTCAACCAGCAGCACGTTCTCCACGCGCATGCCGAACTTGCCCTCCTCGTAGTACCCCGGCTCTGCTCGCGTACACATGGTGTGGGGAACAGGGAAAAGGGAAGAGGGGAAAGGGGTCTGAAGAGGGAGCACGGGAAGTAAGGGCGACGTGACCTGCAGCACGTACTCCACGCGCATGCAGAACTTGCCCTCCTCGTAATACCCCGGCTCTGCTCCATGTTCGGATGGCACGGTGGAGCGGGAATCGGGGAAAAGGGCGGAGGCAAGGAAAGGGGTAAAGGGGTAAAGGGGGAAGGGGGAAGGGGGCTGAGGTGCGTGAAGGATGAGCGAAGAGATCTGCAAGTGGCACTAGCAGCGGCGAGCATAAGAGTCAGTTTGTGGCACTAGCAGAAGGGGAAACGGACACGGATGGACAGAAAAGAAGGGGATACCATTCTACTCCTCTTCCCCTGTACCACCCCCTCTCTCCTCTCCCTCCCCTCTGCCCCCCTCCTATCTTTCCCTCCCTCCATTCCCCCGCTCCCCACCATCCCTGCACTCCCTGCCCCCCCTACCTCCCCCCTCCCTCCCCCACATGACACATACCATCAGTGACGGTCATGTTAGCAGCAAGGGCTGTCTGAATGGCCTTGGGACGGAAGCTGATGAGGTGCGGACCTGTCACCATGCATGGCATGCGTGGGTGGGTGGGTGGATGGGTGGATGAGTGCGTGGGAGCATGCGTGGGTGGGTGGGTACGTGAGTGTGTGGAGGGATGCACATTGATGGCTGGAACACACAGGTGAATTGGCAAGGCACAACGTTGGAGAGAGCGAATGAGACAAGAGGCGAGAGTGGTTGATGCAGCGGGGAGGGGACACACACAGCAGCACACACACAGCCCACTTAAACAGGAAAGGATGGCAGATGGGGGAAGGATGGGAGGAGGGTTGTGAGGGGAAAGGAGAAAGGGTGGGAGGGATAAAATAAAAGAAGGCAGAATGAGAAAAAAAGAGCATGAGATTTTAGGAAAAGGAAGGTAGCACAATTATATAGCACACAACTCCACGAACCAGCCATCTGCTAGCATACACACTCATGTGCGCCCACCCACACCCACCCACGCCCACCCACGCCCACCCACGCCCACCCACGCCCACCCACGCCCACCTACGCCCTCCCACGCCCCATCACGCCCCCTCTCTCACCCTCATGCACATTAAGGAAGGAGCCCACGCCATGGCCCGTGCCGTGCGGGTAGTCCAGCCCCTCCTGCCACAGCGCCTTGCGCGGTAACACGTCCAGCATGTGGCCTGCCCCGCACATGCAGCACACACAGCAGCACAGAAAACGCAGCACGCGGGGTAGGAGAGAGAGGGGAGGGGAGCAGCACGCAGCACACACGAGGATCAACGAGTTGATTGTGGCTTGCAGGCAGACGAGTATTGGATGGGATGGAAGTCGGAATCAACGCCGACCTTTTTGAGGCGCCTCAAAAATCGGATGGAAGTCAGAATCAACGCCGACCCCCACAGGGGTTTTGCAGGAAGGAAGGAGGTGCGGGTGCATAGCGTACCGGTGGTGCCGTTGGGGAAGATGACCTGCTCCAGCGCTATGTACCCCTTGAGCACCTGATGGGGGAGGGACATTCACGACATGGCCAGGGATGAATGCATGCATGGGTGCATGGGTGCATGGGTGCATGGGTGCAAGGAGAAGGAGCAGAGGAGAGGGAGTGAAAAGGAGGGCGAAGCCGGAGAGGGAAGCCCACTTGAAACCCGCTCGAAGCACCTGAACGACCAGTAAGGTTTCTGAATGTCGACGTGTGAAGAAGAGGGGCGGGGGGGGGATCAGCAATGCATGCATGCCACAACAGCGTGAGAACATGCAAGGGTGCAGTCATGCCCGGGTGCGTGCACTCACGAGTGTGTAGCACTTCTTCTCATGCTCCGTTGGCATGCCAAAGTGCACCGTGCGCGTCACGTCCGTTGTGCCGTCCAGATACTGTGCAGAGGGGGAGAGAGCACGACAGGCCCAGGAAAGCGGGGAGTCAGAAGGAAAGCAGGAGTTTGCCACGAAACGAGGAAGTGAGGGGAAAGTGAGGGGGAGAGGAGGATCGGGGGGAGGAATGGGGAAGCCGCGGGTGGGAGAAGATTAGAAGCTGCGATGAGAAGAGGGCGGTGGAGGAGCGAAAGAGGTGCGACGAAGAAGCAAAAGAGGGGCAAAGTGATGGCACAGGGGAATTTCAACAGCCCTCCATCCCTCCTGCATCCCATGCCCCCGCACCCCCATGCTGCTGCCCACACCCCAACAGTGTGAGGCCCACTCTCCCCTCCTTCCAAGCATGCAAGGATGGATGGTCACCTGCCCGCCCGAGTCACAGAGGAAGATTTCGGAGGCGGTGAGAGAAGCACATGTGTCGGGCTCGGGCTTGTAGTGAATGATGGCCGCATTGGCGCCAACTGATGATATGGTGGCGAAGGACGGACCCATGAAGTGCTGTCGGAAGGGGGGGGGCATGGGATGGTATGATGGGGGTGTTTCCGAGTTGATTTTACAACATGTGAATGATGACCGCATTGGCGCCAATTGATAAAAGGCGGCAAAGGACGGATCCATGAAGTGCTGTGGTGGAAGGGATGGGACCAAGAGGTGGCATGTGGAATGGTGTTGGCGAGTTGATGCATGCGCGAGTTGATACATGCGCGAGTTGATACATGCGCGAGTTGATACATGCGCGAGTTGATACAAGGTTGGAGGATGAATCGCTGGGTGAAACATGTGCCACGTGTGGTGCATGCATGGGGATGAGACAGAGCATGACCAACACAAGGGAACACCACACAGGGCATGGCGCCTCACCTCCTGCTCCTGTCGGAACGCCAGCAGCTTATCTGCCACACTGCACTCTGTCAGTGCCACAGGGCCGCCTTCCTTCTCCTCCTCCTTCTCCCCTTCCTTTTCTCCTTCCTTCTTCCCTTCCTTCTCCTCTTCCTTCTTCCCTTCCTCCTCGTCTTCCTTCTTGCCTTCTTTCTCCCCTTGCTTCTCGCTTTGTTTCTCCACTTCCATTCCCTTCTCCTTCTCCTCTTCCTTTTTTATTTCCTTCTCCCCTTCCTTGTTGCTCTCCTCTTCCTTTTTGCCTTCCTTCTCTCCTTCCTTCGCTTCTTCCTTCTCAACTTCCATCTTCTCTTCCTTTTCCTCCTCCTTCTTAACTACCGTCTCCCCCTCCTTAACTTCTGTCTCCCCCTCCTTCTTAACTTCCGTCTCCCCCTCCTTGCCTTCCTTTTCCCCTTCCTTATCTTTCTTCTCCTTTTCCTTCTCCCCCTCCTTCTCACCCTTACCCTCCTCGTCTTTCTTCTCCCCTTCTGCATCATTCACATCTTTCATCTCTTCATCCTTCTCCTTCTCCTTTTCCTTCTCTTTCTCCTTTTCCTTCTCCTCCTCCTTCTCCTCCTCCTCTTTCTCCTTCTCCTCTACCTTCTTCCCCCTCCCTCTCCCCCTACCCTTCGCCTTCACCTCACTGGTAACCACACTCTTTTCCTCCCCTTCCCCACCAGACCCCCTTGCGATCCTGGTGCTGCGCCGAGTGGGAGTTGCATGACTCCTGCAGCCAGGGGAATAAACGGAGAGGACACGGTGGACCAGGAGAAAGAATAGAGGCAGGAGAAAGGGCAGCGGGGAAAGAGACTGGAGAGGAGGGAAGGGAAAGGATGCATTGGCTTGGTCGAGGAGGCAAGTGGGAGGCGGGGAAAGGGGGCCGACAGGGGCGGGCAATGGGAGAGAAGATAGAGAAGGGCGGTGGGTGGGCAGCGGGGCAAGGCGTGTGGGGGCAGAGCGAATGGTGCGAGCGAGCAGCACAAGGCAGCACAAGGCAGAACAAGGCAGCACAAGGCAGCACGGAGCAGCACGGAGCAGCACGGAGCAGCACGGAGCAGCACGGAGCAGCACGGAGCAGCACGGAGCAGCACAGAGCAGCTCGGAGCGGCCCGGAGCAGCACGGAGCAGCACGGAGCAGCACGGAGCAGCACGGAGCAGCCTGGTTGAAAGCACAACTCACAAGGAGCGCTTGCGCTTGCTGCCTGCAGCTTCCGCGCGCTCCTTGAAGTACCCCGGGGCTGCCTGCTGCTCCCTCATCTGCACACCACCACCACCACACACACGTGTTGTCACACCACACACACGTGTTGTCACACCACACACACGTGTTGTCACACAACATTACACACTCGTATCGAAGACTTGAAGTTACAACAATTCTTCGCTTTCTTCGCTCCCCCCTCACACGCCCCCCTGCTGTCCCCAACGCAGTGCTTCCTGGAGTAAAATCCAAAACACCAACTGGGCCCCCGACGTGCTGCCCTTGCCCCACCTCCCACTTCCCTTCCCCCGTCCCATCCATTGATTCTTGTAGCTACTCATCCATACCCGCCCCAATCCCCCCACCTGTCCCCTGCTTTCCCCACGCCCTCCCCCCACAATCCCCCTTGCAGTCCCCCACATTCCCACTTGCAGCACCCTTTTGAGAAGCAGCAAGGTACCTGGTGGTCAAGCCAAGAGAGGAAGCGCACGAGTGCCACGCCGTCGCGCACATGGCAGGCGCGAAGCCCCGCCAGCTCCACCTCATTCTGATGCCATGTGCGTGGTGTAGTGGGGTGGGGTGGGGTGGGGGTGTGGTGTGGTGTGGTGGGGTGTGAGAGACATGAGGGCACGATGGGGGGGAGAGAGCAGACAACAGAGCAGAGTTGGAAGGTGAGGGAGGGGAAAGAGGTGAGGGAGGAGGGAAGGGGAGAGGCGAGGGGAGAAGGGAAGGGTGGAGAGTGGGAGTGGGGAGAGAGGGGAGCGTGAGGTGAGTGCAAGACTGTTACACCTGTCATGCATTGAGACAGCTTCCAATAAGTGACGAGACGTGCGTCATGTCATGCCCATAAGCCACTCAAAACACCTCCCTCCCTCCCCTCGACCACAATCATTCATCCCCCACCTTTCACTCATTGCCACCACTCTACACCCCCCTCACTCAACTCCCCTCATGCCCATGAACGTGGGGAGGGGCAGCCTCACCTAGCGGCCTTCTCCCACCCCACCGCACTGCACCCTACAGCACCGCACCTTGATGGCCTTTTCCAGGGCGATTGGAGACTGCTGCAACAGCACGTGCTGTGCGGGCAGGTGCTTGCTGACTGCCTGGTACACCGCGTACGAGCACGTGGCAGGGGACAGCCACACGCTGTACCCAGGCTTCTCCTTCTCCTTCCCTGCCTCCTTCTCGCCTTCCTTGCTCGCTTCCTTGCCTGCTTCCTTGCTCGCTTCCTTGCTCGCTTCCTTGCTCGCTTCGCCTGTCTTCCCGCCCTCTCCTTCTGCCTTCACGCCCTTCCCTTCCCCCTTAGCCTCTTCCATCACCACCTCCTTCGCTCCCTCCTTCGCCTTCTCCTCCGCTTTCTCCCCTTCCTTCCCTTCAGCCTCCTCCTTCCCACCCGCCTCTGCCTGCCCCTCCCCGCCGCCGTCTTTCCCCTTCTCCTTGTCAGCAGCAGCAGCGGCGGCGGCGAGGGTAGCAGCGAGCGCATGCAGGTCGGGGAGGATAGCCTCATAGCCCTTCACTTGCACGCCCTCGCTCTTCAAATGTGCTGCCACCTGCTCGCACAGCACGGAGCAGTGGCGGTAGTGTTTGTGGGAAGCAAGAGGGGAGCAGGTGGGAAGGGAGGAGCAAGTGAAGGATGAGCAAGCGCATGCAGGTCGGGGAGGATACCCTCATAGCCCTTGAGATGCGCTGCCACCTGCACACATGGTAACCGTGGTAGAGTTGGTGGGAGGGGAGGCAAGAGGGGAAAGGGTGGAAAGGGAGGAGCGAGGTGAAGAAAGAGCGCAAGCATCCATGCACTCACATCACATGCACGCCGTCTCACATCCATCCTCCACTCAACCTCTCCTTCCCCTCAACAACCCCTGTCCCCCTGTCCCCGCCTCGCCCCATCTCCGCTACCTTTCCATTCCTCCTCCCACCTGCCCCCACCTCCCAACACAGCACCGCACCGCACCTCATCAGTGACCTTCTTGCCGTCCACATAGAGCGTGGCATCGTCCCGCGTCAGCACCACATAGCTCAGCACGACCGGATTAAACGGCACATCCGCCCCGCGCACGTTCAGCAGCCACATGGCCTCGTCCAGCGCGGTTACCACGAGCGCGCGCGCGCCCTCCTCGCGCATCTTGCGCCGCGCCCACGCCAGCTTGTCTGATACCGTCCGCCCGGAGAATTTCACCGGGTGCACGCGCACCGGCTCGCTGGGGGGCGGTGGGCGCGCCGCGCCCCATACTTCGTCCACCAGATTCGTGGAGGTCTAAGGATAGGGGGAGAGGGGGAGAACGGGGAGTGGGGGGAAGGGCGGGAAACGGCCAGGGGGGGAGGGGAAATGGTGTGGTGGGGGGAGGAGACGGGAAGGGGGAGAGGAGTAGGGAGGGGAAGGTGAAAGAAATTGGTGGACAGGAGGCGAGGGGCACAAACGGAGAGGGGACGGAGAGAGAAGGACGTGCAGCAACTTGTGGTATATTCTATTCATTTCTGTAATCTATGAATGGGAGCAGGGTGCAGTAGCATGTGAGCTAGTGTGCAGGGGTGAGCATGTGACTAAGCATGTGACTAAGCATGTGACTAAGCATGTGACTAAGCATGTGACCAAGCATGTGACCAAGCATGTGACTAAGGGCGTATTCCTAGCTTCGGGTCATCCGTTGTTTGTGTCATCCGAAATTGTGGGAGCCAATCGGAAAGCCCACGGTTTGAGATTCGAATTTTTCGATTGGATCCAACAATTTCGGATGACATGAAGGCGGGATGACCCGAAGCTAGGAATACGCCCTAAGCATGTGACTAAGCATGTGACTAAGCATGTGACTAAGCATGTGACTGACGAGCACGAGGTGCTGAGCGGCCTTGTCAAGCTCGTGTGTGATGCGCCGGGCCGCATCAATGGAGAGCGTGGACGCATCCACTCCCACTCGCGCCCCCCTCGGCAAGTGCTGTTAGGAAGGGGATAAGACAAGGGGAAGGGGCAGGGAAAGGCGCAGGGGGGGGAGGTGGAGGGGGAAAAAGGGGGGCAAGGGAAGAGGTGGGCTGGAGAGGAGCAGGGGAGGGGAGCGGGGTGCAGCAGCAAGGGGCAAGGAGCAGGGGGGCGAGAAGGGTTGCGTGGAGGGCTGGGGGGGGGACATAGGGGCACGTGGTCATGCGGAAGTGGAGTATGCGGAAAGCGGGCGGAAGAGGGGTAGGCGGAGAGAGAGGGGGGGAGGCGGCGAACCGTGGAGATCCAACTTTCGAGCGTGCCGGCCTTGCAGAGGCGCCAGTCGGTGCTGAGCTGCGTTGCCGCCTGCAGGAAGTAGCGCCCGTCCGTCCACAGCAGCGCCTCCGTCGCCGTCACCACCGCTATGCCTGCCACGTGGCGGAGAGAGTTCGCGCATGGTGCGGGGTTGCGCAGAAAGGGGGGGAAGTGCGGCGCATGGTGAGGGGTTGCGCAATGTAAGGGAACGGTGATCGCAGGGGAGGGGGTGAGGGAGGACAGTGAATTGAAGGGAATCGCAAAGCAACATGACGGCATGGCGGCATGGCGGCGTGCGGGCTCACCTGCGGATCCCGAGAACCCGGAGATGAACTTGCGGCGCTGGTCGCACTCCGCCACGTACTCGCTCTGCCCACGCGCGGGTCGCAACGCGCGCGATGCAACAGCGCGCAACGCGCAAGTGATGCCCGAGAAAGGCCGTCCGCCAGCCGAGCGGGGCGAAAACAAAAAACAAAACAAAAGGCAGAGGGAGTGGGGAAAGGGAGAAGGAGAGCAAGACACGGCGGGGGGGAAGGGAGACGAAATAGAGGGTGGAAGGTTAGGAGATCACTGTACAAATTGATGGCGCGCTGACAGGAAAATCATCCCGTGGAAACGGCTAAGCCAGCATTCGATCCAGAAACTTCATGTAATAATATTAATCACTCTTAGAGTCTGCTCGCGCGCTCACCTGGTGCGCATCTTCCGACGGCACGATGTAAGCCGCAAGCGCGCCGCTCTCGTACTTCGCCATCAGCGCGCGCAGCGCCGCTAGCTGCGCCGACGTGTCCACGGACCCCGGCGCCGCCGCCGGTGCAGCCGGTGCCGTGGCCTCCGCTTCTGGTGCAGCCATGACGAAGCGGTAACGGACGGGACTAGAGAAGAGGGGAATAAACCTCGGAAGCGGATACGTCGATTGCGGAATAGAAGCGAGTGAGAACGACTAAGCGATAGTCGAGGAAATACGACTAGCCACTGCTGGTCTCAGGCTTGGTGAACAGTGCGTGAGTGATACAGTGGCATGCAATGCAAAAAAAACGCACGAATCTGGGACATTGGCGCGCAGACAGGAATCAGGAAATTGACTCGCTATACAGTAGTCAGTTTTTTATTTCGCACTTTATCGTCCTTGACATTCATCTGAGAAGAATTTTTACATATAACATGTTTAGTTATCAACCTTTGGATTGTTTCCACAAAGAGAATTTATTCTTCCCCATCCCCGAAAATGGGACCGTTGAGACCAGGGCCCAAGTTATCAGTGTAAATCACCCTGATGCCCTGACTAGAAGGGCGATTTTTAGTAGTAACACTGATGCTGTTGGGTAATTTTTTCGGGACCTTGATTTACCCTGATGTGATGTGCCTCAGGGTTGCCGTTCCGCTTATCGAGGTTTACTCTGAAGCGCGTACCAGCTGTTGGGAACAACTAACTTAAGCACCTCTGTCGTGTCGAAACACCAAGACACAAGCGAAGCATAACATTATCGAAGCACCAGCGTTCGGAGGTTGAAGTAACTGTCAGAGGTTACGCGAAACTCAAAGGTCAGCGACCTTTGACCTGACAAGTACAGCGCGACAGCAAGGACACACAATTGACTCGTTACGGAGCAGTTGCCCGAGTCGTCACTGTATCGAACCGCAACAGCAACAGTAAAGTAGTTATAACTGTATCTCTTCATATTCTCTGTACTCCTATATAATCTTGTACCGTATCTCTTTGTTTTAATCAATCAACTTTGCCTTCACATACTAGCGCAAGGTGGTTCTGTCAGAACATTATAGCTTACTCATTTGTGTAGGCTATAGTGGGGTATCCCATAGGGGGTACAACTCAATTAGGGTTTCCTATTTGTACTCACTTCATTCATAGTTCATTCATTCTCGTTCAATTCTTCTCATGGAATCAGAGCAGGTCCCCTCCTAGGGACTGTTCCTAGGGCCCACCGAAGCGCGCCCCGAGGCGCGCGTTTTTTTTTTTTACTGACCCTGCGTGTCGCCCTTTCCTACGCGATCCCGCCGCCCTTTAGTCGCGGCCCCACTTTGCCCCGTCGGCCCCACTACGGCCCCTCTTAGGCCTTGCTACGGCCCCGCTACGGCCCCGCTTAGGCCCCGCCACGGCCCCGCGTCAGCCCCGCTTAGGCCCCTTCGGCCCCACTACGGCCCCGCGTCGGCCCCGCTTAGGCCCTGTCGGCCCCGCTTAGGCCCCGCTACGGCCCCGCGTCGGCCCCGCTTAGGCCCCGTCGGCCCCGCTTAGGCCCCGTCGGCCCCGCTTAGGCCCCGCTACGGCCCCGCGTCGGCCCCGTCGGCCCCGCCTCCGCCTCGCTACGGCCCCGTCGGCCCCGCCTAGGCCCCGCCGACCCTGCTACGGCCCCGCTACAGCCCCTCGTCGGCCCCGCTACGGCCCCGCTACGGCCCCGCTTAGGCCCCGCTGCAGCCCCGCTACGGCCCCCATTGCGGCCCCGCCGCCTCTCCAGCTGCAGCCCGCCGCGCCACCCGTGCAGCCGCCCGTGCGCCGCCCGTGCAACCGCCCGTGCAACCGCTCGTGCAGCCGCCCGTGCAGCCGCCCGTGCAGCCGCCCACCGTGCCGCCCGTGAGCCGCCTCAGCCACCCGTGAGCCGCCCGTGCAGCCGCCCGCGCCGCCCGTGAGCCCCCGCGTCACCCGAGCCGCGCGAGCCGCCTGAGCCGCCCGAGCCGCCCGATCAGTCTACGGTGCCGGGAGCCGGATCCTGTGGGCCTGCTGCTACTGCTGGGCCGGCAGAGTTGCTGAGCTGCTGTGTTGCTGTCCTACTATGCTGCTCGACCCTTCTTCTCTGGTGAGACTGTCGGCTGCTATCATGGCCACCCCCAGTGTCCTGGCCTTTGACGCTAAGGGTCGCGCCATTGACTTTGCGGTCTGGGTCGAGGACCTGCAGCTGTACTTGCAGTGCGATTCAGTAGATGACATCTCTCTCTTTGACTTTGCCTCTGGCGCTGTCCCTCCCCCTCCTGCTGATGCTGACCCCACTGTTCGCTCCAAGTGGGCCACACGCGATGCTGCTGCACGTCTTGCTGTGCGTCGCCATCTCTCTTCCTCCGAGCGTGCCCACTTTAGTCAGTGCAAGACCGCTCAGGCCTTGTACGACGCTGTAGTTGCGCGCTACTCCTCCCCTTCCACTGCTACACTGAGCCGCCTCATGCTACCGTACCTCTTCCCTGACCTTGCTGCCTTTCCCACAGTCGCTGACCTCTTTACCCACCTTCGCGCTAGTGACACTCGCTAACGAGCTGCGCTTCGTGCTGCCTTCTGCGCCGAAAACCCCCCTCCCATGTACATCACCCTCTACTTTCTAGTCACCCGTCTCCCTGAGTCCCTTCGTGCTGTTAGGGACCAGTTTCTCTCTGTGTGTCCCACCACCCTCACTGTCGACCTCCTCGAGAAGTCCCTGCTAGCGGCCGAGAAGAGCATAGTCGCTGTAGGGGCCTCTCGTGGTGACCCGCGCACCCCCATCTTTGAGGGGTGTTCTCCTTCCCCCCTGTTACCCTCTGTTGCCTCTGCTGCTGCGGCCGACCTCGTTGGTTTAGAGTCGGTCGGTGCGGCGTCTGCCCCCAGCGGTAGGCGCCGCTCTGGCAGGAGCAAGGGGGGCAAGGGAGCGGGTGGAGCTAGCGGGGGCGGTGGCGGAGGAGGTGGGGGCGCCGGGGGGAGTGGGGGTGGCGGTGGGGGTGGAGGCCCGAGTGGAGGTACTGGTTGCGGCAGTGGAGGCGGAGGTGGCGGCGGAGGTGGCGGCGGAGGTGGGGGCGGAGGTGGCAGTGGGAGCGGCGGGGGCGAGGGTGGCGGTGGCGGCGGTGGCGGCGGAGGCGGAGGTAGCGGTGGTGGAGGTGGTCGGAGTGGCTCATCCCAGCGGAGCAGCACCGAGGGTGGTCAGCGCCAGCAGCAGCAGCAGCAGCAGCAGCAGCAGCAACAGCGCTCTCGCGACGTCCCCGCCCCTCAGCAGCTCCGTGAGTGGTACTCGCAGCGTCAGCGTGGTGGGGCGTTCGGTCCCTGCACCTACGTCCTTCGCACCGGCGACCGCGCGGGTGAGCAGTGTGGGGGCACCCACACCGCCCGCCGCTGCTTTGCCCGCTTGACCGACGCTTGGCGCCAGCAGTTTTCGGAGGCCTCTGAGATCCCCCGCTGGGGAGAGCTGTCTAGGGCTGGTGTAGCTATCTTTGATCTTGACTTTGATGCTATCCTTGCTGCCATGTATGCTGTGACTGTTAGTGATGAGGGTGACTGTTACCGGTGTTTCCCGCCCGACCCGGGCATTGGTACTGCTGCGTCAGGTGCTAGTGAGGCTGCTGCTCTAGGTGCCAGTGCGTTTGTGCTCTCAGGTACTAGTGAGTGTGCCCTCTCAGGTACTGTGTCGGCTTCGGCCTCTCACACCTTCACCCTTGACTCTGGAGCGTCTCGCTCCTTCTTTCGGGACCGCACCACTCTCACGCCGCTTAGTCGGCCAGTTGCGGTGTCCCTGGCTGACCCCTCTGGGGGTCCTGTCCTGTCTCGTTTCTCCACAGTCCTCCCGTGTCCGGCGGCTCCCTCTGGCACCCTGACTGGTCTCTACCTCCCCTCGTTCTCTACGAACCTGGTGAGTGGTGCTGACCTACAGGATGTGGGTGTCCACCAGTTTACTCCTGCTCGTCAGCGAGTGACACACTGCACAGAGGCTAGCACAGGTCGCCACCTGGCTACGTTTACACGTCAGCCAGGGTCGAGCTTGTACACACTGACCACTGCTTCTCCTCCCGGTGCTGAGTCTGGTAGAGTCCCCTCGTCTGGTCAGGTGTTTGCTGCAGCGTCCAGGTCTGGTCCTGAGTGTGCCCCCTGTTCGTGTCGCCGTCTGTCTCACGAGACTCTCCTCTGGCACCACCGCCTTGGCCACCCCTCTCTGCTTCGGCTCAGAGGCATGGCCTCCCGTTTTCTTGTGTCTGGTCTCCCCCGGTCCCTCCCTCCCCTTCCTCAGGGCCCTGGCCTTGCCTGTGTCCCCTGTGTCGAGGGGCACCAGCGTGCTGCCCCTCACTCCTCCCAGTTTCCTCCGACAGAGGCTCCGTTGCAGACGCTTCACATGGACGTGTGGGGCCCTGCCCGCGTCCGTGGACTCGGTCACGAGCGCTACTTCCTGTTGGTGGTTGATGACTACTCGCGTTACACCACAGTCTTCCCCTTGCGCAGCAAGGGTGATGTCACTGAGGTGCTGATCGACTGGATCCGCGCAGCTCGTCTCCAGCTCAGGCAGAGCTTTGGCTCGGACTTTCCTGTGTTGCGTCTGCACTCGGACAGAGGCGGAGAGTTCTCCTCTGGCCTTCTGCGTGCCTTCTGTCGTGCGCGAGGCATCTGCCAGACCTTCACGCTTCCGGACTCACCGCAGCAAAATGGGATTGCAGAGCGCCGCATTGGCATGGTCATGGACGTCGCTCGTACGTCTATGATGCATGCGGCTGCCCCCCATTTTCTGTGGCCGTTTGCGGTCAGGTACGCGGCGCATCAGATCAACCTCCACCCCAGGGTCTCCAGGCCGGAGACCTCCCCAGCCCTGCTGTGGACGGGGAAGGTTGGCGATGCGTCGGCGTTCCGGGTCTGGGGATCTCGGGCGTTTGTCCGCGACTTGTCTGCGGACAAGCTGTCCCCTCGCGCTGCTCCCTGCGTCTTCCTGGGGTTCCCCCCCGACGCCCCTGGGTGGCAGTTCTACCACCCCACCTCTAGACGTGTTCTGTCCTCCCAGGACGTCACGTTCGACGAGTCGGTACCCTACTACCGCCTCTTCCCCTACCGCACTCCGTCCCTCCCCCCGCCCCCGCTCTTCTTGGTACCAGGTCCCCCCCCAGTAGACCCCCTCC